TTACCACTGACAAATATTCATATATAATATTTGAGAAACTTGGAAAAATGGATATTATTAATTTTGTCAGACTGAAAAGGGAATTATCCCTCAAATACTAACGCATTCATATTTATATGTATCACATGATTTTACAACAAAAGAAAATAAAATGGTATATAAATCAGGACTTTCTAGCAAACTGTGTGGTGTGCTAGTACTCTACCTAGGGGCTGCTATTTTCTTAGAGAGCAGTAGTGACTCTTGACCTTCAGTTTCAGTTTATTTTCATTTATTTCACACTAAATAATTTCGAAATTACATGTGAAAAAAGGAACAAAAAAGCATATAGCTTGTAGAATTTAAGTTCCTCAAAATAATGTTGACACAGTGTCATTCATTATAAGGTAGAAGTATGATGATACAAAATCAGAGTATACAGATAAAACAATGAAATGATATGGATGATGGATGTAAGAAAGAAGAGAACTAGGAAGGGAAGGTAAAGCATGGGGGTCAGGAGAAGAATGAGGAGAGAGAAAAGGAAGTTTTTAGAATAGAATATTCAAGGTCGGGAGTCACAGTCCAGAAAAAAATAGTATACTTGTGCATTACATGTACAAATTTAATACTAACAATTTGATATGTTTTTTAAAGCTGCAACAGTTCTTAAGCTATTTGAGATTCGGATCAATGGTGCTTCAGTAGTTTGGTCCTGTGTATGAAATAGTTTTTATGGCGAAAACTGCCCTGGTTAGGGAGGATGATAGTTTGTACGTGTTGCATGTCGTGTTTGGTATGTGTGTAAAGCATCATTTTTTGTAAAGCGTTCAATTATGGCTGATGGGAGTATTGCTAAATAACATTTAATTATTTTGTTTGTTTAATATTCAAGGAGACTTTGTTTGCCTGGATCCAAGAGAGGGCTTTTGGCTTTCTTGCTGTGTGTTTACAGCAGTGGGCTCTTTTTTTCTTCATTTCTAGTTATGAGTTATGTTGTTCAAAGTTGTTACAGATGTTATCTTTTGTTTTCATTAATTGGTTGCTTAATTTCTTGTTATGGTTTGAGGTGGGTTTTGTTTTTAGGTTTTAGAATTCTAGATTTTTTTTAGAATCCCTGGGGATTTTGCGGTAGTAAACCCCATTTATTTAAGTGGCAGAATTCATTTTATGCCTCAACCTTTCATATCATTCCAAACACACAAATATACTATACATGTGTATAAATTAAGGATGGCCGGCCAAGAATGAACAGTAATATGATCTGTTATTTTAACAAGACCTCAAAGAAATCATGAAATATGCGTAGGCTGAGTTGATCAATTCTCCAAGTAAATGATATCAATATCATCTATTTTGCCTTCGTTTGTATTCTAACCTCATTTTCTGTGGCAATGTCAACTTCACAATATTGCACCATTCTTTTACCCAGGTGATGTTAGAAATAATTCTTTATTCGTAATCACAATTATAAGACATTTTTCTACTACATGCATGTTTAATCTGTAGATTTTTGCAAATGTGGTGCAATGCCTGTGGTTCAATTGTATTGATTGGTACTAATGCCCTTTTTATGTACACGTTCGGACTTAACTCCTAATTGCATATCATCGCTGGACGTGTTTAACTTGTCTCTTGTAAATTTCATGATTTGCATGTGCCTTTGAAGACTGTCAAATAATTGTATCGAAATAAAGTATATTTTACAGAAATTCAAAGAAGATAAACTATTGTTTATTACAATTGGCATTTATTTGATTCTATCTCGTCTTTTTCCTCTGTAGTACAATACACCTGCTGGTGTATGAGATATTTATAGAAATAACATGATAATTCTGTGATTTTTGTTTTCCCTCTTTAACATAAGTCATATTTTAAAATTAAGAAAGAAAATGATTTGCTAGATAATACTGCATAGTTTTAAAACTGTAATTATATCCAATTTTATAGTGGCAAGTATGTATATGTTTGCAGGAGGTGTGTTAAAGAATTTAATAGAATTCGAGGATGAAAGGAAAGAAAATATTCAGGGAAAGTGGTTTGATACCACATTGATCGAGGAATTGTTAAAACATGTTGAAAAAGATGACAGTTTCGTCCTTAAATTGAATGAAGATATAGTTAGAGAGAGAGAAAGAGAGGAGCACAGGAGAAAGTTTTGCAAACTTTTTGTGTGGTGGTGTCATTAAGTTCCGTTGGTACGTACAGTGGAATTATTAAAGTTAATTTCCTTCATTATATCTTTCCCAGCTTATCTAATAATTTCAACGTGTGCAAGCACTGTAACATCATTTGCGATATAGTGATTCCTTACAGTTAAAATAATGAAGACATATCAGTACGCAATATAGTACAAACAAGCTCAATCTTTATTTTGTATATGTGTCTTCTTTCTTCAAAAGACATAAACGTTATTCACAAAACATAACATTTTCACAAGTCGATACGTCAAAATGCAAACATGTATAAGAAAAGAATAAATGTTACAAACATATTTTGATGATAGTAAGAGAACAAAAGGAATCTCATACAAAGAAGCAATGATATTAATCCAAACTCTATACCACTAGTGATAACGATTAATTTAAAAACATTTACAAATATGAATTGTATTCTTTCCTTGAATTGCCGAAATCTTCCCCCTCCCCCCGAAAACAAAAATAAAGAAATATAAATATCCCTATGATAGAATAATGGTTTTTATATACATGGGGGGGGGGGGGCTAGAAAGAACGGAACACCTGGGATCTACAATTACAACTTCATCATTGACCTAATTCTTACTTCATTAAGAAGATCATTCTTTTTCGAAATGATAAAAAATGATGTCAAGATCATCAACTTTGAGTCATTATGTCATTGTAATTGGAAATATCCGGTTTTCTTTCTTTCTGAGCCACACAATATAGTGTGACAGTTCATGGGCAATCCCTTTAAATTACCTTGATCTCTTGACACTGATAAAAGCTAAGCCAACATTTTTATTGAACCTGAGTAAGTGGAACTGATGTTGGGATTCCTAGGATTACATTTGTAATGGCTTCCATCAGGGGCGGATCCACGTAGCGATTTTTCCGGCCCGCCCCCCCCCCCCCAGCCCCCCAAAACGATAAAAAAAATAGAATAATAACGTAAAGTTAACCTTTATAAAACAAAAAAACAAAAGCGCCCCATCCCCCCCCCCCCCCGCTTATTCGCCGGCCGGCTGAGACGGCACTAAATTTTGTATTAAGATTTGGCTACCCCCCCCCCCCCATTGACGCCGGCTGGATCCTCTGCAGGCGTGGATCCACGGGGGGGGGGGGGGTGACGGGTCAACAACAACAAAATCTCACGAATTAGGTCACACACAAAAAAATAGTGGTCTCATCCCCCCCCCCCCCGCTTATCACCGCTGACTAAGTCGGCGCAAAATATTTCCTGAAAAATTGCACCCCAAAAAAATGCTTCCTACCCCCCCCCCCCCCCCCCCGCTTATTCACCGACGGCTGAGTCGCAACTAATATTTTCTCACGGATTGGGCCCCCCCCCCCCTCTTCCCGCCGGCTGGATCCGCCACTGGCTTCCATACAGTAAATCAAGATCATATTTATCAAGACTTTTTACATGATACACAACGGTCAACTGTTGACCATAACTCTTGTTTCTAAGATTGATATTATATTGTGGAAATTAAGATTTGAAAGACAGTATTGCCTTCTTTGTTTAAATACAAGCAAACATAATAATATCCTTTTTTGCATGAGTTAGTTCGAAGTTTACAAGGAAAAGATAAAAATCGACAAACTCCACGTTTGCTAGGTCTTATGCCTACTTCCCCGATTGACAATGACTAGATGCAGACACCGCACTTTCATAGCTCAAATTCAGACGAATCATGTGTAAGAAGAAGTAAACGTTTTTTAGTATCTTTTGACATGGAATGGGCTTATTGTGATTTTCTTTCCTCAAATTTGATAAAATATTGCTTATAAAGCCTATATTTATTACCTCCACAGTTTCATGGTGTTTTGCCTACCTCCCCGATTGAAGGCGTTTACATGTATGTGTGTGTGTGTGTGTGTGTGTGAGTGGGGGGGGGGGGGTAATTAACCTATTTTAAATATTTAATCAAGGAAAAATTTAAAAAATACTATGAAATTCCTTTTTTAGAAATAGATCTAAATCTAGATTTAAGTCATATAACTAGGTACGAAGAACTTTGCGCTTTGAGCGCTGTACAGTGAGTTTACGCGCTCTCGTTGGCGATTCGCTCGAGTGGCTTCGAAATTTGAGTGATAGAGGGCCTACTTAACTTAAGCACAACTTTAGCTCAATGGCAAAGTCAATACGTAATATTACGTCACACCACAGAGATTTTGATACGTCCTGCTTTAAACAGGTGACGCACTTCACACGTAACTGACGCACACATGAAATTGCACACAAATAAAATAGAAAAATCAACGAGCATCTCAGAATAAATTTCCAGTTTGAACCTTAAATATGATGAAAATGGGAATTGTTCAAACTTTAAAATAGTTAAGTAAGACTTTAACTTAAGTGAAATACTTTTTTAGGATGCTCTTAAAGTTTGTCAATAAATAGAGTCTACAATGCCTAAGTTAGGGGATTCCTAAGTTAGATAGATACATTTAGGAAGCCAAGAGTAACTAACTCAGAGTAACACATCTGGCATTATTTATCTTAATAATGTACTGATACTTAGATCTAGGTCTAGAGTCTAGTGATACTCGGTCATTCAGTTCATTCTTCAAATATGACAGTGAAAATCAAAATCAAATGCGTACTCATTCTTCTATACTTTTTTTGAATAAATCATATAGTCTGGATAATTTCCAAATAAAGTTGTACATGTAGGCCTATAGCAAGTACTATCTCCCCAATTTGCAAGCACTAATACATGTCAAAGCATATGTAAAAATAAATACTAAAGTCAATTATTTTCAAGCCAATTGCGTTGTTACAACCTAGTAACATGAGAATCAACAGGTGGGACCGTTCTGCATGGATTAACTTACCTCGACACTAGTTGACAATGTTGAACAAAAGATACAATCAAATACTCGGATCCTTATTAGTTCCTTATATCTCGATCCAATAGTACTATACACATATATGCTGTAGTTTTATTTTCCGTGGAATACAACTTTTAGTAACTTTCGAAGAATATTCTTGTCCGATTTCGCAGTCTTTGCGGCACTTCGGAATGGTAGTGCCTGGCAGATTATTTGCATAACAATGTATGACGTCACTTCACTATAGAGATGCCTAAACAGACAACTCTTTCTATTGTCAGCATCCACGAGACGAGGTAAACAGCATCAAACACTGCATGCATGTATGCCTATTACATTATACTCGAAGATAATCCAAGAGGCTGGTACTTGGATCGATAGGTTGACCAAAAGAAAGGATCGCAGACCTATATGCCTCGAAAAGCACTTTGCATGTTTCCTGCCTACACAGTATCCACAATATAATTACGTAATAGTGCTGCTGTAAATTATATGCAGGCTTTCAGCAAACCGATATAGCATTTAGGGGCCATACCATTTATTAAAGTCCATTTTCATAAATCATTGTTATAATTAGGCCTACATCAAGTCACTCAAGAAAGGTATGTCGAAGTCGAAGGCGAAGGAAAGAACAATATGGGAGTGGCCGGGTGGGGCATATGCTTATGAAAGAGACAGACAAAACGAGAAGGGGCGGCGGAGCGTCTTTCAAAGTGCGGTATACGTGCACCAGCAAAATGGGGCACCTGCAAACGGTAACCTCAAAGCGAAAGATTACTGTTTTAGACAAAGTAATTATTAAATTGTCAGGGATTATATTCAAAATGTTCTCTTTCTGTTTACACGATACTGCCGCTTGTAGCACCACTGTTGTGTGTGGTTGTCTGAATATTAAGATTTTTGAGGTCACATATTTAGATAAGAGCAATTATCAGAGACAGAAAAGTAAAATATTATTAGAAAGGGGGAAGTGGCACTTATTAAAAGGGCCACATCTTCATGCAACATTATGGAGTGGCCGGGTGGGGCATATGCTTATGAAAGAGACAGACAAAACGAGAAGGGGCGGCGGAGCGTCTTTCAAAGTGCGGTATACGTGCACCAGCAAAATGGGGCACCTGCAAACGGTAACCTCAAAGCGAAAGATTACTGTTTTAGACAAAGTAATTATTAAATTGTCAGGATTATATTCAAAATGTTCTCTTTCTGTTTTACACGATACTGCCGCTTGTAGCACCACTGTTGTGTGTGGTTGTCTGAATATTAAGATTTTTGAGGTCACATATTTAGATAAGAGCAATTATCAGAGACAGAAAAGTAAATATTATTAGAAAGGGGGAAGTGGCACTTATTAAAAGGGCCACATCTTCATGCAACATTATGCTAATTTTTGCAAAGTATAGATTATTTTATAGGCCTACCACAAATACATTGTAAATGTCAACGAACTTGTAGGTCGGGAGCTTCCAAAGCCCAAACGGCAGAAACCAGTATTGAGTTAAGTAACTGTAATTGGGTTGTGGCAGGTAAATAATATGGATATCACCTTCATTTTCTTGTGAATAAACATCAGTCATATAAAAAAAAAACATGTTCGATAACTCCTTTCAGATAGAGACTGTAATTTGTATGTGTTATTATCAAAGACTCTGATAATAAACATACAAATTACATACGAATTCCCATAAGTTATAACAATATTGTACATAAGAAATTGCAGAAAATGCACAGATGTTATCATGTTTAGACCATTCAACTTTTAAACTGTTTAATATTATGACTTTCAAACTCTTCAACTTGTAATCTTTTAAAGGTTGACACCTTCTAACTCTTCTAAATTTATAATCTTTGAAGTTGTTAACTTCTAATCTTCTAAACTCTTAATATTCTAAACTTCCAACTTCTAATCTTATCGAGTCTTAAACGTTTTTTTAACTTAAAAAACACAAACTTTCAAGTTCAACACATAAAACAATTAACCCTTTAAACAGTAAATCTATTAATCTTCTAAACGTCGATTAATTGATCCTGTATATATTCTAGTCTTCTTAAATTCTAATATTTCTAAACTCCTATGAAGTTCTAATCTGAATAGCTTCTAATCCTCTTATCTTTTAGACATTTAAACTTGTAACACTTAAACTTTCAAACTTTTACACAATTACATTTTTAATTCATTGACATTTTCAACCATTTAAAATGTGAAAATGTTTTATATTCTTAGGCTCTAAACTTCCAAACGTGTACAAATCCAAGCTTCTTACCTTCTAATCTTAACTTAAAAACTATTAAACTTGTAATCCTTTATCTTTAAAACTTTTAAATCATTAAACCTTTGAATATTGATGTTAAACCGTTAAAACGGTAAAACTTCTTTTTTATTTCATTACTCTCAAACTGTTAATTTTCTCAAAACGGTTAATTTTCTTAATTTTTAAAATTAGAACTTTTTAACTTTTAAACCAAATATAATTATGAAAATTAATATTGTTAAACTTGTAAAAGTTTCATCTTTAAACTTTTAAACTTAACTCTTAAATTTTAACACTTGTAAACCGTTAAACTTTTTAATTTCCAAACTTATGATTACCGTTATTTGTAATCAACTTTGAATTTCAAGATTACTTATCATTGATTGTACACATTTCATATTCAGCAGTATAAAAATGTTTAATTTTTCAGATAGGGAGAATTTTGATTAGACACCCATTTCACCTAATTTTTTTCTTGGAATCTCCCTTATAAATTTTGTATGACTTCCCTCAGTTATGAAAGAAAAATCATGATCTTGAATAAGCTTATAAGTAAGCTGGTTCAAGGCATGGGAAGATTCATGTTGCGTCTAGTAAGAAATTTGTGATAAAATAAATCAAATATTGAATGGAAAATTCAGGCATTTGGATGTTTTAAAAGATATATACTGTAATCTCGAGAATGTATTTTCTATAGGTTAGCTTCATAAAGAATGGGGACGTAATACATTCAAATTATATAGACCACCAAAATATGAGAATAGGCCCTTCAATCTTGGCTAAAGAATGGCTTGAGCGTAAATACAACTTATTGCAAATCAGTGTTCGAATATTCCGTAACCTATCTTAAAAAGGGGCTCTCATCAGAGATAATGCACTTGGTGGAAAGGAAAAGGGGTACTTGTCAGAATAAAGAGGCACATATTATTTCTGGATAGGAGCATTTAAAGGTACTATGTCCCATTTGCAGGCAAAAAAATAATAAGGTTAAATTCCGACGGCATTTGAAGACAATACTAATTGTGAACTTCCCTCAAAACGAAAGGGCTTGAAAATGGCTTTTAGTGGGAAATAACGACCATTAGTTGTCGAATCGACTTCAAGGGAGTGCAGCTTGGCAAATACTGGTTAACGCCATATCATTTTAGGGTCTTTCAGATTTAATTCCTGTCATAAACCATAGTTCTTTTTTGAGATTCTTATATTGCATTTTGTCAAAAGATAAAACAAATAATTTTTCTCAACTATTTGTTTGTTTGTTAATAATTGTTGATTTCAGAATCTTTCATAGATGAAGTCCAATCTGTTAATAACTCAAAACTATTATTCTTCTAAAGGAAATAGCTTGTATTTTATTTCACGTATGGAACATAATAAGTATAATACTCGAGCCTGTACGCGATGTTTCTGTACATAATATCAACGAGGTCGGGATGGGTTGTATAATTATTATCTTTATTGCCGACCAATTCTTTCAGATAGGAGCATATATTGGTTTTTTTTTCCTTCTACTATACATGGGAGAAGGCAGAGGGTATGTCATGGTAATTCGGAGCGAGAGAGAGAGAGAGAGAGGCGAATAGAGCCGGGATAGGGCGAATAGAGAGAGAGAGCGAGAGAGAGAGAGAGGTGGAAGGGTAATATCTACTTCTTCTTCTTCTTGGGGGGGGGGGGGGGGGTCTACACGCGATAGAGATGTCTTGTTGGCTGTATCTCCAAAAAGATGTTAGGTATGCGGTTAATGGTATACTTACAAATACACAAGTCTCAATCTTGGTGAATATAGGTGAACTGAACCAGAAATGATATAATGGACTCCCGATACAGACAATTTATTGGCATAAAAAGTTTGGTCCAAGTTTTCCAGGTAGTTCTTACCCCCCCCCTCCCCCCCCCCCTCCCCCCCCCCCCCCCCCCCCATTGGAGGGGGACTTCCCATGAGACTGACGGCTAATTTTAAGGCACCGACGATACAAAACGAAACTATTAGAAAGTACAATGATTAAATAGGTTCACTAGAGTATCTAGACTGATAAAACCAAGAAATGCAGAAGATAAGATAGAAATATGCTGTCGGTCCCTTTTGCATGTTTGGTCGATTACATCAGGAGATTTAGGGTTCGATTTAGTTCAGGTCAGTTCTCATGCTGATAATAAAAATCTGTTACCAGCTTATACATGTACCTTATTGCCCTTTAAACCACTAACGCAAAGACACTTTATATATTTTTCGATTTGGAAAGACACGAACAGACATTTAATCATTTCCCATAACTTATAAAGCTTTGATATAAATCGCAACTTATTAGCGACAGATTTCAATCGCAACTATGTGCGTAAGAGATACGAGACTACAATCTTGCGATTGATTTGGATCAATCACAACTCTTTATTAGACGGGGCACAGACCTGCAGAAAGAATATGACGAATATGACACAACACTGTGTACTATATTCTATAAATCAGTCCATATACCACGCCCCCAAAACACCACGACTGTATAGGCCTACGTGCTGTTCAAACTAGGTCATAACATAATAAATTTTGTTTTGCTCAGATCATCGTATCTGCCTATACGGCGTATACCACTCACGGTAAGGATACAAAGGGCATGTTTTGGAAAAGGTTTAGTAGAGACCAATTGATTGAATACTTCTTGTTTACTGGCATTCCAGGACAATTATATAGGACAGGACGTAGCACCGTAGATAAATGTCAATGAAGTAATAAATTGAAGTTATACGGTTACGCAAGTTGCTTCCTAAACTCGTTTTTGAGGAAGTAGATCTAGGAGATAGTCAGAGGTGATCTGTCGTGTTCATCGGAACGGTACGTGCTTATAACAAGGAGAAAGAAGAATGGGTGAGTTCATTGTCTTTTAATTCTAATACTATTTCTGAAGATATGGTTTAGACGTTTGAAACCTGTAGAGGATGTAATAAAGTTGCCTCTTTCTATACAAGCACTGTATAGCTTGTCTGTGTGAAATATCATACACTTGATTTTAAGAGATCATCCAGGCTTGAACAGCAAATTAAAAGAAATCTTTGGTAGCATAGATATTTACTTAATAACTAAGTCTATATTATCAACATTCCTATATAATTTATACGTACTTCTATTAACACAGTATATCACGAAAATATCACACTGAACCAGCGGTAAGTACAAAATAGTTTTATAGTTGTGAACCACGGAAAAAACCAACCAGTGAATTAAGAATGATATGCTTACAAACGATCGTGTAATATAATATGAAGAAGATCGATAAAAACTATTTTTAGTATAATGCAAAGACACCATGCGATCAATGTAATGGATACAGAGGTCCGTTCTTCCTGAAATGATAACAAGCTGAATAATGACAATGCAGATCCTACCCGACACTGATTTTTGCAGAAGACTTGCATTATGTAGTACGCAGAGATCATTTGCATGTTTTTTTGTGACAATGTGTTTTCCTAGGGGTATAACAGTCAGGCGCGTACGCAGGATTTTTTCAAGGGGGGGGGGGGGGGGGGGGGGGGGGGGGGGGGTTAACATTTTTAAATCGGGCCGAAAATTTCGCATCGACTCAGCCAGCCGCTGAATAAGCGGGGGGGGGGGGGGGGGGGGGTAAGAGGACACCTTTTTTAGGTCAGCCATGGGAATAATTTTTTTTTTTAAATTATTATATTATTTATTATTTTTTTTTTTTTAAACCAAAGAGGGGGGGGGGGGGGTTTAACCCTCCAAACACCCCCTGCGTACGCGCCTGATAACAGTAATAAATGTTGTGGTAAAGTAGTCCATTCACTTCATGTCAATCGAGAGGGTGCAAATATATCTTACAAGTGTAATTCTCTACATTTCGGGATTTCGATCTCGACCCAGGTGTATACTGTATAATTATGTAAGACTCGATTCTTCCGTTGAAATGCATTGCTTTTACGGTATATACATGTAGGCCATTTGCACCGTCTTCTTCCATAATAGTAGGGCGCTTTAGTAACGAGACGGTACGCACAGGAGACGGTAATGCGAGCGAAAAAAAAAAAAACTGCGCATGCGCGATTCTGAATTATCTCCGTCCCGTCGATTTTCGGAACGGTACTCGGCCAACATAGCGTTCGTTCCCTAAACACGACGTAAGAGAGAGAGAGCTGACAAATAAGTTGTATCTAGATCTAACAATGCAGGGCCCTACTGAAGATAAAAACAGGGAATCTACTAGTGTTTCCAATGTCTGTTCGGTATCTATACCTCAATCTACAATAAATTGATGGTTTGGCTGTTTAGGCCTACTTTGGGGGCCCTTTTCATCGTTATGCATGACGTGCCTGCACGCTGCGCACTACAGCCCACCGCCGGGTCTATTGCCCCGGCGCTCCGGCCAAGCCTCGAGGCCCAAGAGCACTAGCACCAAAATGCAGCAGGTGTGCAGTTCAGCGCGGCTTTGCGTCCCCGTCGCCTTTAGCAGACAGCGAAAGCGCTTAAACATCACGACGGTAACAAGAGTGCGAGACCCGTCACAGTTGGTTAAACACTCCGTCTCCTGTGCGTACCGTCTCGTTACTAAAGCGCCCTAGTACCCCAACAACGTAGGCCTACAAATTGATGCACCATAAACATTCCTGCGTATAACTGAAATTGTTCCAGGACATTGATGCCTAAGACCCCCGTCACACACTAAACAGACCACCACCAGACCGATACCAGACCGTACAACATGTCATTACCTCCAATGTCCAAGGATCGGTTGGTCTGGAATCGGTATGGAGACAGTTTGGCGACGTAACTGAGGGAAATGCACGATGATGATGAAATTAAAAAAGATAAATCATCATCTCTTGTATTCTCCTAGCTAACCCCAAGTCTCGAATAAGACGTTTGTTCAGTCATCCAAGTGAGGCTATGCAGGATGGCGACAGAGAGGAGATCCTCTATGTTGCCTGTTCACCTTCTAACCCGAGGAGAACAAGGGACACCCTGATGTATTGATAACCCTCGACGTCCAGTCGGATTTAGACACATACGGCAAGGTAACGTTTCCTCCACCTATATTCCCTCTATTTCAGTGACGTGGCTACAGGGAGGGGGGGGGGGGGGGCAAGCGCGTAGCCGGGATTTCATTTTAGCGGGGCGGTAGTGGGCACGCGAAGCGTGCGAATCACTTAAAGAAGCTTTGAAAGAAGCCGATTCGTTGTACCTTTCTCGACTCATAATCCTTGTCTGAATTCAGTCCGCCCTTCTGCGCATAGCGCGGAAGAGCTTTGACGTATTATTAGACAAAGAAGACGATTCGTCGTACCTTTCTCTACCCTTAATCCTTATCTGTATTCAGTCCCCCTCCCGCGCAAAGCGCGGAAACTTTGAAGTTTCATTAAATTATTAGTGAAAGAAGACGACTCGAAGTACCGTTCTCGACTCCTAATCCTTGTCTGAATTCAGTCACCCCCCTCATCCTGCGCGAAGCGCGGAAGCTTTGACGTATTATTAGACAAAGAAGACGATTCGTTGTATCTTTCCCGACCCTTAATCCTTATCTGTATCAGTCCCCTCTTTCGAAGCGCGGAAGCTTTGACGTTTTATTAAATTATTAGAGAAAGAAGAAGACTATTCTTTGTTCCATTCTCGACTCTTAATCCTTAATTTGAACTCAATTTCCCCCGTTCGCCGCGAAGCGCGGAAGCTTTGACGTTTCATTAAATTATTAGAGAAAGAAGACGATTCGTTGTACCGTTCTCGACTCCTTTCCTTTTTTTTCTTCCTACGTCCTCTTACTTTTTTTCTTCTCTTTCTCTCTCTCTTTTTTTTGGCCGGCGTTTTTTTTTTTTTTTTTGGGGGGGGGGGGGGCGACCACCCCCACCGCCCCCCTGGCTACGCGCCTGGGGGGGGGGGACAAGGGGCGTCACGATGGTTCACGATGGAGTGGTGGAAAGGAAAAGAAGAGAAAGGAAAAATGAAGAGAACAAGAGGAAGGGAAAGGGGCCCAATCTTTCCAGTGCCCCCCTCATTTGGGGGACTCATGCTACGCCACTGCCTCTTTATAAACATATATTGCGAAACGGTCATTAACTTAGAATCATAGATACTCACCTCTTGAATTTGTATTTAAAGCTCTTTTATTATAATTTATTGCACAAAGAAATCGAACGTTTGTTGACGTATATGTGACAAACTGGGTTCTTGCCCGTATTTTGACGCGCATCATTACAAATTTCATTTGTGGATAATTCTGACTAAGGAATAAAATGTGCATTATTTAAAAGTACATGTAATATCTACCAGGCTAGGGTAGTGGTCTAGTAGATCCACTTATGATCACCATAAGTTGACTAGGTGCATTATGTCTGCATTAACAACATGCAAATGCATTCTTCTCTTTACTTTATTTTTCATGACGAGTACTGAGAAACTAGATCTTTTAAATGTTGGATAATTCTGTTTTAGGCATGACACTGCAAATAAATGAAAGAGATGACAAGTGAAAGCAAACACAAAAGCTTAATATAGCATATACGATCAAAGGTTAATGTTATGGTAAGTGCGTTCGGATGCGCTTAGTTTATTATCGTTTTGTCAACTTCCTTGAGTTTGTGAGTGGGCAATGAGACAAAACGACGGTTTCAGAATAAACAAACAAAACAACAATGGGTGTGAGAAAGCATGTATGTAAGCCGAACAAACACAATCACGGTATTTGTTGAACTATTTGTAGCCTATTACTTCATGTCTCGATTATCATGATTATCATGTTAATCAGTGGCATATTTCCATGTTTGTGATTATTGTTATTTGACTACCGAAACTGTCACTCTTGTTTTGTATATTGAATAATCTCTATAATTGGATGACTGTATGGAAAAGAGTGACTGTGATACTGAGGAGACAATATTTGTTTTATATTCTGTTCATGTTTTTAACTAAAAGGCCATTACTTTGATATTAAACATGATATATCAAATTCCACAATAAGTAAACCTACTACAACTACTACTACTACTATATGCTGCTACTTCTACCTACTATATTGTACATTAATCTTTAGGGCCTACTATAATGCTACTACTCCCACTTATATTAAAGGAGAACTAACCCCAAAGAATAACTTTAGTCGTTCTGAGAGATTTATTGCATTCTTGCCCATCAATCTACAAGATTCCCCAAAGTGTATGAGAAAGGCATAAAGCAAGAATAAAGTACAGTTCCTCAGCAAGATAGTAACAATGATATTTTTTTTGACTGCCTGACGTACTGTATGCGGGGTCGTTTATCAACTAAATGTATTTAAATTTATGGATGCGCCCTTCCCAGGTGTTTATGGTGTCGAAGCACTTCATTCACCTGCTATTATCTTTGAAATCCAATCGCCAGAACGCAAATTTCGTAAATAAGTTGTTGCTGTTCTGGGGTGAAGGTTTCGCATAAATGAAATAGATTTTTTCAACCGCAATATTTTAGTATTTTTAAATAAATTATTTACAACTGTTACCCTATTATATATTTTCACCAAATGTAATTTTACCTTCTCGGCTATGATTTTCCCTCATTGAAAAGTAAAGGTTTGTAATTGAATCAAAAAGTCTTTCCAATTAAAGCTTGGTGCATGATACATGTACAACTCCACCTGCATGGTGGGTCACATTTTCATCATGCCAACAAAATCTTCATTTAATATATAATTATCTCTTGTACACGTTCGTAAGATTTATTGTACATCAAAAGGCAGAAATTCATCTCGTTTTTCAGAATACCTATGGATTTTTTCGTTGGGGTTAGTTCTCCTTTAATATCTGTATACCTCAGTAATCACTTACTCTGCTTTAGTCATTGAGCTACCTCTAGAGTGTTCTCCTTATGGGCCTCTGGTTCATATTCGTTCTTCATTTTCTCCTTCCTTTGATCATTCCAAAGCTAAATTTCCATCATTTACATCTATGTTAATGTTTACTTTTCGTTATGTCACCATACATCTACAACTCCGTTCGTTTCTACAGATGTCGCTCTGATTTGTTCCCTTTTCACTTCACTACGGGTACATTTTAGCAAGGGGATGTTGCCCTGCAAATTTAAATTATCTAAACTTAGGATGAGAGAGAGATAGAGAAAGAGAGAGGGGCATTTTATATCACCGTAACATATTATTCCGTCATCAATTTACACTATAGAAATGACATATTATTTTGAGCACCTTGGAGCCCAACTATGAAGAAGTAGTTGCCCAAATAGAGGATCTTTAAGGAGGGCTCCAGTCTCTCCACCCCCCACCTCGTACGCCCATGTTTTCTTGTTTTTGTTTTATCATTCTCCAAATCATGTGTTGCCCATGCAGTGATCCATCAGCTGAGGATGCCTCACGTTGGCGACGAGATATCCCGTCTTGGATGGAATACCTGCATGAGTTGCTATGGGGAAGATGAAAGCGCAAGTCATGGAATGTTGGTTGTCACCTGTCTGCGATCATCCAGGATATACATCATCGATGTGGCTTCTGACCCCAAAAGCTCCTGCTATCAAAAAGGTATACATCATTGTTTCGTTCCAAATAGTTTGTTTACCGATCGGATAGGGATGTTATTGGGAACGACCTATTAATAACGTCACAATCTAAAAAGACCAGACTCAGTTTCAAACCTTGAACCTTGAACCTTGAACCTTGAAGAATTACTCTCCCAAAAGCGTGAACGCTGTCATGGAGAGGGCTGTGCTGTGTTGCGTGCTGGGGTCGGTCACATTAAATGCAGAGTTAAAAACAAAGAGCCGAGCAACAGACATCTCCAAGGACGTCCCTATAGAAAAGTTTAAGGGAGGGGGGGGGGGGGGGGGGGTTCGGACCAACTGTTGCCAACTCTCATCATATGGGATTTTTTGCTATGTGTTTGAAGGGAAGAGGTTCGCTTCCCCTCATAAGGCTTCATTCAACAAGACATTATAATCATAGCCGAGGAATTATAAGACGAATTAAATGAATAGGGAAGGGGACTATATGGAGACGCTGCTCAGGGAAGACAAAATATATTTGAGATTGGAAGTGACATGACCGGGATGGCAGATCGACCATAGATCTATAATGAGCACCCAAGGCCACAAAATCAAGTAATTATTGTTTATCATTTTGTTTCATAATTTCTTTATCATGATAGGTAATAGAAGATGAAATGATCCGTGAGAGATCGGGATTGACCAGCCCAACGACTAGCCATTGCCTGGGGTTTGGTCAAGTCATGGTTAGTGCATTCGACAAAGGAGAAGACCAATGCGATAAAGGTATTTCAGATATGTTATCACTGGCGCAACTATAATGAATATACTCCTATGATTGACTACACCAGCGGGGTGATGATACATTATTGAACGAATCTCAAAATGATTTGCCAATATATTATACGAATATACAAAAATACAACTGGTATCAATAATGGTAACGTTTTCCTCTTGTGATGACCCTTGTCATGGTCCAGAAAGAACTTTAAGATTGTGTCTACATGTTTTATATGTTAGCTGGCATCATAACTAAAGGGACAAAATTATCACTTTGATTCCATTACCTGCTATTCCAGTGGACCAAAAAAAAAATGGTGGGATATTTCTAATGTTACCATTCCGAAACCATCTTGGTGAAATGCAAATTGGGAATTTAATTGTATAACTCCTATAAGTATATTTTTCCTTTGTAATTATTGTTGAATGGCTCATGTTGTCCATAGTAACTATAGCCTTGTACAGTACTTTGTTTGTTTGTTTGTTTTATTTCCGAAAATCATCATAAAAAACAATAATAACACAATATAACAAAATCAAAGACTTATATATCAATAATAGAATGATAAAACGGTTGGATAGTCCATTTCAGTGCCATTAACCTAATGGCTCTGTTCTTCCATGGACGCACGGACCATGACAATGTTGTTGTTGTTGTTTTTGTTGTTGTTGATGATGTTGATGATGTTTTTATTGTTGTCTTTGTTTTATATCAGGTGGATTCTTTGTCCTGGATGGTGAGACTCTCGATGTGAAGGAGCGTTGGGATAGTGGTCACGATTCTAATGTCTTCTGTCATGATTTCTGGTATCAACTCCTAACACATAATGTCATCATCAGCAGTACTGGATGGGGGCGTCGTGATATCTTCAACGGTCAGACATCTATCAAGGACGCCATCTCTCAAGGTATGACACCTCAAGACCGCGATATATTTTATAACTTTTACATTTTAAAATTTGCAATATTTTAAGTGGTTCGAAACAACTCTCAAGGATGTAATAACTCGAAGAATACATTGACGCAGCAGAATTTGTGATGGTATTATAACATAAAGCCGCGATATTAAATTAATGTCCGTGACAGATAATAGTAGTAGGCCTAAAACACCCCAACGCCGTGAAAAATGCAAATAGTACGAAGAGTATGTTTCAATGCCATACCCCATCATGACAATAAACATATAATCCATTTGATTGTTTCACACACACACGAATGTTATGGCTATAGTTACATTATTGTCATCCCGAACTGATAATCAAATTCTTCGTTATTCATGGTCAGTCCTCCATCTAAAAAGTAAGCCTACCGCTTTTCTTCAGTAACTGAGGATATCAAAATACTCACATGCTCATTTCATGGCTTATTCATTTCATTGCTCATTTTAAGGCTCATTTCGGAGCTACAATGTTCATAGCAGTGGAAATAATTAATGACATCACATGAATAATTCATTAAACTTTTCAGCTTCTGACAGTCGGAACCTGCACGTTTGGGATTTTGAGAAGCGAACTGTTACTCAGGCCATTGACCTTGGCGAAGATGGCGCTGTTCCACTAGCAGTAAGATTTCTTCACGATGCCGACCAGAGTGTCGGTTTTGTGTCGTCTGCTTCAGGAAGTGCTATCTTCAAGTTCTTCAAGACGAGTGTAAGATTTATTTATTATTTCACTAACATCGCTTTCAGTAATAAGACAACTTCCACTTCATCTTACAGGTTCAAGAAAAAAAAGTTATACCAATTCAAACTAAACTAAAATTGATGGTCCAATGTTCACATGATGAACAAATTTATAAGGTGAAAATATCATGATATAAATTGTTGCTGGGTAAAGCCGGGGTAATAACATGATCGCAGGGCCCTCAATGTGAACAATATTAAAACTGGAAAGGCTAACATTATTATCATTATCGTTATTATAATTATTATTATTATTATTATTATTATTATTATTGAATTACTATTATAATTTTCATTATTATTATCATTATATTAATATTATAATTGTTTTTAATATTAAATTAACTTCTACTTATTCTTGTTATTATTATCATTATCATTAGTATTGTTATTTATGATCATCATCATTATTGTTATTATTATCATTATCATTGTTACTCTTATTATTATCATTATCATTATTATTATTATTATTATTATCATTATTATTACAAATAACTAAGTAGTCAAATCAATCATTTACACAAAAAAGGCAAACTAAATCTTAATTATTTTTTTCCCCATAGGATGACAAGTGGTATGCCAAGAAAGTTATCAGCTTCACCCCTGGAGAGCTTTCACGGGATGGATATAAATCCCTACCAGGTAAAGTGCTGCTTGAGGTATGAGGTGGCGTCTGTCAGAGTATTGGTAATTAGCATATCCTCGAATGTGCTGTAGCGCCCCCACCACACCCAAGCTAACAGCTCCACTTGGTAGGCTTATGCCTGTAATACTTCTTCGTGAGCTTATAATTTAGTCAGAAAATGCATCGATTTTAAAAACAATAAATGATTAGGAATTTTTAGGGGGATGAGAAATAATGTTGGATTTAAATTATTCTACCGCAAGATAATTATACTGGCCTTCTCTTTCTTAGTCATTCTAGATATAATGAGGAGAGCCTCCAACAGAAACTCAATTTCTTCTGATGGCCTTTTTCCTGTTATTGTGTTAATTATTGTAATTCATTTTCTTGTATTCTTTGTTATTGTTATACGGGCTCCTTTATGTTCCTGGAAATGAAATTAAAAAAAATAAAAATAGCGCTTTATAACTCGTGTTTGCGCCAATGAGGGATAGATTACTGTGCAGCATTATTATTCTTAAATTGAGTATTCCATGGATTTTTCCACATCATTTCATCGACAGCTGTGACGTCCGACTTGGTATTATCATTAAACGACCGGTTCTTGTACTGTTGTAACTGGATGTATGGGGAGGTTCGTCAGTATGACGTCACGGATACGGACAACCCCAAACTCGTCGGGCAGGTCAGTCAACATTATCGTAAATACATTTCATGCAGCTTAAAGCCCTTTAAAGTGTGTGGGAGCCCAAATTCGCCAACAATTTGATGGCAAAATTTCACTTAAATTGTATCATAATGTGAAAGACACAAGGACTAAGCATGGAGTCGCCAAGAATTTTGGGAGCTTCTTGGAGGAAGACACACTTCTGCAAAGATTCCCCGGCCCCCTTAAAAACGTGTTGAAGACAAATATTGACAAAAGAATACATAATTTGGGTTGTCTGTAGCACACAGAAAACCTAAATTCATATTCTTTCATCAATATTCGACTTCAAACACATTTGTTATGAAAATACTTGCAGAAAATTAAATGACATCGTCTTTCACATAATGATACACTTTAAGTGAAATGTTGCCATCAAATTTTTTGGGCTCCCAACACCAAAGAGGGGATTTACATTTGATAAGCTCATATGTATACAATTTTGAGCGGCTCACTGAATCGCTGATTAACAAAGGGGTCTCTTTAAAAGTGTTTTGAATGGCTGATATCTTAGGCGTATGGGCATTATTTTGCTGGGGAGTTGGGGGCTGGCGTCTCTTCCTCGAATAAGGGAGCTAAAAATACACACCTTTCTAGAGTGAAAAATGTAATGTTTTCATTCAAAGTTATTGGAAGATGTAAAAAACAAGAAGGAGATTATCGCGCTCAAATACCCCGATATGCATATAATTTAAAATTTCTTGGAGCGGGGAAAGAACAGCTGCAGCCCTCAGCCCGCGCCCCATAGGCCAATGGTTGACATAATTATCTATCTGACCAAGTTTCTACCCACCCTAAGCTTCCGTGAGTATCTCAAACTCAGTTACCTTTGATTTGTAATACAAGCTATTGCTCTTAATTACAGGTCCAAATCTGCGAGGTTTATGACAAGAATGCGAATCCAGATGAAGGAGGTGTCAAAGGTCAAAGGATCCACGGCGGCCCTAGCAACATGACGCTAAGTTTGGATGGAAGACGTCTCTATGTGACGACATCGCTGTTTAGCCGATGGGATGCAGAGATTTACCCTGACACAGTCAAGTAGGTTATATATATGTGCTTATCTCGAATTTCATTATGATTTGTTTGGCCTTTCCCGTCTCTTCGTTGTCCATGGACATTAAAGATAAAGTTGAGTTCTGGTCATGCGATTGCATTGTGAAAGAAAAGGTGTGGAATGGATCAGAAAAGTTGATCATATAGCATGTAAGTAATGGTGTGTAATGCAAGGTTCTGGAGTCATCAAAATCAGAGTCTTGGTAAAGTAACAATCACTTACACAGAAAGATGTATATGGGACAACACACATGGTGTCGGGGCTAGTACTACCCTGATTTCCTTATCTTTCTATGCTCATTACTCAGCCAGTATACATTTTCTTCCAAAATTGTTTAGCACATGACATTTATTTGTAATCTTGAACAATCAGTGTAAGTTTCGTTAGATTCTGTGAGAATTCATTTTCTTTTTTTACCAGAACTCAAGTTTATCTTTAACATAACTAAAAAGTATTAACATGATACATAAAGGAGTTTTTGGAATTATTATGAACGTATCAAGATGATGCAAAAACTCTATTCTCTACTCCTTTCAAAAACAAACAAAAGAGTACATGAGGTGCTGTAAAATATTTAATGGCAAAGTAAAACAAGTTATAAAAATGATAAGGGTAAGTGCTTCATAAAAATGTTATGTCCTTAATTTCTAGTTTGATAAGGAGCATTATAAATTATCTCCCAATTTCATTATCCTTTTTGGTATAGGAATGGATCATCTCTCGTCATGATTGACATCAATCCAGACGAAGGGGGGTTGACTCTCAACCAGGGCTTCATGGCCGAGCTCACCGGGCTGGGAGATGACGGGACATCGGTGTCCCTGTTAGCCAAGGAGATGCGATACCCAGGGGGCGATTGCACCAGTGACATCTTTCTTTCTTTGTGTTCCTTACAACCTAAGAAGGTTTTTAAAAGATTAGGCTTCATTCGTTTTGATAATTAGATTGTCAAATTCGCATCCTGGTCGATTTTTTTCTTCTGTCGATTATATGATTAAAAATATGTATAGTTTCTAATTCTAATTTGATTTGAAAATATAACAAAACTGTGTTTGGTAACAACTCGAGAAAGAGGGTGTGAGAGAGAGAGAGAGAGAGAGAGAGAGAGAAGGGGGGGGGGGTACCTTGTGGTTGATTCACATTATTGTTATAAGATAATTTTATAAGTAAATATATTTGTATTAAAAAAAACACTAACACGAGCACAAAAACACATAGGTGTGAATCTACGTATGTGCCAAACTGGGTTTTACATACAGGGTAGTGGAGGAGGGAAAGGGGGCATGTGCCCACATTTCCCTTCAACCCTCAAACGCATGTACGTGTACAACGTTCGATAGAGGCATGCAAGTCAAGAAATATATTATTCTTTATATAAATATTTCGATAGAACGCTTTCACACTAGTCTTGTTACAATCATTCTATCGGAAATTCTAACGGATATTTACAAATTTTTAATTCTATTTTTTTAACATGTTGAAGAAACTGCAAATAGTAATCAAACTTCCACGTCTTAGACATCTGCTGAATGAATATCCTACCTCTTCTTTTCTATATTTCTATAGAGTCATATTATCTTGAGAAACAACTTTGCAATGTTTACAATTTTGTCTTCTTGCTTCTATTTTGTATTTTTGTTATGTTTTGTCGTTTCTACTTAGTGGAAGGTTAGTCTCATAAGGAACTACATATACTTGTTCCTTCTTGGCTCTGTACCTCACTCATGCAATATTGTGTTATGAACATGAAATCCTTTGCTTTTGTCGATGTTGATTGTCAAATTTGGTTTAAAAAAAAATTGGAGTTGTAAAAACAATAATAAATCACTATAATGGAATGTCAGCTGCTGAAAAGAATCAAGACTTTTTATCTGTGTTTTGCTTTGTAGGACCTCTCAGCATAATGTTTAATAAACCGTAGTGTAATCTGACTCACAAACTTATCTCAAGTAAGCCTATAAACTGGCTGATTAGTGATCTAGGTATACAAACGAACCAACGATCTCTGATTGTTGGGCTGTGAAAATCTTTACGCTATCTCCTTTAGCATATATGTCTTTGTCCAAAATAGAAGTATAATCCAGGTCCCTGAGCCTGTACTGTCATATTTTCTCTATTCAAATGTGTTACCTGTTTACAGCTAGGGCAAGGTGGCGGACACCCTGACATTATTGATGAATAGTTGCCAAGTTCTGCAGTACAGTGTGCATTGGTGCTAAACAACCTGTTATAGATCTTTTCTTTTTAATACCGCGATAGTGAGGGTGGTGATTTTTTTTTGTTTTGTTGATTTCGTATCATTCCAGAGAATATATTGTAAGTGCTGGCATGGTGTTATCACCTAGCTTCAGAGGTATATCTTGTTCATTGTAGGCATGTACAGCTTATACGCCTTAAACATTTATATATATATTTAGATATAGTCCATCATAAACTTAATTATATTCAATGTAAGTCAATCATAATTGTTTTAAAGGTGAAATTACGACTGATTCTTTTTTATTGTGTCTCATACATTAGATGTGAAACGAATATTATTTTGTTACCCAAACTACTTTATTGCGATTCAATTTAACTAAGTCAGGGGCTTGCCTCATACAAGCTCTGCTTTTTTAGCAAGCCCCTCCGTTTTGAATTACTTCATCAAGGTCTTTTTTTTTTTCTATTGTTCAGTACTGTTTTTTCCCAATATTTCTTATCAGCTAAATTTTGTTCTACATAATACTGAATTTACTTTGTTTATATTATATTTGACTGTATTATATTATGTCTGTTTATATTTTGTTTGTCTTGAAACGGAAATAAATCTGAATCTGAATCTGAATCTAAATGAAAGTGTACTCGAGTCTGATATTGCATGTGTACACACTACACATACATTAACAACTAGATTAGTCATACCCTTACCAAGTTTTTGATTTTTTTTCTTCAGTATGAGCAAAATCGATTTGTCAGGATTTATGTTTCTTGACAATGTAATATATTAAAGCTTAGACCTAAACGCATTCAATAAAGGCCCTAATTCAACAGGCCCATCTTTCATTCTTGAGTTACGAAACACACAAGAAACATCAATTTACAAGGGGTATATGAATAATTAGTTATTAACTGTATATGTCATGAACAGAGATGCTGTCTCTGGCATAAAAAAATAGTTCATAATTATAAAAAATATAAAAAAGATATATACATGAATTTTACACACTCCGTTCAGAAGACATAGTAAAGTGGAATGATGGCAGTGTTCGAAACGCCTGGATGACGGTCACAGCGACAGGCATGCCGTGCTCGAAAGCCAGAAAAGCACGATCATGTTGAAACCATCGTGGTCATTGATCACGGAGTATTGCAGTCATTATTGTTCTCATAATCATCAAAGACTTCTCTCCATTCTACCATGCTAACATCTCTCCAATGTTCGTAGTCTTGCTGCCAGTCGTCCTGATTCGCATCACCAGAATCATTGTCTGAAAAGGAGAGGAACAAAGTACCCCAAATAACCTCCTTGTCCTTCCAGAAGAAGACACATCCGAAGCAAATGTAGCTCTAAGAAATACTCCCTATTTTAATAATCCGTCGGCTCTCTGCATAAACGACACTAACGCCATAATTCGTGGCTGTAGCGCCTTTTTAGCTGTGAGGCCACGAATTTATGATACATCTAAAATCATTGGAATCATGGGAAACATACGTAATTATGATTTGCATGCCGATTGCTATTTTTCTGATCAGTGAATTAAATGCAACTCTAATTCTTGGTACTATAGTGGGTAACTGGGTATCACAACATGACATAGTTTTGGAAATATATTTTAATAAGATATATTCAGTCAATCAATAGCGTTACGTAACTTTATTTTCTGTTCGAGGGTGTGATATTGTCTTGACTTTATTTCGCATTTAGAATTCTTCTTCTTCCATTGGAATACATCCCTCTTACAGTGTTTTGTCGTACTTTGTCTTTGTGCAGAGAAAGGCGCGTGGTCGTAGGAACACGTGCAAGGGAGGTGCAGTGACGGACAAATTAGAAAAAATCATATTGAAAATTAATATAATATGAAAATATTAGGAATAAATATAAGGAACTTTGTTTACCATAATTGTATAAGGAAGGAGCGTAGTCCATCCAGAAAGAGCATGTGTCCATCCTCATAGCTCGACCGTTTTCCATTGTCAGAGACAAGTTCTTGTATTCTTGATCAGGTAGTGTGTATCTTGGCCAGACAGGAAGATCACTGGTTGGAGCAGGGTCGTTAGGGTCCCTGGAAGGAAATGGATTGTATATAGCATGGGTGGATCCAAGATTTTGGAGAAGGGAGGGAGCATGATTGTTGCATTGGGCTTAATCGGGGTGAAGAGCCGCTGGTCCCCCCCCCCCGAAAAAAAAAAATCGCAAATGGATTACAGGATCGTATTTCGAAAGGGGTATATGCTCGTCACCATGAACTGTTCACGATATCGTCTGTCAAGGTGTAAATTAACTGGTCCAATTAATCATGATAATACTTATTCACTTCCTTGAATTTCGACCAGTACTCGTATTGACTATCGTTTACAATTTTCAAGAAGATGTACATGATGGAAGCAATTTATTGAACCGTGGACTGGTTATAAAGAAATTATAGTCTGCAACATGTATGTGCTTCATGTAGGCCCTATAAAGAAATCACAAAGTAAGCTAACAAGAATAACTTGATAAATTCCTTACCCATTATTGATAAAATTAGTCCAATACCGCATAATTTGTATCGACATGAGTTTCTCCTCGTGCGTCTGAGTCTGATTTCGTCTGCTTTTGATGCCCCAACCGAAGACATACTGCAGCTCCTCTCCATGCCCCGCCCTCAACCATCCTGGTCTTTCACCCACGACTGAACGAGAGGGATCATGGGTCATTTCATAGCGATACACTGTGGCTTGAGTTCCTTCCAAAGCACGAGCCGTTATTTCAGTTGGACACGAAAATACCTGGTAAAAGAAGGGAATTTTTTGTTTTTTCTTCTAGATTTGTGTAACTTCGGAGTATGAACATCACATACTTATAGTCCGAAGGACTGTGCTATTGATTACTAGCTTTCTTTGTACGCCCATTGGCGTTCGGTGTTTTTTGTAATCTCTCATAGCAGAAAAACGGTATAAATAGCTAAAGGGGCTACACAAAGAAAAATTCACTACAACTGATAATTAGAACAAATTACATATGGATGGAAATATTTTCTCTTGAAAAACACGAATAAAATGCTGAGAAATCATATAGATATCATGGAAAGGCGTAAAATGCAATTTTTCAAGACCCTTCTTAGACCCCCGAACGCCCCTGAACGTAAGCTAAACACACGAGCGTAGCGAGCTCTGAATAGTGACGTCACACACTGGACAAACAGCTCAGTACCGGCCGTGTGACGTCACAAATATTGACGCTCTACAAAGGACCGCTGAAGGCAGAAAATCTGGATCTCAAAACTATCATTTTTGAGAGTTGATTACTGCGGGCCCCAAACATATTTTGAAGAGGAGAGTTGTTGTATTTGATCAGTAAGGCTTCCCCTTCGCAATGATATGAGTTTTGCATCAATTCAAAACACTTTTGATTCTTCGTGTGTCTACTTTAAGCAACCATGGATCCGTGTAACATGATAATTATTTAGTGAGCATAAATATAATCCCAAAGAAGTATCATAGGGCATATGCAGGGTGTAAAGTAGATTGTAACGAGCTAGATTACTCAGTGACAAATCAAATGTTATCTTAAAAAAAGAAGGGGGGTTCTTATAAGACGAGAGAGTAGGTTTCATTCGGGCAGAATATATGGGCAGGCCCGCATGAGTAGACCCTCTGGAAGTTACTTTTTTTCCTCCAATGCCAAAACGGGAGAGAGGGCTAAACAGCGTTTTCCTATGTTGGATACGCTACTTGATAAATTACAGGATAGCAAAACAGTTATACTTTCTTGTTCTCTAACTTATTATAGCTAGACTTTACCTGATCGGTGTTCAAACGCACGAAAGCTTCAAGCTGATCTGCTGACGAGTCGTCTGCTACCGTCCAGTCAATATACCACTGTTCGACAGCCGACGCAAGTAAAGGTGTATAGTAGTAGAGATAATCTGGTAAAAACTCTCTGAACTCCTGTAGTGTCATGGTAGGAGGGTCCTTCCTTCTCAAATACAACGGGTTAGCACGAAGGGCTATAAGGGTCCCCTCATCTTCGTTCGTACCGAGCAGGGTTGGCACGCTGTGGAACTCCTCTCGTTTTATCATGTCGATCGGGATGTCGGGAATGAAAGCGCCGTCGACCACGGGTACGAACAGGAGCTCATTGAACAGATATTTTCCAACCAGCTGCAATGGGGTGGGTGAATAGGGAATTCATTATCTTTGAAGCAAGATATTTTGACCAAAGATCACCGAACAATACTATTTTGTTGATACTACGATGAAAAGTTATGTGTATTGATCAAGGTAAATGATTATAGCTAATACATAAGGCCAAACGTGTTGTTAATAAAGTGCATTTAAAACTGATTAGATTTATCATCTATTCCAGCAAATCAAAAGCACAGCCAACTTTTAATGATATGTAACTAAGTTATTACTCATGATCATATAGGCACATGGGGTTGTATCATCGATAGAGATCGTTCCGAACTACCAATACTCGGTCGACCATCACATTCGGGCAGCAAGGTTGTATACTTAATTATAGAACGTGCGAAAAAGTGTAATGTGTCATAACTTAATTCGTTGGCAAAAGTTCAGAAACGGTGAAAGTTAAAATTCGGACGCAAGACTTTAGCGCCAGGAGGACATCATGACCATACGTCTAGGGTTTCAGTTTTCAACAAAGATTTTACGCGGACTGTTACTTACCAGAGCCTGTGTCCTTAACAAGACAATAACATCCGTATTTCTCAAGCACTCGACCAGGGCTTGGTTGTCGGTAGTGGTACAGTTGACCCTGTCTGCGATCTCATTTGTGAATCCAATCTGTCTGTCAATATTGGTATCAACGGCCCAGGGACATAGGGCGTTTCCACTCTGTCGTAATGAAGAAGAACGAGTCACAATCAGGGGCGTACGCAGGGGGGGGGGGGGGGTGTTTTGGGGTTCAAACCCCCCCCTTTGGTATTTTTATGTATGTAAACCCCCCTAAAAAAACCTAAAACCCCCCCCCCCTTTGGTTTTTTTTTTTTTTTATTATTTAAAAAAAAAAAAAAAAAAAAAATTTACCCACGGCTAACCTAAATAAGGTGACCTTACCCCCCCCCCAACGAAAAAATGTCAAATTTTGAAATTTCGAGACCCCCCCCCAAAAAAAGTGTCCGCTTACCCCCCCCCCCCCCCCCCCCCCCCCCCCCCACTGAGCGACTTTTCGACTGGCTGAGTCGTTGCGATTTTTTTTGGACCTCCCAAAAAAAAAAAAAAAAGTGTCCGCTTACCCCCCCCCCCTCCCCCCCACTGAGCGACTTTTCGGCCGGCGCGATTTTCAAATTTTCGGGAGCAAAATATTTTAAAACCCCCCTTGAAAAAATCCTGCGTACGCCCCTGGTCACAATGATACATGTACAGAAACATGGAAATCTAAATTTGATAGACTTAATTATTCAATTATTTTAATATATCTTATGAGAGAAAAATTTCAAAAAATATTTCTCCTTTATATGACGTAGTTAGTGTTCCCTAGTTTGATGTTTATTTGACATCGCTGAGTTATGTTAAGTTTTTTAAAGTGCGAATTAATTTCATTCAATTATAAGAACAAACACAAACCTCTAAACACAAACAAATTATCGGAAAATGTTATTTTGACATTATTTTCCTTCATTACAAAATATAATTTCCTAAGTGACTCCATTCTAATTACCTCCATGATGGCTTGGTGAAAGAGTCCTTGCGAAAGAGGGGATAAGAGATGAAGACCAACGCTGGCCGCCCCGGCGCTCTCCCCCATGATCGTCACCCTACTAGGATCACCACCAAACGCTGTACATAATGGTATAGATAAAAGATAAATCCAAGGTAAATTGGGCTAATTAACCTTGTAAAAGGTACATATGGTAGATAATGTTTTGCAAACTCAACACTCGTTCAGGCTTTTATTTACTCGGCGTGATTTCTTAAAGCCATGGATATTAGGTCGACATTAAAAATACTTTTGATTTAAACCCTTTAAAATTTAAACCGTTTAACGTTTGACTCATCATTAATCAAGGTTGCTAATGATCATACTAGCTAGCCAATTGCAAATCATGATGAATGATGTTCTAAACATCATAACATAACACATAACACATACACGTCGCAATCATGCTTCTAGTTTAATTTTTTTTTTAGTGAGACAGAAGCTGAAGTATAAATAAATAGCCTATTCATCCATACAGAATTGGCTAAAATCACGAATAAATGTAACTCTTAATCTTTGTATGGGTGTTTATTACTCGGTAATTAATAAACCATAAATCAAACATACCCGCGATGTTTTCCTGGACCCATTGGAGAGCCATCACCTGATCAAGCATTCCGAAATTACCAATGGAGGCACTGTCACCTGGTAGCAGGAAATTAAATTAAATTATAAGAATTATTTTAAAAAAAATACAAAACGGTAGACGGTTGAGACAAAAACAATAAATAAACAATTCAAATCTTGTCATAAACCAAGGTCACTTTTAAACCCATATTCATGTACAATTTATTATTAAGATGGTTACAAAAAATCACGATCAATGCTTCCATGAATGAAGATTTCAACGTCGTGTCACAGTAATACCAGAAATGATCAAAAATGAACTTTTTGCAAGGGTCACTCTCTTCACAATTCGTGAAACAGATTGATCTCTGGATGCTTGTAATAATGGTGATTCGTGTCTCGCCCTATTATCGATATTACCCCTTTTAATGTCAAGGATGACGATATATAAATTACTCTATTGCTTTTTAAAAGCTCAACTGTACTTCTTGTAGCTATACTTGCTCCCTCTATATAGAAAACTTCCCCAATCGGTGCCTCTTTTTCTCATGTTAATATTGAGAGCTGAGTTGATGAGATAGCCACCTCGCTGAGTGGTCTAATTCCTTCTGGCCGAACTAGACGTATACAGATGGCCTTTAAAAGAAATATCGTCACTTAGCAATATTCAGTACTCGATACAATACGTCGGATAGAAAGTCTTGACGTTTTTCACATATCCTGAATCTATTGAAGGGGCAATACCTGTGGTGAGAAAGCCTAGCACGCCGAGACGGTAGTTGACATTGACGACGACGACGTCGGGCGAGATGGCGATAAGAGGATACGGATCGTAGGCCGTCCACGTACCTCCCCCGAGTGTGAACGCACCCCCATGTAACCAAACCATTACAGGGGCACTGCTAGGCTGGAATGAGAAAAATGAAGAAAGCAAAATTAATACAAGAGCTGGATCATAGGTTGTCCACGTACCTCCACCGAGTGTGAACGCACCCCCATGTAACCAAACCATTACAGGGGCACTGCTAGGCTGGAATGAGAAAAATGAAGAAAGCAAAATTAATACAAGAGCTGGATCATAGGTTGTCCACGTACCTCCACCGAGTGTGAACGCACCCCCATGTAACCAAACCATTACAGGAGCATTGCTAGGCTGGAATAATACAGATTAAGAACGCTAATACAAGAACTGTGTAATCATGTTAGCCCTTTTGCCTCTATATTTTAATGTACGGTAGATAGTAGTTAAGTACGTGACAGAAGGATCAACAATACAAAATAAAAGGTCTGGTAAGACACCCCGGTCGTCATTATAAGTGCTTGCATTTATATGGTGTTTGAAAACACCCCATTCAATGGCAATCGGTGTAAATGGTGTTGGCAAGCATTGTGTTTAATTTAACATTTAAAAATGTACTAATATCTAGGAATATTATCATGGAACTGTCTTTATATAACGACTTTTCTTAGAGTGTCGTGTAAGTTATAATCACGAATTTCCATAAGTTTCGCATGATACTTTCACTAATATTGAAACAATCGAGTATAATTATTATACGAGAAAATCCAGCCCGGTGTAAAAGGAAAAAATGAAGGTACCTGTGATTTAGATAATTCAGTTGGATAAAACAGGTCTAAACTGAAGTCAATGAATGCACTGAATTGAGTCAATAAAACTTGACAGTGCCGTTTAAAGATTTTGGAAAGGTGCTTTCGACAACTTCAGAGTATCAAGTGAAGAATCATGGATAACAAATCATGGGGTGTAACTGAAGACCCAATCAAACGTCTTTGCATGAATGAGGACATACCCGTGGTGATGATGTATGAACTCCAAGGTAAAGACAGTCTTCATTTTCCCCTTTATTCACTTGAGGACACGTTGATCTATCCCTGTCTGCCAGATAAAACCTCCCTAGACCACCCTTCTTTACTGGGTTCTTGAACCGCAGATCTCCTACGGGTGGCTCAGCAAACGGTATCCCCAGGAAGGCTTCGATGGTAACATCAACCTTCAGGTAGTCTGATTCATTGAAGGGAATGTAGGTGCCTCTAAGGACAGTATTTGAGGTTCCAGGAAGCATCACCTGTGGCGCTTGTGCCTCTACGTGTCCTACCAAAATGGCCAGTGCTACAAGATTCACTGAGAAACGAAGCAGATACATTTTCTCCATCCTAGCTGTCGGATTAATACTGTTCTCACATCTTCTAAAATGATCACTGGTTTCGTCTGGATTCAGAATGCATTCCTATGTCAATATAAGCATTCTGCAACGATGCGATTGCTTTTCGTTGTCATGTTTAACGATGTTGTTTTCAAACGCAAAAAATCATCACGTGACAAGATGAAATCTCGAAATGTCAAGCAATTAGGGTTCCATTAAATTTGCTTACATTGCCAAGATACCCACTGGCCTCCTTTCTTTATTTGAATACGGGTAAGTCCCGTGATCTTTGGGCGGCACACGCCTTCTCTAAATCGTATCACTGAGATTTGTTAGTATAAAGTCTTATTGTGATTATCTATTGAGACACTTAGACACAAAACTATCACAGTTTAAAATTTGGACGTGACAAAGCTCAAAAGGGAGACACTATACAATTCTGAAACAAAAAAAGAAGACGCGTGGATGTTCTAAGTTAGAAACCCGATGTGTATATTAGTAATTGTTGAGACATTTCTTTTCAACTACCCCTTATCATTCACTGATTCATTATCTTAGTTATGATCCTCCACGGTGTATAGAACTTTAACTACGTTACACAACTATTGATACGAGGTGTTTTATGCATAGGTACACTTACTTGATGGGTCGTCATTTACATAAATAGTAATGTCTTGACATTTGGAGGTTGTTATCTCCTACTTATACCACATGAGGTTGTTTGAAGAGGACCGCTATCAAAATAGTACTTAGTCTGTTATCTCTTAATAGTTGAATACCATGCGAGTCCTTCAGCTCTAGCTTTACATTACGTAATCAGTATTTTCATCTGTAGTCATAAAACAATTAAGATTCTTTTACAGTACAATGTAGTTATAAAGTTCACATCATTAACATCTAAAGGTACCAAAGACTTAAGTTATTCAAACCGTATCTCAAGCAATATTACTAGAATTCTGAGGCAAGGAACTTGACAAGACGACAATGGAGGGTATGTGGATTATCTGTGCCATGTTGCTGATAACAGGACTACTGACGGGCCAGGGTGACGCCCAAAGACCCCAAACCACACTTCCAGGAACCACCACAAGGTTAACGGGTATCTACCTACCCTACAATGAATCCCAGTACCTTAACGTCGACACGAGGATGGAGGCCTTTCTTGGGATCCCGTTCGCTGAACCACCGACAGGAGATCTCAGGTTCAAGAACCCCGTCAAGAAAGGTGACCTTGGAAGGACCTACCTCGCCATTACCAACAGACCACAGTGTCCACAGACATCTCCATTAGATGATATACCAGGCAATCCAGGTGTTGGAAGAGAGGTAGATGAGGATTGCCTGTATCTTGCAGTTCACACTAGTTCACCTCGGGTAAGACATTTTCTTCTTTGACAGTCATGTACCAGTAAAAACACATATTTTTTATTCCAATTATGAAACACTCAATATTATATGGATCATTGCTTATACGTAATACAGTCAATATGCTAGATATATTTGGCATGCAAAGATACAATATAAATACGATTAATTTTTCGATCTCTTTGATATTGAATATATACAAACAAAAATGAAGCCATTTAAAAAAAAAAAATTCTTTCTTTATATAATCATCATTTTTAAGGGTGTTATACAAAATATGAATCGGTAAAATGGACTTGATGTTTAACATACCGTTGCTGTTGTTTTATTGTTGTTCTTTTTGTTATGAGTTTTGTTGTTTTTACTGCTTTTGCTCTGTTTTGTTTTTACATTTTCCTTTTACTACTGCTTACAGCCCAGCAATGCACCTGTTGTGGTCTGGTTTCATGGCGGTGGATATACAATAGGTGCAGGTTCTGCTACCTACTACGAACCCCTTCCCCTGATCGCACTCGCTCCCGACATCGTCTTCGTTACAGTGAATTACAGACTGGGCGTGTATGGCTTCCTCACAACCGGTATGTTCATCGAAGGAGAAAATGATACAATGAGAACGAGAGAGAAAGATATATATATATATATATATATATATATATATATATATATATATATATAATGAGGGAGAGTGAGAGAGGGGGTGAAGAGAGAGAGAGAGAGAGGGGGATAGAGACAGAATGAGAGAAAGAGAGAGAGAGAGAGAGAGAGAGAGAGAGAGAGGGGGGGGGGGGGGGGGAGAGAAGGAGGCAGAACAAAAAGATTCGGACAAAGATGCACAGGCAGGCAGACAGAGAAAGAAAGAAGTGATTTATTGAGTGCATGGTAAGAACGCCCTAAATGGAAATGCGAAGGTCGAAGGTTTGTTTGAGAAAAAGGGAAAAGTGTCCGATTGAGGAGAATCAAAATGAAAGCTGATATCACAAAGAGATAATAATGATTTTAGTCTCTCTCACTTTTGTTTTATTCAGGTGACAGCGTTTCCCCTGGGAATTATGGAATGTTTGATCAGGTGATGGCCTTAGAATGGGTACAAACTAATATTGATGGTAAGTGAATATGCTTATTATGTTCGTATCAATATATTAATGGTATCCATTATTATTATTATAATGTAAATTAAGCAAACATACTGTCGACTTGACGTAATGCAAACAAACGTATGATTTCGCTGATCCCTATACATTTGATGAGCCTACATTGTAGTAAGACGGTAGAAAAGATCTACCAATTACATCCATTTCCATCGATGAAAATAATTATAATCACTTTATATAAAACCTTGATAACGTCAAGGAGCTTTTTATATCTGTATACATTAATACAAACTTTCCTAAAACATTGTCAAGATTTAAAAAATGTAGACGATTAACCATTATTATATTCTAATTGATAAAACTGAACTTAAATGATAAATCCTCTCACTACAGTTCTTCATGAGACATATAACTGGAACGTTTGTCACTGTACACTCGCTACAACAACCATCAAATTACAAAAAACAAATGGACATTTTTTCATCTGTCTCTTTTATTATATATTTTTCTTAACTCCAAAACACCTAAAGTGATATTTTTCTATTCATTTCCTGTTTATATTTGTTTGAATTCATAGCTTTCGGTGGTGACCCAAGTAGGGTGACGATAATGGGGGAGAGTGCTGGGGCATCCAGCGCTGGTCTTCATCTTTTGTCACCACTTAGTGATGGATTATTCCATCAGGTTATTATGCAGGTAAGTACAGGGCGACTATCAAAACGCGCTGTGAGCTTTAAGGTGTTTGTAATTAAGATATAGATTTGTATTAAATGAAAGTAATCACAACGCTGTGATTACAGTACATGTATAATTTAAATCATTGAAGTTCCGTTATATTACCTGTTTATGCGGGGACAAAAGTTACATTGTGATTTATCGCGAATGCTTTTAGTCACGTACAACAGATTTGATTAGTAAGTTTTTATTGTTACAATTTATCATTTCAAAGTACCGATTTCCCAGTATTGCTTTGTATCTGCTCGGCGGCAACATTTATTTTTTTCCAGATAAGTAGGATGAAAGCCTGGCAAATATATGAACAGGCTCCTATAATGCATGCTTCAATGAGAAACCCAGTTTAAAGGAGACATCAATTTTGGTCTTTACAGATGGCGGTCTTTCTATACAGGTGGAAAGTAAAGCAGGTTTGATGGGAGCGCCAAATATAAACAGGCCTAAAGTTTTAGTGCTTCATGACTAGTAAATCTCTCATATTAAAAGTAAATCATTGTAACGTCCATTTGATCAACAAGATTATAACAATTTCATCCGCCTTCTAACAAACTTTACAGAGTGGGAATGCGCTGTGTCCGTGGGCTGTCGATACGGTGATTGACCGTCAAGTCGGATTCACCAGAGAGATTGCAGACCAAGTCAACTGCACTGACCTGGACAATGAACTCGTAGTCGAATGTCTGAGAGATGTGGACGAACCTGTCTTGACACAAGCACAGGCAACGGTAAGACGGCGTTAGATATTCTTTAAAGGGATCCGATAACTTTGTCTTACCGGTAGATCCTTTAAACAAATCCTTGATTTAGCTCATGCTGCAATGATAATTGTAAACCTTTAGGTCAGTCAGGAACCCCATGAACTTTTACAAGCCGCTCGTCTGTCTGATCATCAAGATATTTATGATTGAAAATCGGAATCAAATGTTGCGTTTGCCAAACAGTTTTCATAACACTACAGTCTATTGGAGAAAGCGATTATGGTAAAACCGGTCACTCAAAGGTTTTTACTTTTTTGAGGTACTTCTTGTTTAACATTGTTAAACGATCCCTTTAATTGTGGGGAAAAAGCGCTGAATATTGACTTTTAGTTTTAAGTCATTTTAAATGACATGCCTACCATTTAAATAGTTACTTTGCCTTCAACAATCCTAATAATTATGACATACGCCATTTCCTTTATTGCTTTTACTGCATTGATGCATTCAACATGAACGGGAAGCTTATAATGTTAGGTCAGTCATTGTCATTTTAACGCTTATCATTTGAATACAACATCCATGGGATAATTTCATACACAATAATAGAGCAACAATAGAAATAGATAGAACAACGAAATGATTAACTTCACACTTATTTTGAGCTTCCATTGTCGAATTACTATACTGGTCTCCTCATTATCGACTCGCTTTCATTTATTTAGTTTGATTCTCATAGTTCGTTTTCTTCTCCTTATCAGTTGACTTTGAAATATCTCACCAACGAGCTGCTGTTTACCCCCGTTGTCGACCAAGCTTTCATTCCCGATCTCCCCGTCGAAATCATCAAACGTCAGGAGTTTCGGAGCGTGCCCACCCTCTTAGGAACAAACGAAGACGAAGGTACCTTGATAGCCCTCCGTGCTTACCCTAGCTATGTGTTGAGACAGAACCCTCCGACAGTGACCCTAGAGGACTTCATCAAGCTCTTACCAGACTATCTCTTCTATTACACCCCTATGCTAGCTACAGCCACGGAGCAGTGGTACGTCGACTGGAGGCAGGCAGATGACTCTGCAGCTAACCAAGTCAACGCGTTTATCAAATTGAATACGGATCAGGTACTGTCAAAACGAGAGAATCAGCTACATTGAAAACGGAACCAAATACTAATATAAATAAACGGTTAATTAGCGCTCAAAGTAAAATGGTTAAGATGTGTTTGTTTTGAAGCCAAATCATTTCATTCAACACACTAAGAAATATGGTTGCAGTTGGGGCGCAGATTTTGCATCCACCTATGCGTATTTAGCAGAGGGTGTTGCTGTTGTAGCAGAATTGTACCTTTATTTCTTAGTGTGAATAAAAAATAAATAAATTGAGTGGTGGCCATACTTTTTTTAAATAAACAAAATATGCCCTAATGTTGCTTATGTTGACGTTATAAACACGATTGTTTCTTATAATTGCTCCGTCATCGTTTTCTAGATTTTAGATTTGATAAACCTCTTTAAAAAGCCAATGTATATAAAATATGGGGGGGAGGGGGGCTGCAGCTCCATCCATCCTCCTCCCCTTGCCTCATACGCCTATGCATCTTATACATCTTTTCATTTTTTTTGTGTTTGATTTTGTTTATTTGTCCGTCTGTTAGATGTTTGCCTGTCCGACCGAAGCTATGGCCCGAGCGATGGTGGACACAGGAGCCCCTGTATACCGTTATGAAATGACCCATGACCCGACGATGTCCATCTTTATAGGACTACCCGGATGGCTAGGGGCAGGTCATGCCGAGGAGCTACAGTTTGTCTTCGCTTGGGGACTCAACCAGGATTTAACAGACGTCTTAAAGAGACAGTCCGACGAGGAGAAATCAATGTCGGTTCAGTTCATGCGATACTGGACCAATTTCATCCAAACTGGGTAAGGCTCACCGTAAATTGTGGAAAGAGAATATTTAAAGTATTTCTTAAGATTTATATTACCATGTTGTTCATGTAAGGGGCCCATTGGTTAGTTAACGTGAATGTAATAAGTATCGCAAAGATTGTAGAAAATCAATCTGAAGCCATTTAAACAGCCTTAATTGTCTAACACCTTTTGAAACGTGTGGACAGAACAATGACACATAATTCGGTCCGAACATGATTCCGATGGGATATACAAGATTGCATTCCAGTTTACTTTTTTTCGAAAGTCTTTGCGATCGTGTAATTGCATGATATCTTGACCGTTCATACTAAAAGATGGCCTAATTCGGCGCCCCATCCCAGACCAGTCTCCCACAGATTCAAAGCTGATTGGAGCTTTCCTGTATAATTATATACGACTCCAATATGTAATTATGCCCCTGTAATCTACCATTCGGGATTTCATTCAGTGAAATTAAACATTCATTATTTGTTCCCGTATCGATTAACTAACAGAGATCCAAATGGACTTCAGTCTACAGGTGAATACCCTGAATGGCCACGGTACACTTTACCAGAGCAGGAATACAAGAAACTATCACTTACCATGGAGAATGGTCGTGCTATGAGGGCGGATACTTGTACTTTCTGGCTTAATTATGCTCCTGCGCTGAACTCATATGGTGAGTATATCTTTCTTTCTATTCGTTACGCAAACTTTAGATTGTCAGCAAACGTTATTTTTTGGAAAGTCAACTAATACTGTCAGATGGTTGGCATTGTGGAATATAACTGTAAAAGAGGGAATTCGGATTTATTGATTTTTGTTAAAAATCTTAAGAAGTTTGGAGTGCTAGAGTAATCGTACCATTATGAATTTTCCCTCTCAGTATTTCATGTATATCATTATATACTCACAGTTCAAGTTCAAGACTAGAGAAACTTACTGTTATGAATTTCACTCTGAACCCAAGTATTTCGTTATTTACTAAAAAAATCAACTAAATAGATTTTTCCTTGATAAGGAGATGACATCATTCATGTACATGGCGATCCTTTAATTTGATGATGATGCAGATTTGATGATACAGCTTGTTCAGAAGCACGAAGATCATTATCATTAACAAGGATTATAATACAATGAGGGACATTGTTACAATTTTTATCATAACTACCATAATATGATCAGAATGAAAGAATTAATTATCGCCACGATGAGGGACTGACTTCATTATCTTGTTCACTTTCTTATTTTGTAGGAGACTTTTCTGGATTATATGAAGAATGGGGAGAACAATACACACAATGGAGAGATATCCATATGGTTCAATGGACGGATACATTTGAAGAATACAAGAATAACGACCAATGTGGAACTCCATAGAATTTATTTTAAAAACAGTATTTTGTGGGTGTTTTCTGCCTTTCATGTCGATGATATCGGTATACGTCAAACATTGTAACACCAATGATGAAATTATCATTTACATAAGCAATTAAAGGTACGTTTCATAATGAAAGATAAGGTGAAATCATGATTATGGCAAGAAGAGGCTTGCTGGGGTGAAAGCGTCCTCGATTTATTTTTTTACAAAAGTGCATGATCAGGGGCAGATCAAGATTAGGGGAGGGGGGGGGGGGGCACAGTTCCGAAAAGCATACAATCAATCATTATCAATACATAATTTTTCTTTACCCTTAGGTTTGTAAGTTAGGTCTCCAAAGAGGGGGGGGGGGAGGGCAATGGACGGATGTGTCTCCAACACAAATCTGCCAATTCAGTGATAATTGGTGGATTTATTTTAAGAAATTGCTAACGGGCTCATTTTAATCATTACTCGCAAATGCACGGCTCTGTGGAAGCATTCAATAAATAAAGGTCATACAAATGTTATCATTCGATAAACAGGCATTGATATCATTATCATCTAGGCGATATCAACCAATGACTATGTACATGGAGGTGTAATAATCGTCTCGGTAAACAGTGTTAAATGTTACAATAAGCTGAGGTCAACCATGAATTAAATTACATTTGTACGTTTGTCTGTACTCTGATACCCCAAGGGGGGGGGGGGGGGGTCAAAGAGTCAATACAATTCTACAAAATTCTACAAAAATGTCAGAACCCTGTAAATATACCGTTATGTAATAAATTAAATATGAAACTACTTCTTACGGAGTTTAGTGTATGTTTATATTTTAAGAGTAGTTTACTCTGAAAGTGTTTGGAAGGGGATGCTGACATCATTTAAGCTCTAGGACGATATGGAGTAGGCAAGGGAAGTTTTTATTTAAAAGCAAAAAGAAGTAGAAAAGTGTTGATCATTTGAACAAAAAGAGGTTTACAAGCAAAAAAGTTTCAAAACTTTAACCTTCTGATTAGCAGACATATTGGATATAGAGATTGATAATGATAATTTCCTGCCCTTTCCCCTGCAAAGTTAAGCACCACCACTTATATTAGCACACTGCAACCCAACAGAAAAACCTGAAAATTCTGGGATATTTTTACCCACATGTACAATTCTATCGGTCTCAAAAAACTTTTCACCAGATACAATTCCCAATGAACTTTATCCCCAACCAAGAGGTATCAAGTTCATTGTTGAAGCCATTCTCAAACGGACCCCCTCCTCTCTCTCTCTTTCGCTCTCTCTCTCTCTGTCTCTCTCTTTCTCCCTCTCTCTCTCCCTCCATCCCTCATTGCATTGTCTCTAGCATTATTAATAAGGGGTATTTGTATTCACCACCATTGCAGTTTAATTATAATATTGATTTCAGTCACAAAATTTGTATGTTGAAAAGGTACCAAATACATAGGTAAGTCAAACTAGTTCAACCTTACCCATCTTATACATGAGGCAAACATGGACCTCATGGTATACGTCAGGTCGGTAAGATCAGTAAGAATACTATATCTTTTTGTTATTGAGTTTAAAAGGAGGTAGAAGCACTATCACCGACTCACGCTAATCAAATATGACAACATGCATGATAAGAACGCATTTATAATTGGCTTCATCAAGGCCTGTAATAGCCAATGAGCAACATCATAACAAAAGTCCATCAACCTTGTTGAACCTTGGCCTTTTAACTATCAACACTCAGGATTCGATGATGATGGTGATATTTTAAAGAGGTGTAGGTGACAATTATTATCATTTAGCCTTCTGTTTCTCATTTCGAGGTTTTGATCAGCCTGGAAAAATTCTTTAAAAAATAGAAACAAGGTGCAGGATTTGTATGTTTTTTCCTTTTTAATTGTATTCAACAACCAGTTATGAAGGCGATGCTTTCGTGGAATTACTCGGCTTTAGTGCTGCTGGTCATGCTTGTTGGTCGACTGGTTGGGCAGGGTAACGCACAACCTCAGGTCGATCTCCCCGGGACAGACACCACACTGTCAGGCAAATACATGGACTTCAACGAATCCCAGTACCTTAACGTCGACACGAGGATGGAGGCCTTTCTTGGGATCCCGTTCGCCGAACCACCGACAGGAGATCTCAGGTTCAAGAACCCTGTCAAGAAAGGTGACCTTGGAAGGATTTACCGTGCAGCTTTGGACAAATCAATTTGTCCACAAATTCCGCTTGGCAGAAACTTGGATGAGGATTGTCTGTATCTTAGTGTACATACTTCGTCTCCAAGGGTAAGGCCATCCAACTTTTTGAAGGAATACGTTGATCTTGGAAACGCGTGTGGGACAGAGCTTCAAGCAGAGAGAAAAAACAATATTATGAATTATATATTATAGTTATTCAAATTACCAAAAGTAGAACCAAAATTGAAGCTAATACTCTGTAACTTCTTGTTTTTGTCTCAACACTCGGTATATTTTCTTCATGAATTTAATAGCAAGTCTCTAACATTTCATACCTTTTTTATTCTCTCTATGCGATATGTATATATAGGCCTATATATTGTGTTATTTAAAGATGTGTGTTAAATGTGAGCAAAGTAAATTTCCATCGGACAATACAAAATTAAACTGAGATTAATATTCATAAATGATAATAATTGTAATTTTGTGTATAGTTAAGTGGGAACGCAGTTGTTGAAGAGAAAGTGATATTAATATGTCTCGATATCTCATTTCAATAGTGAACGATAAATAACAATAATGATAACAATTAATATACCGCAGCTACTAAACCAAAACTCCTAACAATGCTACCTTAAATACACACAATAAACAAATTAAAAAAAAAACTATTCAAAAACAAACAAATGAACAAATGAAATGAGTAAAAAACTTAAGTTTTAATTGTTTTCTTTCATTTCAATCAGCCCAATAATGGAGCAGTTGTAGTTTGGTTCCATGGCGGTGCCTACTCGCTCGGTGCTGGTTCGAACACTGTCTACGAGCCTCTCCCGCTCATCGCGTTCGCTCCCGACATTGTCTTCGTCGGAGTCAATTACCGCCTGGGCCTGTATGGATTCATGACTACGGGTAATTAAGTCTCTATGATAGAAGAATATTGAACTGAATTGTGACTACGATTAGCATGAAGACAGGTATAGAATGAGAAGGTTGTGTGTGTGTATGTGTGCGTATGCGTGCGTGTGTGTGCGTGTGAGAGAGACAGATAAAGCAAGAGATAGATAGAGAGAGAGAGAGTGAGAGAGTGAGAGAGTGAGAGAGTGAGAGAGTGAGAGAGAGTGAGAGAGGGAGGAAGAGAGAGAGAGAGAGAGAGAGAGAGCGATGGGTGATGGTGGTGGTGGTGGTGGTGGTGGTGGGGGGGGGGGGGGAATATGGCTCAAATACAGAAAATATACCGCTAATATATTACATGTTTATATACTACATATTTATATACAGAAAATATACCGCTAATATATTACATGTTTGGGTATAAATCAAACGCATTGCAAATCAATTACAGATAGTAAGATATAAATATGTCACAAGAATTTATCATTACATTCTGCAATGACCAATTCCTACTAAAAAGTTGAGTTTTAAGTATTGAACCTCATTTGATTTTATTGTTTATCTCATCAAATAACATAACCATTTCAAAGAACATCTAAGACGCGGAGACAAATGAGAAGTGTGGAAATTTCCAGTTTGCTCCACGGTTTGAAATTGATATGTTTCAATGTCGAATCTCGTAGTATACGATCGTCCTAATTGCTTACTTTATCATTAGGAGACAGTGCCGCTCCTGGTAACTATGGAATGTATGATCAGGTAATGGCTCTACAATGGGTGCAAGACAACATTGCTGGTAAGACAAAACACATTCAACATCAAGAATGGAAAACGATTTCTACGGAACAAGTACAACATATTGCTAAATTTCAATGTTCTTTTATACAATGCATGCAAAACAAACAATCACACTGTGCCACATTTTTATGTACCTTGGCACCATGAAGTTGTATGATCTAATGCAAGTTAACATTTAATATTTCTTTAATCTTAAGTATGTTGAATATTAATTTTAATTATTTGAATGCGCCTTGAGCATCTCTAGAGATGGATATGTTTCGCTTTATAAATATTGTTATTATTATTATTATTATTATTATTATAAATAATATGCACCTCCCAACCCTTTCCTCGCCATCTTCTTCATCCTATGTATGTCCCTTCCGAATGTAACCACTTAGGGACTAGACCTACTATTTATAATCTAACCTTTTAAATGTTATTTCAATGTTAAAAAAATACTCGTAATAAATGATGGCATGGAGTGTTTCAGAGGATAGATGAAAAGCTAAACTATATAGCTTAATAGGAAGGAACATAATTCAGTTAGTTTCGCACTGGTACTAGCCGAAGAAAAAAAAATCTCATAATGATAATATGAATTAAATTGAATTGATAAGGTTTATTGCTAACAAAAATTAAGTCACAGCTAAAAGCTGACACATCTTGAATTTACAAATAAAACTGCAACATATAAAAGGCATGCAAATAGTACAATGTAAAATAGGCAATATGATATTAAGACATTCAGTAATTAAATTGATATAATAACAGGAATAAAAGAAGAAGAAGAGAAAGAAAGAGAAAAAGAAAGAGGAGAACAAAAATGAAGAAAAAAAAAAGAAAGAAGAAGGAAATATGGTTAACAGTAAACTAAGAGTTTACAATTTATGTTTATAAAACCTAAACTAAAATTCAGTAATGATACTGTTTCTGACCAGTTTTAGATTATTTAGATAACTTTATGATTAATGCGATAGCCTTGTCAATAAAACACGAACAGGATTTCTATTTACATAGAGTATAGATACAGGCTGCTATTTTTTATTTATACATATATACATATTGTTAAGAATAATGGTAAAGAAAGTTTTTTTTTTTTTAATTAGGCTTCTCATACTATTCACTCTATCTTTACCGTAATAAGCATAAATGATAGTTTCCGCACAATGGCGCTTGTTTTTATCTATTTGACCACCAAGTTAGAAATTAAAATTTGCTTTGGTTTAAAGTCCATATGTCAAATTTCGAGTACCAAAAATCTTATCACTCTAGAGATAATTGTTAAGTGCTCGGTATACCCTTGATAGCAATAATCGAATGGTTAAAGGGCTAAGGGTCTCGATGCAGGAATACATGCGGAATATGTGTAGGTACACTACATTAATAAATCTATTCGTTCTTTAAATGATTTTTGTTAATAAAAATATATTTGTTGTAATTGTATTTGTTATGATTTATTTGACAAGCGTTCGGTGGTAATCCAAATAGGGTGACGATCATGGGGGAGAGTGCTGGAGCTGCTAGCGTTAGTCTTCATATGTTGTCGCCTCTCAGCGAGGGGCTTTTCCATCAAGCCATAATGGAGGTGAGTTAGAGTCAACAATTTGAAAACAAATAACAAGAACACACACACAAACAACAAAGAAGAAGAAAAAACAGGGCAAAAATTACGACAAATGCATGAATGGCATATCCCTGAAATCAAATTTCTTTTCTGAAATAACAAAAATAGTATAAAATTACGTTTAAAGTCAATACGAAATTCCAAAATTACATCCCAAGAACAGTCACGCCATTCCCTAAACGTTAACATTTCCATGAGACTCCTGGAGACACAGGTTTTTGATATTTCTTGAATTATGCTAATTAGAAATAAATCTCAAATAAATGCAGGTCCCTACTGTATAAAAAACAACACCCGATTAAATCACGTTACAGTTTGAGTATGTTAAAGATATGAAGATTTTTAAAGATTTTATTTCAATTTTCTTTCAATAAAAGGTATAGACCAGTTTTGGAAACGCCCCCTTCTCAAAAAATGAAATGGAAGCTCGTATTACCTCATGTGAAAGAATATGTTTTGACTAATACGTGATGATACAAATTTTGCCGGGAAACCGCCTACTAATCTGATATATTTGGTAAATTATTATAGCTATCCGGACTGGATAGATATTGCGTAGTCTTATATACATCTTTCTGTGTACTGTGCTTGTAACTTTACCAAGACTGGGCCAAATTTCTTATCATTTTGATGATTCCAGAACCTTGCAGTACACACCAATACTTATATGCTAGATGATCAACCTTTTCTGATCGATTCCACAACGTTTCTTTCACAATGTAATCGCATGACCAGTACAGGTCTATACCTTTAAAATCGATGACATTGGCTTGATGAACTTATTTGGCAGGAAAATGTCTTAGTGTGTTGGTTTTTTATTTTAACAGAGTGGCAACGCACTTTGTCCATGGGCAGTGGATACGGACATGGAACGACAGGTAGGGTTTACCCGAGAGATAGCTGACCTCGTGAACTGTACCGAAGAAGATTCCGAAGCCTTATTGACATGTCTTAGAGAAGTTGAAGAGAAAGACCTGACTAGGGCACAAATAACGGTGAGTATATGTCATTTAAAATGTTTGATTGTGTTACCTCATGATACAGATGCTAAAAAATTGAAATTTTGGCTTAAAAGAGAGATCTCTCTGTTACAATTGGGCCATGGGCCTCAGGCGGTTCTTTCAAACGTACAGTGGAAAACATTCATACCACTAATTAAATAGTACAAGTGACTGAGAACTCAAATTTCCTCAATCACTGGGCTAAATAAGTTAGCGTTGTAGTCGTGGCCCTCTTCCATTTGAAAAATTTGCACAATGCTCAAAACTGTGCTCTTACGTATCATTATGGTGGACATCCTCTTAAGTTTCCCTGAGTAAACGCCGAATTTGTCAAATCTGTGCCCACTTGATCTCCAGCTTACAGCAAAGTACCTAACCAACGAGATGTTGTACGCCCCCGTTGTGGACTATGCTTTCCTACCCGACATCCCGATGGAGATCGTCAGAAGACAGGAGTTTCACAAGGTCCCAACCTTGATCGGTACGAACGAGGATGAAGGAACCTTGATAGCTCTGAGAGTTTATCCATTGTACGTGGTCAGACCAAATCCACCAAACATCTCTCTGAGTGAGTTCAGAGAGTTGATACCATTGTATCTCTTCTACAACTCGCCGATGATGGCTTCAGCCGTTGAGCAATGGTATATTGATTGGACACAAGCAGATGACCCGTCTGCAAATCATATTAACTCGTTCATCAATTGGAACACAGACCAGGTGAGAATTTCAAAATGGCCGTCCTTCTACTCAACAGACTATGGATATACATTTCTTTCTTTTAAATGTACACTTTCACACTATTACCGTGTGTGGTCCCCACATTTCTTATGTTACATGTGTGTGAAATGTTGAGTTACCTTTTTAATGATTTTTGATAATTGTTACGATATCCTCTGTTCAGGAGCGAACCAATATGATTGGCCTATTTGGGGCTTTCCGTACAAGAACTGCTAGTGTGACGGTTCTAGGACACCTACCCCCTGGACATCCACCCCCGGATAACCACCCCAGTCAACCACCCCAAGGACAACTACCCCCTAGGACAACTACCCCCTAGGACAACTACCCCTAGGACAACTACCCCCCCCCCCCAGTAAACTTCCCTCTAGGACAACTACCCCCGGACAACCATCATCTAGGACAATTACCCCCGGACAACTATACTAGGGGGTAGTTGTCCGGATACGGTTAATAACACGTGATAATCTCATGATCTTAATCTGTATGACTTCCAGATGTTTGCCTGCCCTGCCGAGGCGATGGCACGAGCGGTGGCGGATACCGGAGCGCCGGTGTACCGTTATGAGATGACACATGATCCGTCCAAGGCGGTTTTCGATTCAACCCCTAGCTGGTATGGTGCTGGGCATGCTGTGGAACTACAATACGTCTTTGGCTGGGCGTTCGGCCCAGATCTTCCTGGTATAGTGAAGAGGCAGACCCATGACGAAAAAGTGATGATGGTACAGTTCATGCGATACTGGACCAATTTCATCACAACTGGGTGAGTTTAAAAGGAAAAAAATCGCCAAAGATTTGTTTGTATGTATATTTGGCATTCCTTTCAATAGTGATCATCAAGAACTTCCATCTAATTAACTCAAAGCATAACGCTCAATGGATCTTAAACTCACAGGAACGTCTCATCAATGAAATTACATTCAATACATTGATCACGATTTGATCAATATCAAACGTTAAAATCTCTTGGGTTAATTCATATTCGATTTAATATATTTTTTTTCCATCAGTGACCCAAATACACCGGACTCAGAGGGAGATTATCCCGACTGGCCCAAGTTTACTGTACCAGAACTAGAATATAAGAAATTATCATTGACTATGGAAAATGACCGAGCGTTGAGAATGGAAGCCTGTGCATTTTGGCTTAACTACGCTCCTCTCCTTCACAATTACGGTATGTATGTTATTTTGTATGAGTGGCATTCCATGATATTCAATGACGTCAGCTGTATGGATATGCTATTTCGTAAACATATTGGCCCGAATTCACGAAGGAGGTTTGTCGACAAACCTAAGTTTATGTGCGTCATAATTATGACGCGTTTCGATGCGTTTCAGACCAAGGTTCAGACAAACCTTAGTCTAAAACGCGTCAAAACGCGTCATGTGATGCACATAAACCTAGGTTTGTCTACAAACCTCCTTTGTGTATTCGGGCCATAGAGTTCCGAAGTGTGACGTCATATTAGCCAAGTTGGCAAGGTTGCTGGTTCCAAACAATTTTGTGCTAAACAATATTGCATGGTGATCACACCAGCGCCAAACATTGAATTTGCCCTGATCCAGAAGGTTGCTTGAAAGTTGTCGCGGTGAACCTCATGCGTAGGCTCTGTTGTTTGGAACCAGTAACCTGAACGACGAGCGAATATGACGTTAGTACCCTCATGAGAACATATGAATCTCTGAATTATATTGTAATTTCTCATTCTTTCTGAAACATTTGGTATATAACATCGATCTTTTAGAATGCACAACATAAAACAAAATAAAGTCGGTATTTCAAAGCGAATTGTCAGAACTCAGAACCTAGCTTATTCTGACAAAATAATGATTTCTATGTGTTTTTTTTATGACCTGTGCTGTCAAGGAGACCCTGATGATCTGTATGATGAATGGAAGCTACAGTATGCCGAATGGAAGAACGTGTACATGCCAGAATGGTCGGAAGCGTTTGAAGACTACAAGGACAGCTCCGACTGCAGTGCACCTTAAAATCACTTTAAAGCCACACGGTCCTACTTGTAGCTACTTGCTTTCTCTATATAATAAACAATGCCTAATCGGTGATCATTGGTCCCCCATGAGCCTCTTTAAAAACATGTTAATTGAGAGCTGATTTGATGAGATTACCACCTGTCCAGTGATCTTGCAGGGTGGTCTAATCCATTCTGCACACTAGTACAGATGGGCTTTAAAGTCACGTTCTCGCATTGTCTGCGTGGAAGTCGTATATTATGATGGCTTGGAGCCTACAATACATGTCAGTGTCTAAACGATGTATCCTGATAGTAGATATATAAAAAGTCTCTCCTTTTTAATGCTTGATTGCAATATACAAAAATCGAGTACGGAATCTGTGAACTTTGTTCAATCCTGGCGTTTGCTTTATATGTTGGGTGAAGACTCATTTCCCCACAAAACCTCGTTAGATCAAGGTATAAATTCACAAACTTGTCAGATCTTTGAGATTATCATGAGCTTTGCTTATCAGTTTGAACAAGTATCAATACTAATTGATAAACGGATATTTCTATGTCGAGGAGGAGATGATCGAAACGTGACACTGACTGTACCCTGTCGAATGTGATACGTTTCTGTATAATACATGATGTATCAAAAGTTAAGATGGTCTTCTAAATAACCAGTAAAACAAGTAAAACGGGTATTTTGATATGTGAATCAATGAATGTCTATGAGAAAACGTAGGATTTCACTAAAATGTAATGTTGCAGTTCGACATGTAAAAATGTGTTTAAGATAAACGTGTATTTGTATATCTGAAATAAAGAATATCAAACTTTACACAAATGATTCGACCACAGGTCCATTTGTTTTAAGCTTAATTCATGTATCTAGTAAAAACGATTGTACGTAATACATTGATAGATCATGTCGAAATTATAAATGTAGGCCTATTTGGTTCCATAATTCGTAAGTATTCAAAACACGAAATAGTATAGTAGTAGTAGTAGTTTTTATTTTCCGTTCCTGACCAATAAAATGATAAATCACGATAAATACATTAAAAGCATATAACCCCCCCCGAAAAAAAACAAAAACAACAAACAACAAACAAACAAACAAACAAACATCGACTGGATAGCCCATATTCAGGCGTGCCAGGCACGACACGAATGGTCTACCATGGGGGTCAAGAAGCACGCAAAAAAAGGACACATTAATTGCAAAATAATAAAACATGACATTACATAATTATGTCATACTGACAGAGGTACACAAAACGGGAGGATAATTTGAGAGATATATAGAGAGAGACGGGAAAAGTGCGAGAGAGCGAGAGAGAGAGCGAGAGAGAAAACAAAAAGAGAAGAGAGGGTAAGAGAGATAGAGAGACTAATTTGTAGGGGAAAAAATGCCCATTCAAAGTCTCAACACCACCCTAGGCAAACAGAAGTTAACATCTTCAAGGGTTTTTTTTTCTCACAGGTAATATAGATTTATAGCAAATTAATAACAAATTAAAGAACGCGTATCTTTCTAATTCAAATCAAGCATTGTATAAGGTAGTTCAACAATACTTGGAACTTTTAGAATTTACTGGCTATCAAATGGCTCTGATCCCGATTACAGTAAAATTTACTGCAGTGAAATGAAATATTAACCATAAGTTGCTTTAAATGACTTAACGGCAATAAACAAAGCACTTTTAAACAATTGTAAGCTGATGATAATGAAAACGAAATTTCTTTTGCACTGATACTGAATAGAAATAACTATGTACAGAGATTAGATCATACCTGAGACTCGATGTCGGGTGAATGATATTGCCAGATAATAATAATTAAAGATGACTTTGCAAGTAATACCTTTAAACCAAATCTGGTTGACCCTGCATGTCCACTGCATTTAAGTTCCAAAGCTCATCATGAGAGTGCAGTCGCGTTGGTTTGGAAATGATCAAAGCAAAGGTTACTGAGCCATTTCTTATCAAACCCCCTAATTAAGGAGTTTTAATCACGATTAGTATGTTGATTTACCTACTTCTCTTATCAATAACTATGATAAATCAAAATAATTAAAAATCATTCATAAGTTATTGTGAGACAAATAGCAAAAAATTATCTTTCATATTTTAGGGGACTCTAACAGCATCAAGACGTCAACAAAAAAAGTACCTGTTCTAAAACTGAAAATATTTCATTCTGACAGAAACTTTTGAGATTTGTGCAGTCGTATTCTTTAGACAAAAAAGGTTTCCACCAGTGAATATTAAACGTGTTGAAAGTGTGAAAGAAGAACATTCTGCCACCATGGTTAGGATGGGGAGAACGCATCTTGTATTCCTGATGATAGGTTTATTCGGATGTCACGTGATCTCTGCAGATCCTCAGGTGACCCTTCCCGGAACCTCAACCACCCTGTCAGGCATCTACATCCAGTACAATGAAACCGGATATCTCAACGTGAGTGTCATCATCGAAGCTTTCCTGGGGATACCCTTCGCTGAACCACCCGTAGGAGAACTCAGGTTCAAGAATCCAGTCAAAAAGGGAGATCTAGGTACAAGTTATCCAGCTGATGCTGATAAGTCGGTTTGTCCTCAGGTAGGCAGCGGTGAAAATGAAGACTGTCTTTATCTCAGCGTGCATACTTCTTCAGAAAGGGTAAGATTCAGCCAGACATTAAAACAATGTTATAACCGTATATAAATCATGTTCCCGTATTATTTGGAAAATTCAATGACAAAATAAGAGAAAAAAAGAAAGAAACAAAGAGAGAGAGAGAGAGAGAGAGAGGGGGAGAGAGAGAGAGAGAAAGGAGAGAAAGAAAAAGATATTGAGTGAGATAAATTTTCAGAGAGAAGGAGAGATAAAGAGCGAGGGAAAGAAGGTGTGTGAGAGAGAGAGAGGGGTATGCAGAGAGACATAAAATAAGAGGGAGAGAGGGAAATGAAGAAATAACCAGGAATGGAGATTCTAAACAATTCGTCTAGAAAATTAATGTAGCCTTACAGATCTTTAAATGAATGGATTTATACCATAATCAGGCTAAGTGGAAAGGGATAAAAAAAAAAATCCCATGTACAGAGAAACTGGCAAGATTGACAGTGCTTATTGATACAAATGATAAGTAAGGATAGTATACGATGGTATGAATAATTGATAAACATGGCATAACGTTTTCTTTGTAGTTCGATGGCTCTGCATAAAATAGTCAGCATACACTAAAATTTAAAAGAAAGGGTCTGGTAAGGCTCAAAATCTGTTACTATTTGCAGCTTGAAATCGGTCTCAAATTAACTAAAAACTGCATTTCTCCTCTATACCTTGTAAGAATTAGAACTTATTATAATCACATGTTGTAGCCCAGCAATGCACCTGTTATGATCTGGATCCATGGAGGTGCATTTACCGGAGGGTCTGGTTCATCAAGCTCGTATGACCCATATCCTTACTTTGGTCTTACTGCCGACTACGTCGTCGTCCATATCAACTACCGTCTCGGTGTGCTGGGATTCTTAACAACAGGTTAGTAGATAAAACTGGGAGAAAGATATCATGATTAAATGTTCAAACAATAAATCGGAATATCCAAACTTTGTATGAAGACAAAAAACAACGAATAATGTACATCTTAACATTACACTAATCCCTCAAAATTTATTCTTTCTATAGTACATGCATATACTTATAATTGGTCTAACTATTTGATCGCCGGGGTGTAGCAGCGGCACACGAAACGTCGTGATCTTTCAGATCCCTTGTTGACCATACATTGCGACTTGCGAGACAAACGAATGTCACTAGCGATATTATTTTCGATACTATATCCGCAATGAGTAATATATTTAGCATTATACTTATCTTCTTTGTAAGTTAATCGTTGCGACCTTCAAAAAAAACAAACTTATCACACATTCCTTAAATTTCCACGTAATAAACTGCTGAAACATCGTTTAAACTCTACGACAAAACAGAGACAGGAGGAAAGGGAGAGATTCTTTTCTGTAATCCTGTTACCTGCAATTCACCCAGGAAATAATAATCTTGAATGATTATTATGATTACGAATATATCCATCTCATTTTAATCACCGATGGTGATATTTTATTCACATGAAGGTGATGCTGCTTCACCGGGTAACTATGGCATGTACGACCAAGTGATGGCCCTTGAATGGGTGCAAGAAAACATTGCAGGTAAGATTTTATGGGAGTCAGGTAAGATCTGTTGCTGTTTCTTTTAAAGGTTTAATAAAATCTGCCCCTAATATAGTACAAAGATAGGCCCCCTAGGAAAGCAACATTGAACCTGTAGTAAAGGGTTTGTCTCAAACGTGCTGCTTTACACCCGATTTGTTCTAGTTCCTTATTTGTGTCAGCCAGACTTTTCACGTTATGCAAAATTCCATCTTTGAGGATATGGCAAGTACAATTAATGGAACCTTAAGGTGCTGCTGTTTGTACGATTTTGGGTGCAAATTTGAATCTCACCTTACATGCTTTACGTCTGTTTAAGTTACGACTACCATGAATACTGTACATACTGCCAAATATACGTAGTAACTGACTAAATTTGGCATCGTTTCGAATGGCACACTTGACTCTTGAACCCATTCGAACTAAATGTTTATATCTTGAGATAGTTGGCTATGTTTTATCTGCATGCGATAAACGGGTGGAGTGTGATCTCTGCTTGAAAATTATGTCATCGCAATAACTGATACCGTATCACTCTGTTCAGTTGAGTATCTGATATCTGTGCCTTAAAATTAGAACAAGTAGGCACTCTGATATAAAATGCTTTTAATCTGTACTTTCCAACCATCATTTCAACTCTTGTTGACAATCTAGACACATGGTGGATTATTGCTAAATTTGTTTTTTGTTTTCTTCACTGAATTTCTTCCACCAGAAAATATCATAAAGATTAGATTTGCACATCGACATCGTGGACTGCTACGTGTGACGTCCTTTTAAGGCACTGGCAGTGCCTTAAACTGACATCACAGTGCCTTAAAAGGACGTGGCACGTAGCAGTCTACTATGTCGACGCGCAAATGTAAAAGTCCCTATTATGTGATTGTATTTTAGCGTTTGGCGGTGACCCGAGTAGAGTTACTATTATGGGAGAGAGTGCCGGAGCAGCTAGTGTGGGACTTCATCTCGTATCACCTCTGAGTAAAGACTTGTTCCATCAGTCTATCATGCAGGTAATGGGTTAATCAAAGAACAGATATCATCTAAAAGCGAAGTAGGACACAGAATATAGTTCCATTGATAGCCTTATCGATATGTAGCATTTTTTTGCAGTCTAATGAGCAGTGACGTAACTAGACCTTTGCTTCGGGAGGGTAAAACATCCCATCCTACTTTGATCCATTTAGTCCAGTCATGCCAGTAGTACAGGAAACCAATCTTAAAGACCTAGGTTTTCGTACAGGGAGGGGCGGGGGGGGGGGGGGAGGTATCATCCAAAATGACTTATTATGTGAAGTAAATGCAAGTATTATGACAATGTATCTTACGTTTCTTTCGTTTCCCTACGTAATCGCACACTTATTTATGTACTGGTATACGATGATGGCTACATTTTGTTTTCCTGATCGGAAATCTGTTAGAACGGGCAATTTACCCCCCCCCCCGCCCCTCTTTCAGTTCCGCTAGTGCTCGTGAATCATAAATGAGCTCTAATTTAAATTTCTCTCAGTATCATGTTGGTAACGTGGTGGGGAAAGATTAAGCAAATATGAGATAAGCAGATCGGAACCAATTAGAAGATAAGGGCTATTTGCTCTGGTATGAGAATATTCAGATGTTGCATCCATATTTCTTTACCCCTAAAAGGGCCAGGCAGAATCCACCCCCTCCCCCGACGTGCTCCGTGCTATGTTGGAAGAAACATACACATACATACATGTAGTCTTATGCATCTTGTAATACCAAATTTATTCAATATCGACCTATACGAGTACCACGAAGTGTCGAAGTTCGCCGAGCTGCGTGTGGCCAAACTGAACATTTCTCCCAAAGTGCACAATGCAGAATTGTCAATAAGATCATGATCATGTTAATAATTATTTTCAATTAATAATTTAATCACTCATCAGAAGATGCCCTATCTATGTGCCACGTTTCAGAATCGTTCGTCACTCCGTGTCCAATATCACGGTGAGAGGGCTGTCAGAGATACCGGAGAGCCATGGCGTGGAATCCACCCCTCCGACTGAGAGAGTATATCAAAATAACCCGGATTTTTTAGGGTTAAAAAAGAAAGGAAAAAAAAGGTTTTCACAAAAGGTCCATTGTAAAGATGTAAAGATAATTTATATGGGCTGAAGGTTACATGGTAATGAAGATAGATTCTGTCATCATTTACAATTCTACAATGACCCCACAAATTAGTTGCATTATCATTGGCACTTCCCATGTATTAACTGTACAGATCAAATATCTAATCGCATTTAGTCATTGTATTTGTAATATGCCGATGTTACAATTAAAAAAATGCCATATGAACTAACGATCATTTACATGGCTTTGAACAGAGTGGGAACGCCCTTTGTCCGTGGGCCGTTGATACCAACATTGACAGACAGATTGGATTCACAATGGAGATCGCGGACATGGTAAACTGTACCACCACCGACAACCAAGCCCTGGTCGAGTGCTTGAAAAACGTCGAAATAAATGACCTATTAATGGCACAAGCAACTGTGAGTAATACCTGTAGAACTGGACTTTACTTCTCGTATGGTTATCATGGCTTGTGAGAAATTGCCAAACAACAGTCACTTCTGGGGCTATCAAACATGGTAGACTATTACACATATTTCTTTCGTGCTTACGATACGGTTTCTATTTGAGATAAAGGCATATGAGATAGACTTTATCATTATTACTAATGAAGATTTAATCCACTCATGTTCTATTCTGCAACCTAATCAGGGGACGCTGTAATTATACCAGCATCCGAGCCATCTATATACAGAGTTTGGTCAACTTGGTTTCACTGGATCACAACATGGCGTATATTCTTTTGTTTTGTGCTTTCCCAACAAAGTAGTAGTCGCCATATTGTGTCAAACTGGAACCAGGTTGGCCAAACTCTGTGTATAGATGGCTCTGATGCCGGTATAATTACAGCGCCCCCTGACCGGCATAATGTGCAAGGTTACGACAGAGCAAAAATTAAGATTCTTTGGACAGAGTCCCTACTGAAAGAAACTTTGTAGAGCAACAGACAAGGAGGAACGAATAAATTTATGGTTATAAAGATTATTTTGAATGAATGTTTTCTTTCACAAAATAATACATCTCTATTTTCATTGCTGTTCCATTCATTCAGTTAACAGGAAACTACTTGCACGTTGAGCTCCTGTTTGTACCAGTCGTCGATGGCGCTTTCCTGCCCGATGTTCCACTTGAACTTCTAAAGCGAGGAGAGTTTAACAGCGTACCTACCCTCCTCGGTACGAACAAAGATGAGGGGACTCTTATAGCCCTCCGAGCTTATCCTCTTTATATAGGTCGACAAAATCCGCCTACCACGACATTGCAGGAGTTCAGAGACTTTTTACCAGATTATCTCTACGAGTACACTCCCTTGGTTGCCTCGGCTGTCGAGCAGTGGTACATTGACTGGAAGCTGGCGGATAACCCTTTAGCAGATCAGTATGAGGCCTTTGTCAATTTACAAACAGACCAGGTACGTATTTCTTGCAACAAAACGAACCGATGGACAGCACATCTGGTCTGGTTCAGTATAGCAATGGAGTAAACAAAACAGCTTTTATACTAACACCGCTCGCAACATTTAGAAACAGTATGATCTCAGGCAGCAAAGTGCCTGAATAACCACATGATTTGTTAGCGAGTTGCCATAATATATCTTTTGACAGCGAGGTGCCCGAATATCGTCACATTCGGGCGGCAAGGTGCCCAAATATATCTTTTGAAAAATATCGAAATGACATTTTTACCACGCTCGTTCGCTTCTTTCGCACAGAACATTTAGAAATGGAATGATTCTGCACAATGCGATGCCCGAATATATTTAAATTTGTGCATTGCGGTGACCATTTTGTGTTTATTCATGAATTGGGCAGCGAGGTGCCCGCATGCATAAAAATAATTTTTCCTGCAGTAGCTCTCTCTAGCTTCGCTCTCTCGCAAATTTTAGACACAAAATATGTCCGTACGTGTAAACATGGCACTTAACGTGTACCAGAATGATGGAAAATGAATCTTCTTTAATTAATTTGGGAGGGTGACGCGAAACTTTTTATTTCTCAAAAGGGTGTCGTGACTAAAAAAAATTGAAAACCGCTGCCCGGCCTAGTGAACGATGAAAGGAAAACTATTATAATTTTATACATTTTCAAATGGTTGACAATAATTTTTCCTGTAGGTCTTTGCATGTTCTACTGAAGTAATGGCACGTGCTCTAGAAGAATCTGGAGTCCCAGTCTATCGCTATGAAATGACCCACGATCCTTCCACATCGATCTGGGGGAGCGTGCCTGGGTGGATGGGTGCAGGGCATGGTGAAGATGTCCAATTCGTCTTCGCGTGGGGTCTAAGTACTTCTGGTGGAGGTCAAACCCATCAGGAAAAGTACATGTCAGTCCAGTTCGTTCGCTACTGGTCAAACTTCGTTACATCTGGGTATGTTTCATGGTTTCTTAATCTGTAATCCTGTTAGAACTTATGCAGAATGAGTTCGAGTTTGTATACATGTCGTTATGGCTTCACTTAATATTTCATCATCATCAACTTCAGGTGGCGCTGTAAAGCGCTGCTGTGGCCTTCACGAGAGCACGCCATGCAACTCTTTCACCTGCCATTTGTGTTGCACCTTTCATTCCTTGTCCAGACACTTTCTTAATATCATCAGTCCAAGATATTGGTGGACGACCTCTATCCCGTTTTTCTTCGACTGCTCCTTGCAGTATTTGCTTTTCAATACCTTCAGATCTCCTAACAATGTTCCCAAAATAGTTAAGTTTTCTTTCCATGATTCCCCTTCTGATGGTCAAGTCTGTTCCAATCTTTTCCAGGACCCACACATTTGTCTTTTTATCTTTCCATGACACCTGCAACAGCCTCCTATAGCACCACATTTCAAAGGCATCAACTCTCTTTCTGTTTTTCTATGTCATTGCCCAGGACTCACTTCCGTAAGTAGCAATAGAGAAAGAAGTTGGTTGAAGCAGACGAACCTTCAGACTGAGAGATAGGCCTCGGCTCTTCCAGATGTGGGACATATTCTGTACTATTGATCTTGCCATTGCCATCCTTCTTCTTATCTCTGTGGTGCTCTCTCATTTGTTAGTGATAATTGAACCCAAGTACTCAAACCGATTTACTTTTTCAATCTTATTTCCAGCTACGGTGAAGTCAGTGTTATCATATCAATCTCTAATATTTATTCATCATTAAAAAAAATATATAAAAACGGTCTTAAAAAAAAAAAATCTCTTAATATTTATTCATCATTATTATTATTTTTTTTTTAAACGAGCAATCACAAGGGAACTACACATATCATAATGGGACACAAATGAAATACCCCCCGCAAAAAACACGGTCTTATACTAAGAAAAATTGCTATTAAAGTTCTGTTGGAAATGAATCTAGATCTGTAATGTTATCTCATCCGGGATATTCACACATAGAGAAGCCCGCGACTCATTTAAAGTTCCTGAATACCAGCTTTTGCTCTACACGTCCAGATGTGGATTATATAAGCGGTTGAACATGTCTATGAGTATGAAACTAATCAAACTGAGGACGGGGAATTATTTTGATGCCTTTCGCTGCGGGTTTGGATGAAATGTGATATGTGCAATAGCAGGATCAAGATGATGTTGGCATAGAAATAATACACAGCAGTGAGGGCATTAGTAAGAATTACCCACACAATGGACCTTTGAACAGTCTAACACGCCCGAGGCAATAGCCGAGGGTGTTTAATGGACTGTTTTGAAGGTACCGAGTGTGGGTAATTTTACTAATGCCCGAACAAAAGGATGTGTATTATTTGTTTTATAAGATTATGTTTTATTTATTTTACAAAAATTTATAGCATGATTTTTTGTATAATGACCGGTCATTAGCAAATTACGTGTTAGGCAAAATAAATGCCTGGTCACGTGTACGCTCTCAACCAATCATTTGACTAGGATCCACGTTATCTCTTTATAATGAGCTCTATACACTGGTTTTATTTCTTAATACAGTGACCCGAACGTACCACTCTCAACGGGAGAATACCCATCTTGGCCGAGATACACACTCCCTGATCAGGATTATAAGATTCTATCCCTCACGATGAAGAATGATCGAGCCATGAGGATGGATTCCTGTGCTTTCTGGCTGAAGTACGCCCCAAACCTCTACGAGTTAGGTAGGTCATGTCTGATGCAACAATTCTATGTTAAAGCATCTGTACTAGACTGTACAGGTGGGATTAGACCACCCTGCAAGGTCACTGGACAGATGGTTATCTCATCAAATCGGCTCTCAATTAACATAAGAAAAAGAGGATCATGGTGTACCAATGGTCAACGATTAGACATTGTTTGTTATATAGAGGGCGCAAGTAGCTATAAGTAGTGCAGTAGGGGGTTTAAAAGATAGTTATACTTATGCTAGGTCCGCGCCGCTATTATGAAATGGGACTGCCCGATTCCATTATCAGACTGATAGTCTTTTGTTTGAAAGCATATTAGAGGCAACTAATACCACATTCTCATTGATGCAATTATTAAAAGATTCGTGTGCGATATCAAGAGGAAAGACCCTGTGTGGATGGTGAGTAGGTATAATGGTGAACTTTCTGGTATTCCGGAACCGAACTATATTCTGACTATCTATGTCAACCTGTACAGAGAGAAAAAAATTATATTTATGTCCAACGCACAAATACACAGACGTCACACACCCACACTACCCACACACAGACATCACACGTCCACACCGCTCACACATCATTATACTTCATTATATACCTCACTTAAGAAATCCAGCCATCTGATTGGTAGGAATTGCAGTCATGGTTTTAACCATTCCCGTAAATAAACGAAAAAATGCCAAACCCATGTAATAGTTCTAAAATAATAGTTCTAAAATCCCGGCAAAATTCCAGTTACCATGGTTACCGGGAAAATAGTTCAGTCTTGGTGAAATACGTTAGGTTTACATGTTAAAAAATGGTTTGAGCGATCGAGAATAGGCCTACGGCAATCTCGATCGTAAGTTGAATTCAGTCATTAATACTTTTATATGCCGAAAAAAACAACTAAAAACTAAAAAATAAAAAAAACTTTTGTCGAAGATGGGATTCGATCTCTTGCGTACAAAGGGTGATGTAACTAAAATCACCGCCTTAAACCGCTCGGCTATCGCGCTCTGTTACAATACATAGCAGTTTTTTCTTATATATACATTAAAATGGATTGAAAACGGCTTCGCGTGGTGGATGCTTCGCGGCTGCTCCATTAAACAGGCCCTTCTTTTACTTTTGCAATGCATATTGGCACGAATTTAGATCAAGATCTATCGGCAGATGTTGTTTTTTTGTTTTTGGAAGTTTATTTCGTCTTCATGTCATCAATGCAAGATAAAATTGTCGGTAAGATCGATCGAGATTCAATTGTATTGAAATTACCGACCAATTCTTCGCACACGTACGGTATCCTCGATCGCTCAGACCATTTTTTAACATGTAAACCTATGGGGTAACCATGGAGACTGAACTATTTTCCCAATAAACATGGTTACTGGGATTATAGAACTGTTTTAACCATGGTTACTGGGAATTTTACAGAAATAGTTGAAGTTTATGAATGCAATTTCGACCAATCAGATGGCTGGATTTCTTAAGTGAGGTATATAATTGTTTTTATACGCTCTCGGGAAGGTTACAATTGTGTTATTGCCCGAGGCGTTTCTCTCAAAGCAGTCATTAATACTATACCATTATACTTCACCGATGCCATTACTTACACCATGAAACTGCAAACATCCTTGGATTTATTGCTTACATATCGTACAAGTTTATAAACCTGTTAAAGCACTTTTTTGTATGTTCCGCATTCCGTATTGAAGCATTACAGATTCAAAAGACATATTGACAATCACGTGATCATGAATTTCCTAATCTTTATATGATTTTTTTCCTCTTTAGATGAGAGCGACCCGGACGACTTATACCAGGATTGGAGCCAAGAATACGAGCAGTGGAGAGATGTTCATATGACCGAATGGAATGACGCCTTTGAGGAATACAAGGAAGGCAATGGTTGTGATCAGCCATGAAGTAGATTCAGAATATTATTCAATTTCAAAATAGGATACAAACACTTCAACCTATAGCTTAATCTTTCGGCTTTACCTCAAGCTTAGAACTGCAAAAAAAATGGTAATATTACAAGAGGAAGCGAGTGATTCACTGCCACGCCTTAATTTCATGCAGAACTCAATCGCAGAGCTCATCTCACATTTCTTTACGCGACTATCGATTTATGAATTAGGTGCAAATTCAAATTGTTTCGAATTTTTGTTGTTCTGACATCAGTAAGGCAATATTATTCATGGTCTAAAATAATAGTGTAGAAGGGTCATAGGTCAAAGGTCACATGGCTCATTATGTATGCAAAAATAGCTTGTGATCACATTATCATTAGAACAGATGGACAGATTACCATGAAACTCAGGACATGTATATACATGTATCTTGCTGAGGCAATGAACTGATTCGATTTTGGTGCCATGAGGTCAAAGGTCATGGGGCTCATTATGTATGCAAAAATAGCTTGTGATCGCTTTATCATTAGAACCGATGGATGGATTACTATCAAACTCAAGACATGTATGTACCTTGCAGAGCCAATGAAATGAGTAGATTTTGGGGTCATGAGGTCAAAGATCAAAGGGTCGTACATGTACATGTACATGTAAATGAGAAATAGCTTATAATAATAATAATAATCTGAGAACCTTTTAATGTATTACATTCGACCTTGAATGTGAAAAATTTCTTCTGTTTTGGTTTGTAAAATTGCTCAATGACGGAGGCATCATTTTTGACTGCGCGCAGTCGAAGTTCCATCTAGTTTTCCTTCAATGAATGTCAGCAAATGACCTCGATCGAAGTTCATAATTATTCTTCGCTGTTACGTAATATAAACTATAGACTGAAATATATGTGTTTTTACCTCCCTCCCCCACCCCCGGTAATTGGATGGTGGATTTTACCTTTCCTAACCTTTATATCAAGTAAACTGTTTAACAGTCATGCGTTGTGCCAGTTAACAAGGACAAATGGGGGTCAAGAAGCACGCAAAAAAGGACACATTAATTGCAAAATAATGAAACATGACATAACATAATTACGTCATACTGACAGAGGTACACAAAACGGGAGGATAATTTGAGAGATATAGAGAGAGAGAGACGGGAAAAGTGCGAGAGAGAGAGAGAGAGAAAAAAAAGGAGAAAATTAGGGTATAAGAGAGAGGGAAAAAAGAGGAAGGAAGAGAAGAGAGGGTAAGAGAGAGAGAGAGAGAGAGAGAGAGGGAGAGAGAGAGAGAGAGAGACTGCTTTGTAACACAAAAAAACGCCCATTCAAACTCTCAACACCACCCTAGGCAAAAAGAAGTTAACATTTTCAAGTTTTTTTTTTAATCACAGGTAATATAGATTTATAGCAAATTAAGGAACGCGTATCTTTTTAAATCAAAGCAAATTGTAAAAGGTAGGTCAACAATATTTGGAACCTTTAGATTTTAAGGGCTACCAAATGGCTTTGATCCTGAGTCCAGTGAAATGAGATATTAACCATAATTTTACATTGTTCTACCAAGCCTGTGATATATACATATTTCGAAATGTTCGTACTTATTTTCCGTACATTATATTTGATTTGAAATCTCTATTTTTTTTATATTTTGTTTTTCTTGTGTGAAATCTATTCTTATATATGCCTGTATGAAAAAGAAAAGAATATAAAATGTTTTTCTATGTAAAATGTGGAATAAATAAAACTTCAAACTTCAAACTTCAATTTGCTTTAAATGACTTAACGGCAATAATAATATAACAAAGCACTTTTAGACAAAGGTAAACTGATGATAATGAAAACGAAATTTCTTTTGCACTGATACGTAATCGAAATAACAATGTACAGAGCTTAGATCATACCTCAGACTCGAAGACGGGTGAATGATATTGCCATATAATAATAATTAAAGATGTTTTTGCAAGTTATTTTCGTTACCTGGTTGACCCTGCATGTCCACTGCATTTAAGTTCCAAAGCTCATCAAGAGAGTGCAGTCGCGTTGGTTTGGATATGATCAAAGCAAAGGTTACTGAGCCATATCTTATCAAACCCCTTAATTAACGAGTTTTAATCACGATTAGTATGTTGATTTACCTACTTCTCTTATCAATAACTATGATAAATCAAAATAATTAAAAATCATCCATAAGTTATTGTGAGACAAATAGCAACAAATTATATTCATATTTTAGGGGACTCCAACAGCATCAAGACGTTTACAAAAAAGTACCTGTTCTAAAACTAAAAAATATTTCATTCTGACAGAAAATTTTGAGATTTGTGGAGTCGTATACTTTAGACAAAAAAGGTTTCCACCAGTGAATATTAAACGCGTTGAAAGTGTGAAAGAAGAATATTCTGCCACCATGGTCACGATGGGGAGAACGCATCTTGTATTCCTGATGATAGGTTTATTCGGATGTCACGTGATCTCTGCAGATCCTCAGGTGACCCTTCCCGGAACCTCAACCACCCTGTCAGGTATCTACATCCAGTACAATGAATCCGGATATCTCAACGTGAGTGTCATCATCGAAGCTTTCCTGGGGATACCCTTCGCTGAACCACCCGTAGGAGAACTCAGGTTCAAGAATCCAGTCAAAATGGGTGATTTGGGTACAAGCTATCCAGCTGATGCTGATAAGTCGGTTTGTCCTCAGGCAGGCAGCGGTAAAAGTGAAGACTGTCTTTACCTCAGCGTTCATACTTCTTCAGAAAGGGTAAGATTCAGCCAGACATTAAAACAATGTTATAACTGTATATGAATCATGTTCAACATATTTGGACAATTCAATGACAAAATAAGAGAAAAAAAAGAAAGAAACAAAAGAGAGAGAGAGAGAGAGAGAGAGAAAAAAAAAAAGGAGAGAAAGAAAAAGAGATTGAGTGAGATACATTTTCAGAGAGAAGGAGAGATAAAGAGCGAGGGAAAGAAAGAGAGAGAGCGAGAGAGGGGGTATGCAGGGAGACATACAATAAGAGGGAGAGGGGGAAATGAATAAATAACCAGGAATGGAGCTCTAAACAATTTGTCTAGAAAATTAATGTAGCCTTACAGATCTTTAGATGAATGGATTTTACCATTATCAGGCTAAATGGAAAGAAAAAAAGGGATGACCCCCCCCCCCAAAAAAAGAAGAAAAATAAAAAAACAGAGAAAACTGGTATTAAAGATTGACAGTGTTTTTCGATACAAAAATGATGATAAGTAACGATGGTATGAATAATTGATAAACATTGCAAAGTTACCATAACCTTTTCTTTGTGGTTTGATGGCTATGCGTGATATAGTCAGCATAAACTAAAAGTTAAAAGAAAGGGTTTGATAAGGCTCAACATCTGTTACGATGTGCAGCTTGAAATCGGTCCCAAAATAACACAAAATTACTTTTCTTCTCTGTAACTTGTAAGAATTATTATAATCACATATTGTAGCCCAGCAATGCACCTGTCATGATCTGGATCCATGGAGGTGGGTTTACTGGAGGGTCTGGTTCGTCAAGCTCGTATGACCCATATCCTTACTTTGGTCTTACTGCCGACTACGTCGTCGTCCATATCAACTACCGTCTCGGTATACTGGGATTCTTAACAACAGGTTAGTAACAAGATAAAACTAGGAGAAAGATATCATTATTGTTCATTATTATGTTCAAACGATAAATTCGAATATCCAAACTTTATATGAAGAAAAAATAAATCGAATACTGTACATCTTATCATGCCCTAATCATGTCACCAATCGCTCAACATTTATTCTTTCTAAAGTTATGTTAACCTCACATGCATGTATTTATCTTCTTTGTAAGTTAATAGTTGCGACGGTATTGGCAATATATTCATTATCCTTATCACATTTTCTTTCAATTTCCACGTAATAAAACTGCTGAAACATCGTTTAAACTCTACGATAAAAAACAGAGACAGAAGGGAAAGGGAGAGATTCTTTTCTGTAATTCCGTTACATCCAATTTACCCACACGCAGGAAAAAGTATTGTAGAGATATCGACTGCTTTGACAGCCAGACCTCGAATATTTAAAGCAGTGGATATGTCTTTTATATGCCGAATTGAAACAAAAATCCACCAATAATTCTTACCTTATCCTTTTATTGAGTAAAGATTGGTTAAAACATCTAAGAAAATCTGAGACACTGTCTACTAATCTTCGCTGGAAAAATGACTGAAAGTTTCAATCATTTGGGAATCGCAGACAAAAAGATAATTTTAACACGTAAACCAATGGGGATCACAGCATAAGGGCATTTTTTAAAAGACTATTGACCGGTAGGCGGGTATGAGGGCACTTTTCAAAAGACTATTGACTAGTAAGCGGGTATGAGGGCACTTTTTTAAAGACAATTGACCGGTAGGCGGGCATGGCTAAAATCACGACTCCAATTTCGACCAATCAGATGGCTAGATTTCTAAAGTGAGGTATATAATGCGAGTGTATCCCTTACACGTTAATCACCGATGTTTATATATCTTGTTCACGTGAAGGTGATGCCGCTTCCCCGGGTAACTATGGCATGTACGACCAAGTGATGGCTCTTGAATGGGTGCAAGAAAACATCGCAGGTAAGATTGTATGGGAGATAAGATCTGTTGCTGTTTCTTTCATTAAAAGTTTCAAATCTGCCCCTATAGTACCAAAGCGGGCCCACTATAGGGGAGCAACATTGAACCTATTGTAGGGTTCATCTCAAACGTGCTGCTTTACAGCATGCTTTACAATATAGGTTGAAAAACGCTGATTCCCAATATAAATTATGTACTAGACCATCTTGTTTTCTTCACCGAATTCAGAAATGATCATAAAATCGTATCATTGTGTACGGGACTACGTGGACTTAAGTGAAGATGCTCCTTGAGAATTCACATCTTTAAAACTTGAGGTCTTGATAGATGCATTTTATTGCCATAATCGATTTTCAAATGAACAAATAAGAGAACTCGAAACGAAACATGATGATCTGGCATCTGCAATGGTGCATCCAGAATTAATTGAATTCATTGTACAATATTAACTGCACTCGTAAATGTTCAGTAATTAATTTCATTTAACGGAAGACCCTCCTCGAGAATTTAAATATAACATTTCATAACGATTATACAATCCTTCACCAGTTTTTAAGACAATGCAGATTAGGATGCAAACGATGACTCACATAGTAGTCAACGACTCTCCTTCCAATTCCTTCATTATTTTGTCGAACCATTATGTGATTATATTGCAGCGTTTGGCGGTGACCCAAGTAGAATTACTATCATGGGAGAGAGTGCTGGAGCAGCTAGTGTGGGACTTCATCTCTTATCACCTCTGAGTAAAGACTTGTTCCATCAGTCTATCATGCAGGTAATGGGTTAATCAAAGAACAGATATCAGATAAAAGTGAAGTAGGACACAGACTATAGTTCCATTGATAGCCTTATTGAAATGGAGCATATTTTTTGCTGTCTAATGAGCAGTGGCGTATGCGGACCTTTGCTTCATCAGGAGGGGTAAAACATCTCATCCTACTGTGATCCATATAGTCCAGTCATGCCAGTAGTAAAGGGAACCAATCTTAAAGACCTTTGTTTTCGTACAGGGAGGGATGAGGGGTTGGGGTGGGGATAGGGGTATCGTCCAAATTGACTTATTTTGTGAAGAAATTGTAAGTATTATGAAAATGTTTTTATGTTTCTTTCGTTTCCCTATATATATACGTGATTGCACACTGATTGACTTATAACTACTGGTATACGATGATGGCTCCTTTTTTTTCCTGATCGGAAATCTCTTAGCAGGGGCAAGTTACCCCCCCCCCCATCCCTGCCCCTCCTTCAAATACGCTAGTTCTCGTGAATCATTAATGAGCTCTAATTAATGACTCTCATTGAGTTTATTATCATGTTGGTAATGTACACTGAAAAGATTAAGAAAATATGAGATAAGCAGATTGTCTTCATGCACTTTTTGACAGATATTTCAAAGTATACCCAATAGGCCTATACTAGTTTGAAACTTGACCTCTTCATCCCGATAATTATTAATAAATAAACATTGTAATCAGTCGATGGTACAGCGTCACTTGATCTATCTGATTGCAGGTAGCCTGAACTAATTAGAAGATAAGGGCTATTTGCTCTGGTATGAGAATATAGTGCAGCGGCTTAGCAAGAAAATTGTGCACTTTTTGATAAAAGCATGAAACTTCTAGCATAGTTTGCTTTCACCATAAGATTTATTTTCAGATGTGGAGGGAAGTCAGATTTGACCTCTGATGACCCTGAGAGGTCAAATCCAAAATGGCCGCCAGGCCGCATGGTCTAATGTACAAACATGCTTAACTTTTGAACCAAATAGTCCAGAGAAACGTTTAAGGTGTCATTTCCAACTAACTTGGGGATGCCAATTCATTTGGTAATACTTTTGAGATCGCCTGAACTCAGGGTTTTGCATTTAGGTCAAGGTCAAGGTCAAAATTGACTAAAAATAGCAACTTTTGAATGGTTACAAATGGTTAAATCTCATTTATTTGTCATTTGTTCGCAAATTTCTTTAGGAATGGTTCCCCTGCATAGTCCTCCACCTTAATCCTTTTCAGGTAGTCTATTTCAGTTTGATTTGACCTCTGATGACCCTGAGAGGTCAAATCCAAAATGGCCGCCAGTCCGCAAGGGCTAATGTATAAACGCAGTAACTTTTGAACCAAATAATCCAGAAAAACATTTAAGGTGTCATTTCCAACTAAATTGGGGATGCCAGTTCATCTGGTAGTACATTTGAGATCGCCAGAAGTCAGGGTGTGGCATTTATGTCAAGGTCGAGGTCAAAATTGACTAAAAATAGCAAGTTTTGAATGGTTACAGAAGGTTAAATCCCCATTATTTGTCATTTGTTCTCCCTAGCTATGTTCTCAAATTTATTAAGGAATGGTTCCCCTGCAGAGTTCTCCACCTTAATCCTTTTCAGTTAGTTTATTTAACAGTTTGATGTGACCTCTGATGACCCTAAGAGGTCAAATCCAAAATAGCCGCCAGTCCGCATGGTCTAATGTACAAACGTGGTAACTTTTGAACCAAAAAGTGTAGAAAAACGTTTGAGGTGTCATTTCCAACTAACTTGGGGATGCCAATTCATTACGTAATACATTGAGATCGCCAGAACTCAGGGATTTGCAATAAGGTCAAGTTAAAGGTCATATTAGGCCAAAAAAGTGCTGTTTTCTTTTTAAAAATAAACTTTGCCTCTATTTTGACACTTAAGGTTTCATTATTTTAAAAATTAATAAAAAGACCCGTGTACCACCACTTTGACTATCCAGGGCCAAATTTCATAGAGCTGCTTATCGGCTGGTTCTGTGCTTACGTATTAGTTTCTACTTCAAAGCACTGCTAGCCGTAAGCACACGAAAATGCATTAACCTTACGCTGCTTACTGGACGAAAATGAATTTTGTAACAATGCAACCCATTGTGAATGTACAAGGTGGACGCCTTGTTTTCTTGCTAACCAAATTTGTCTGCTACAGTTATAGCACGAAAATTTGCTTACCGGTTAGCAGCTTTATGAAATTGGGCCCAGAAGACAAAAAAAGCTATTCCAAATACGACCTAAAACCTGTTCATAACCACAGCTATAGATATCTACATGAATTTAGCACTGTCCACAACTTATGCATATCCTAATGATGGTAACGATCAAAATCTAACAGTCTCCAGAACAAGATCACAGTTCAGTGCATCCTTTCTTGCAGCGACAGTGGATTATTCATGCCACAATTTTTATGCTTCCGGGAGAGTGGTCCAAAGAGGCTGCCACCCAGTTGTTTCGTTTGTCCAGCCCAAGTCAGATGGCTCTGCATCTCTGGATTCTTGGCCAATATCTGGTTTCAACAGTTGGCCTGGTAGCAAGTGCGCTTGAGGTGCTGCTTGAGTGCTGCCTGGGATGGAGGAAAGTTCTCCAGGTTTCTAGACTTCTGTGCGAAGAGCTGTTTCCTGGCATCATTCACTAGCATGCTCTCACTGGTTCGGTCGTATTATCACCACAAATCGCTCTGGCAGTAACAATGATCCTTCACTGACCTCCCTAGGCATGCACAGGAGTTCATTGAAGGAATCATTCACCTCTGGGAAAGACTTCTAAGTTTTTCCTGTGAATGTAGAAACAGTGTGACGTACACCCAGTGAACGCATGAAAGATTGGAAGAGTCATACATTGTGTCAGACTCATGGTGGCAACTATCATGATTTTATGAAAAGCCTTGTACCGAAAGCTTGATCTGACACCAAAAGCGATCCCCAGCATCAGGAGCTGTCTTGCTGAATGAAGCCACGGTCAGTTCAACCGCATCAGTACCAACAATACGTATGGATACCCTTTTACACCCATGGGACAAGGCCTGCCAAGTGTGACTCAGCAGGAGAGCAGAGTACTCCACTTCCATCTGTTGCATATTATACAGTTCCTTGCCCTGTGGTAGAGGAAGGTAAACGGCTTCGCATGACATGAAATCAAACAATTCGGTTTTGTTCTCATTGAATCGAAGGAAGTCTTTCCAGCTTTCTGGCAGCAAAATAGAAGGAGCCACCCTTTTCCTGGTGCCCTTTCCCTTTTCCTGCCCTATTGAGGCTTTCAGGCTAGCAGGTAAGTAAACACCATAGCCAAGGTCGATGCGGATGCTTTTCTCGAGTTGAGCAAAGATGTATGGGGCAAACACTTTTTCTCCATACTCTTGAAATGTTCTTGATGTTCCAGGGTTGAGCATTTGAACCACAGCTTCACCATCAATAATTATTGCTTGGGCCACAGGTGCACTATTGTTTTCGAGCAGATTTGATTCCAGGCAGCGAAGAAGATCTGCTTTAACTCCAAACCGCATTTACCTCCAGTTAACAAAGCTGGCGGGACTGCCTGGTTTTCATGAGAGAAGAAATTGTCCATATCTCCATCCCTTGTCTGACACGAGATGTAAATCCTCAAAAAGAGACCACAGTCACTCTTAAGTGCTGCAAGCTGTGCCTTCTGTTTTAACATATATATAACCTTCGCCGGCTGCCGACTGAAAAATGGCAACTTGTTCGTATGAAGTGTTTGTGTGACAGCTAGGTGTCGTACACTGCTCTAGCCTTTCTGTCACAAACTTTGTGTACTGCTCACCTAGGGTCTCAATCCTTCTCCCCGTTTCAGCCAATTGGATGTCCATGATATGTCGCTTGTGCCAATGACTAGTATGTCTTGACTTTGTTCTAGAGATGGATTCCCCATCTCTTTCAGTACTGTCAGAAGTTCCCATCCCTCAAGAATGCTGCCTGCACTCCAGGTTGCTGGTCAAGGTGATGTTTGTATAGTGTTAGCGGAAACGTTAGTTTGCTTTATGGCATGTTCCTCAAACTCTGTAGCGATTATTTAAATTACTTAAACCAAATAAAACACAAAGTAACTTAAAGAACATCTTACCAGTATTATTGAGCAGTAACGGAAAGGAGCAGTTTCCCTGACTTGAAATGAGGTTTGTACCGTATACTGCCTAGCTGCCCACTGACCATGCTATATGCATATGGTCAGTTACAAGACAACTACTGGTTTGGTGCTATAATTAGTGAAATAAACTAACTGACAGGGATTACGATGGAGACTATGCAGGGCCGGGAACCACTCCTAAAGAAATGTTAGAACATAGGGGGACAAATAAATGGGAAAACTTTTTGTAAACATTCAAAACTTGCTATTTTTTTAGTCAATTTTGACATTGACCTTGACTTCATGCAAAGCCCAGAGTTCTGGCGTACCCAAAAGTATAACCAAATGAATTGGCATCCCCAACTTAGTTGGAAATGACACCTTAAACGTTTTTCTGGACTATTTAGTTCAAGAGTTAAGCGTGTTTGGACAATTATTAGACTATATGCGGCGGACTGGCAGCCATTTTTTATTTGACCTCTCAGGGTCATCAGAGGTCAAATCTGATTTCGCTCTACATCTGAAAATGAATCTCATGGTCTGCAGGGGAACCACTCTTAAAGAAATTTGAGAACATAGGAGCGAACAAATGACAAATAAATGGGATTTGTTTCGTTGTAAACATTGAAAACTTGCTATTTTTAGTCAATTTTGACCTTAACCTTGACCTAAATGCCAAACCCCGAAATCTGGCGATCTCAAAAGTATTACCAAATGCATTGGCATCCTCAATTTAGTTGGAAACGACACCTTAAATGTTTTTCTGGACTATTTGGTTCAAAAGTTAAGCGTGTTTGTACATTAGACCATGCGGACTGGCGGCCATTTTGAATTTGACCTCTCAGGGTCATCAGAGGTCAAATCTGACTTCCCTCCACATCTGAAAATGAATCTTATGGTCTAAACTAACTATGCTAGAAGTTTCATGCTTTTATCAAAAAGTGCACAATTCTCGTTATATGGGGAGCTAATCCGCTGTACTAATAGTCAGATGTTACATCCGAATTTCTTTACCCCTAGGCCATTAACAAAAATATACATGTTTAGCGTCCGCCCGCTTCCTTTTGGGGGCCGCCTCCTATTTTATTTTTATTAATTTATTTTTTTAATAAATTTTTCTTCAATGAATTAAAACATGAAAAAAAAACTGCTAAAGTGATCTATTTCTGATTTAAAAAAACAAAAACAAACAAACACTGGCGGCCTTCTTGAAAATAGCCCGGCGGCTGTCAGGAAAAATGTACCGAGCGGCCATTTTGAGCGGCCATTTTGAAATAAAAAAGAAGAACACTAAAAAAGGGCCTCCTCCTTCCTATTTTTCAAAAAGGCAGGACGCTAAAAATGTTTTTATTTGAGGGCCGGGCAGAATCCACAATTTTTACAAAAGGTCAAGTGTAAAGATATAAAGATAATGTATATGGGCTGAAGGTTATATGATAATGAAGATAGATTCTGTCACCATTTACAGAGCTACAATATGACCCCACAAATTAGTTGCATTATCATGGGCACTTTCCGTGTATTAACTGTACAGATCAAATCAACGAATCAAATGTCATTGTAATATCCTGATGTTACAATAAAACATGCCATATGAACTAACGATCATTTACATGGCTTTGAACAGAGTGGAAACGCCCTTTGTCCATGGGCCGTTGATACCAACATTGACAGACAGATTGGATTCACAATGGAGATCGCAGACAGGGTCAACTGTACCACCACCGACAACCAAGCCCTGGTCGAGTGCTTGAAAAACGTCGAAATAAATGAGTTACTGGCGGCACAAGCAGCTGTGAGTAACACTGGTAGAACTGGGACTTTACTTCTCGTATCGCTATCATGGCATGTGAGAAATAGCCACCCAACAGTCACTCCTTTGTCTATCCAACATGGTAGACTATTACACATATTTCTTTCGTGCGATACGGTTTTTATTTGAGATAATGGCATACGAGACTGACTTTATCATTATTACCAATGAATATTTGAACCACTCATGGTCTATTCTGCAACCTAACCAGGGGGCGCTGTAATTAAACCGGCATCCGAGCCATCTATATACAGAGTTTGGCCAACTTGGTTTCATTGGGTCACAACATGGCGTATATTCTTTTGTGCTTGCCCAACAAAGCAGTAGTCGCCATATTGTGTCCAACTCGAACCAGGTTGGCCAAACTCTGTGTATAGATGGCTCTGATGCCGGTATAATTACAGCGCCCCCCTGACCAGCATAATGTGCAAGGTTACGACAGAGCAAAAATTAAGACCCCTTGGACAGAGTCCCTACTGAAAGAAACTTTGCAGAGCGACAGATAAGGAGGAACGAATAAATTTATGGTTATAAAGATTATTTTGAACGAATGTTATCATTATTTGTGACTAGGATATAATCTCAATAAATCTAAATTCATGGTATTGCCGGAAGTGTGCCATGTTGTGCCACGAAGTTGTTTATAGATGAAGTGTGTATTATATTTTCTTTCACAAAATAATACATCTCTACTTTCATTACTGTTCCATTCATTCAGTTAGTAGGAAAATACTTGCACGTTGAGCTCCTGTTTGTACCAGTCGTCGACGGCGCTTTCCTGCCCGATGTTCCACTTGAACTTATAAAGCGAAGAGAGTTTAAGAGCGTACCTACCCTCCTCGGTACGAACAGAGAAGAGGGGACTCTCATAGCCCTTCGAGCTTATCCTCTTTATATAGGTTCACGAAATCCGCCTACCACGACACTGCAGGAATTCAGAGACTTTTTACCAGATTATCTCTACGAGTACACTCCCTTGGTTGCCTCGGCTGTCGAGCAGTGGTACATTGACTGGAAGCTGGCGGATGACCCGGAAGCAGATCAGTTTGAGGCCTTTGTCAATTTACAAACAGATCAGGTACGTATTTCTTGCAACAAAACGAATAAATGGACAGCACATCTGGTTCAGTATAGCGATGGAGTCAAGCAAAAGTGAAAACAGCTTTTATACTGACACCGCTCGCAACATTTAGAAACAGTATGATTTCAGGCAGTCATCAAGTGCCCGAATAACCATATGAATTGTTAACGAGGTGCCCGAATATATATTTGTTTAAATATCGAAATGACATTTTTACCGCGCTCGTCCGCTTCTTTTGCTCAGGAAATTTAGAACTTGGATGATTCTGCGCAACGAGATGCCCAATCTTTATATTCATGCATCGACGTGACCATGTTTTTGTATTCATGTATTGGCCAGCGAGGTGCCCGCATGCATAATATCATTTCTTACCATACTAACAATCTCATTGTTTTATGCTCACTCATTTCGCTCACTCGCAAATTTTAGAAACAAAATGTGTCCGTACGTGTAAACACGGCACTTAACGTGTACCAGTATGATGGAAAGTGAATGTTCCGTAATGAATTTGGGAGGGTGACGCGTAATGTCTTATACCTCAAAGATAACGTCTTGACTATACACAGGTTGAAACAGGTTGAAAAACGCTGGCTTAGTAAACGATTTAAGGAAAACTATCATAATTGTATAAATGTTTAAATGATTGACAATAATTTGTCTTATAGGTCTTTGCATGTTCTACTGAAGCAATGGCACGTGCTCTAGAAGAATCTGGAGCCCCTGTCTTTCGCTATGAAATGACTCACGACCCTTCCACGTTGATCGTGCCCGGATGGTTGGGTGCAGGACACGGTGAAGATCTCCAATTCGTCTTCGCGCGGGGTCTAAGTTCTACTGGTGGAGGTCAAACCCATCAGGAAAAGTACATGTCGGTCCAGTTCGTTCGCTACTGGTCAAACTTCGTTACATCTGGGTATGTTTCATGGGTTCTTAATATGTAATCCTGTTAAAACTTATGCAGAATGAGTTCGATAAGATTGTATGCATGTCGCAATGGCTTCAATTATTGTATTTTTTTTTTACTACACAAATCATAATAGGACACAAATGAAATCCCCTAACCCCCGCAAAAAGGCACCCCCAAAACACGGTTTTACTTAAAAGAAAATTTCTGTTGATATGAATATAGATCTGTAATTTTACCTCATCCGGGATATTCACACAGAGAAGCCCACGACTCATTTAAAGTTCCTGAATTCTAGCTATTGCTCTACATTTCCAGATGATGTTTGAGAGTCGATGCGGATTATATAAGCGGTTGAACATGTTTATGAAACTAATCAAAATGAGGACGGGGAATTATTTTGATGTCTATATCGCTGCGGGTTAGGAATTGTTTCACAATATTATAACACAAGACAGTAAGCAAAATATGGCGGTCTTCAGGAAATGTGATATGTGCAATAGCAGGATCAAGATGATGTTGGTAGGCTCTACACATGGGAGGGGAGTGGGGGTGTTTCACATAGATCCTAAGTCGAACTTTACTCTATATAAGTTGGACTATAACATTATGGAGAGCCTTTGTAGCCTTAAGATAAAATATATTCAAAAGCAAAAATTCAAGGGTTCTCGACTATTCATGAATTCCACATCAAGAACATGAAATCTCCTTGATAATAGAAAATATAAATGATTTGAATCAACATTTTATGCCTTCAGAAACAAACTTTTACAAAATATTTTCGAAGATGCTTACGGCTTTCCATGATTGTTAAGTCCAACTTAGAAAAAGTTCAACTTAGGATCTTTGTGAAACACCCCCCTGGCTTTATTTATTTATTACAGTGACCCAAACCTACCACTTTCAACGGGAGAATACCCATCTTGGCCGAGATACACCCTCCCTGATCAGGATTATAAGATTCTATCCCTCACGATGAAGAATGATCGAGCCATGAGGATGGATTCCTGTGCTTTCTGGCTCAACTACGTCCCAAGTCTCTACGAGTTAGGTAGGTCATACGATGTCTGATGCAACAACCCTATGTTAAAGCCCCACTGCACTACGTATAGCTACTTGCGCCCTCTATATAGCAAACAATGCCTAATCGGTGCCTGTTGGTCCCCCATGGTTCTCTTTTTCTTATGTTAATTGAGAGCTGATTTGATGAGATAACCACCTGTCAGTGACTTTACAGGGGGGGTCTAACCCCCTGGCCAAACTAGTGCAGACGGGCCTCAAAGGATATCATGGACCTACTTCGTAGTAAGTCTATGGTTATACTAGGTCCGCGTTGCTATCATGAAATGGGAATGCCCGATTCCATTATAGTCTTTTGTTTAAAAGCATATTAGAGGCAACAAATACCGTATTCTCATTGACGCGATTAAAAAAGATGAAAAACCCTCTGTAGATGGTGAGTGGGTATGATGGTCAACATTCTGGCATTCCGGAAACCGAACCAGTTCGAATACTATATTCCGACTATCGAAATGTATCACTAAAAGTCATCCTATATAAATTATAGAGAACATTACATTATAATATGTCCAACGCACAAATACACAGATATCACACGCACACACCGCCCACACCCCCTTAAACTTCCCCGATGCCATTATACATTACTTCACTTACACCATGAAACTGCAATCATTTTTACAAATTCAAAAGTCATATTGATAATTACGTGATCATGAATTTCCCAATCTTTACATTATTTTTTGCTCTTTAGATGAGAGCGACCCGGACGACTTATACCAGGATTGGAGCCAAGAATACGAGCAGTGGAGAGATGTTCATATGACCGAATGGAATGAAGCCTTCGACCAATACAAGGAAGGCGATGACTGTGGTCAACCATAAAGTAGATATATGTTAGTTAATTATGAAATAGGATACAAACACTTCAACCTATTAGCTTAATCTTTCGGCTTTATCTAAAGCTTAGAACTTCAAAAGAAAAAGGGTCAATATTACAAGAAGAAACGAATGAATCACTGTCACGTCTTAATTTCATGCAGGACTCAATCGCAGAGCTCATCTCACATTTCTTTACGCGGCTATCGATTTATGAATCAGGTGCAAATTCAAATTGTTTAGAAATTTTGTTGTTCTCACATCAGTAGGGCAACATTTTTCCTGGTCTAAAATTTTAGTTTAAAGCGTACAGAAACTTTTTTTAAAATTGTAAACATACTTCAGAACTTTATCGAGTCTTTTCTCAGAAGTTGAAATCAAAAGTTTTGGCGTGATTGTTGACTGGTGTCTATTGATGGCGCTCTTGAGTCGGTCCAAGATTATTTGCACCATATATACATTGTTTCATTCAATGAATGTCATTGAATGACTTCGATCAAAGATCATAATTATTCCTTTTTGTTGCCTAACATAAACTAAAGACTGAAATGTAGGTGTTTTACCTCCCTCCCCCACCCCCGGTAATTGGATGGTGCATGGATTCTACCTTCCCTAACATTTATATCGAGTGAACTGTTGAACAGTCATGCGTTGTGCCAGTTCACATTAAAAAATAAAAACACTTTTGTAACATGATGATGTATTGTTATTTCTTTTTACATGTCATTCTTTCTTCAACTTCATCATTGCCAAATGTATAAACCAACTAACGAAGTATTATAGACTATTGATTGAGTTATAGAATTCAGTACACATTTATTTTTTCATCCTGTTACAGAATAGCCATTGAGCATTGATGAAAATAAAAATTTGATAAATGAGAATAAATGCTCGAAATATTGAAAGCAAAGAAACATATATAATAAAACTATATAAGGAATGAAAGTAAGTCATGTGACTGTATCCCGCCACATTTTTTCTCTTAAAAATTAAATGCTTATTATCCCTCTCTCATTAAAAGAAAAATCAATGCCTAATGCTTTTGTCCCCGTATTAAAGAAACGTTAGCATAAATGGAAACATGGTAAGCTTTACCCAGAATATGGATTGATCAACAAGGAACAAAATCGGTTGCCCGGCAAAACGTCGCGTGGCGCTACACTATCTTTTGCCGGGAAGTAAAATTTCGCGTTCGGGCTTTTTTGTTTCCAGCGAAACGTAGTGTAGCAAATGAAAGATATATTTGCAAATTAATTTGAGAACATAATAAATCAGGTAAATATCTTTCTCTAAGAATAGGTTTTGGCTACATGAAACATAGAAACATTGTCGTTTATAGCACTTGAAGTAGGTGTTAAAACTTCAAAAGTGTTTTTCTTGGTCCCCCCCCCCTTTTTTTACCAGCGCCCACGCTACGCGACCTTTAACGGGCAACCGACGAATATGGAATCATTGATGACACCTAAACTTGGATTTTCAGACAGTGATTATTTTTCAAGGCAATCAAATAAAAAATAATAGCAAAAAACGAAAATGATGACTGAATTTGAAATCATATATCAGATACCAGTAAAACTTGTCGCTGGTTTCTAGAAAGGTTCGTGGACAGGTTTGACGAAGACAAATGGCAATAATGTGATTTCGTTTATGGCACTGCTGTTGGACAAGAGTTACTCTGTTTATAATCCTCAAACTCCGTCATCCAGGATGGTACATCAGTAGTCTTCCATCTCTCATACTGATCCTGCCAATCTTCGTAGATATCATCAATAGGATCTGGGTTTGGAAAGAAAAAGAAATATTTTTTATCCTAAAGTGGTAACAAAGACATGGACTTCATAATGAATTAGTTCACTTTGGAATCACAATAGATATATGCCATATTGAAGGAAGTGAAATAGAAAGATGAAAAAGTCACCCCATTTAGTCTATTTGGTCTCACCAGCATCCACAGGATCTCAATGTTGGTAAAATATACCCTACTACTACTACTACTACTACTGCTACTACTACTACTACTACTACTACTACTACTACTACTACTACTATTACTGCTACTACTACTACTTCTACTACTACTGCTACTACTGCTACTACGACTACAACTACTACTTCTTCTTCTTCTACTACTACTACTATTACTACTACTACTGCTACTACTGCTACTACTACTACAACTACTACCTCTACTACTTCTACTACTACTTCTACTTCTACTACCAATCGTATTAATAAACAATATAATAATAATAATAATAATGAAGATAATGATGATAATTGTAATACTTAATAATGCAAATAAAACAGGGATGTAACATTTACCTGCTTGAATACGGAGACCAGGAAGAAAGTTCCTCCATAGCGAGCATTGCGATGCTCTCATAGCACGACCGTTCGCCATATCTAGAGATAACTTCTTGTATTCTTGTCCAGGCATCGTGTATCTTGGCCATTCGGGATAATCTCCATTGTCTAAAGGTCCATTAGGGCTCCTGGAAAGTTATCCAAAAACGGATGAATTAGAGATTGAAAACAAACAAAGTATTGCAACCAGATTATTATGGAGAACAAACGCTATTCCTTTCTTCCTCCATCAACATTGGTTGGTTGGTTGGTTTTACCCGACTCCTAAGAAAGCGTGGGCTTTTAAGTAAGCAACTAGGGAACGGACGGCTTCAAGTCTTTAGGGTTGATGGCTTACAAAAGGGCACTAGCGCATCGACTTGATTTCGAACCCGGGGCCTCCCGGTTACGAGACCACTGCTCTACCACTGAGCTACTACACCTCCATAAAACACACAGACTGTATTATGAGGGGAATCCCTTCATACCTACCCCGATATCACAAAGTTGGCCCAGTAACGGATAAACTGGACGGACATTGCCTTTTCTTCGTCCGATTGACCAACGATTCGGGCAACAGGTGCAGGGTTCAGACCCCAGGTGAACACATATTGTAGATCCTCTGCATGTGCTGCGCCCAACCACTTTGGTATACCTGTAATCAAATTTGTAATATTAGGCCCAAAACTTTAGTTCTACATCAATTTATTTATTTGTGACCACAAATGCCCATATAAGCACAAACCCCATTACAAATTTAACAAAAGCACACAAAGCAAACCATGACTTGGATTTCAAGCGAATTCGTTTCCACTGGCTGCCTGCCGTAGCAACAAACGGAATTGACATAAGACCTAACTCCGTTTCGTTGACGATCAGACATAGATGAAAGGCTTCATGCATGGCTGATTGTCAATGAAACGGAGTTAAGTCTTTTGTCAATTCTGCTTGTTGCTACGGCAGGCAGCCTGTGAAAATGAACTTTTAAAATCAAATTATGGAAATGCAAGCATCACTTTAAACCAACAGAACTTTGTTATTCCTTGCTCATTTTTCCTGATTGAGGTGTCATATGAAAGGGCAGAAACTGAACTTTCTAGAAATGTGAATTTTTCTTCGAAATTCAAATACCGCCGCCAAATGATTTTTGGGTTTCCTTCCTTCAAATTGCTTTTAATCACCCATGCGTGAAATATGTATCACAAGAGTTGCATCAAAATGAAAGAGAAGGAGCTTAGCTTTACAAATATATGTCATTTATTAATCATAAATGTGATTAAGTTATGATAAAACATCGATAATTCTCGGTTTCGTTTTTTCTGGGTCGCACTGTATATGTACTCGTGTACGATAAATATACCCTTTATCTAAATTCGAATCTGTTTAATTCTCGTTACGAAGATTGATTGTATTTTTAATTTCGTGCTCTCTTCTGTATTTTTAAATTTAAAAAACGTAATGAGTTTCATAAACAGGGTGAAGGGTGAAGAGCACCCTATAGCACCCAAAAGAAATAAATCAAACATATTTCTAACCGAAATACAGTAACGGTCAATATACAAAAGTTGTAAGAAGAATTATACTGTAAGAGATATAAACAAGGAAAAATAGATCATAATTCTGTTCATATACCTGCATATACCGACCATGATGGGTCATGTGTCATCTCATAGCGATAGATCTCGGCCCCGGCTGCTTCTAATGCTCGAGCTACATACTCTGTCGGACAGGAAAAACTGATGTCGGTATTCAAACGAATGAATCCATCGATTTGATTCCCATCAGTGGGGTCATCAGCGACGGACCAGTCCACGTATTCGTTCTCGATGGCAGCAAGTTCGATGTCAGTAGCGTCGTTGTATGTCTGAGATGGTATGAGGCTCCTGCAGAACAAAACGTAACAATCAAATGGGATTATCAAAACGGCCTTAATATACATGGAAGAAGAAATAGTAAAGGAATTCATGAGGAAGGTTACCTCATGATGTTCCATATAGTTTATTCTTTGTACACTCTGCATCAATCGGTTATTCTCCTTACTGACAAAACACAGTCAACTCTCATTACATTTGAAGGCCAGGTTGTCTTTTTCACAGAAGATTACTTCATTATACTTCAAATTAATATTATATTGCATATCAAACTCCTCTCGATTACAAGGAGGGGGTAATTGAGGATTAATTCATTTATACACCAGCTGCCTTCAAAATTCAATGTCATCATTAATCATTCCACAAATCCATAAACGCTATAAATAATTTCGTCTTCTTTGTGTAATGCGCTAAATAGTTTAATTGAGTGTAGAATATCACATTATAAAGCACATGCGTAAACTATACTTCTCTCCATAAATAAGTCACGCTAGGTTGTGCTGATAATGACTACCAGTAACAAAGAACGTGTCAAGTGATTAATTTCCTATATACCTGAAGAATGAAATGTTCATGACGGGAGGTGTTTCTGAACGAGTTGAACCCGGGAACAGACTTAACGCATTCCCTGCACCCTCGTCTTCGTTTGTGCCCATCAGGGTTGGTTGAATCTTGAACTGACGACGGTTAATCAACTCCATTGGATGGTCCAACAAAAAGTAGCCATCTACTATAGGTGTTGAGAGGACTGATGACAAGTACTACGAGGGAGTAGGTAGTGTTATGAAAGGGAAAAAGGTAGGAAAAAGTTAGAAAAGGTAAGGAAATGGTGATTTGTTGAGTAATGTGTTAACCATCTAATTCACTACAAGACTTATATGTGCTTGTAAATTTCCTCGTTTAAAATCAGTGCTCTGATCTGTGCATTATGATATCTTACTCCTACAGGAACTTCAATTTTTATTATTACATAACTACGTTATACAATACTACTACTACTGCTACTACTACTACTACTACTACAACTACCTCTCCTACTATTTCGACTACTACCACGACGACTACTACAACCACTATTACTACTACTACTACTACTACTACTACTACTACTACTTCTACCACTTCTACTTATACTATTATACTACTACTACTACTACCACTACTATCACTATACTTCTACCATCACCACCACTTCTGTTTCAATATAATTTTTATGAACAATGATAATTATTAACAAAGGAAGTAAGAGTATATTCAACTGTATATACTACGAAAAATTATATATAAAATGGGGAAAAAGAAAAAGCCCATGCCATGTTTTATTAATATGCAGGGGAAATACTTCAACTACTACTACTACTACTACTACTACTACTACTACTACTACTACTACTACTACTACTAATACTACTACTATTAATACTGCTACTACTTCTACTACTACTACTACTACTACTACTACTACTACTTCTACTACTACTATTACTACTACTACTACTATATACTTCTATTACTAATATACTTCCAGACTACTAATTGCTACTTCTTCTACTGCCTTACGAGCTGAGCCTCGGTCAAGCTTCGTTCAGGTACTTGGCGCAGGCAGGCAATCATTGCCGAACTGTCCTCGGTCGGACATCCAAAAGTCTCTGCTAGTTCTCGTCCTACTTCTGTACCACGTTCTTGCGTTGCCCAAGACCAAGGGCAAAGTGCGTTACCGCTCTGTTGATAATGAAATAAATAAAAACAGAAAATCATCCCATATTATTTCTTTGAACCTTTACGACTTACGGTCATGACGCTCATGTCAGTTTTTTTAATTCACAGACAAATAATCTATGAATAGTTAGTTGATCGGTTAGCACATGGAAACAAAATTCAAATAAAAGATCATCGTATTTTAAGAGCTTGGAAATGTCAGGCCCATTAAAGAGATAATCTAATATTCGATGTAAATTGTTTAAATCATTTCATAATCATTCGTTTAAATCTTGGACTTGGCCCTCATACAACATACCTGCATGATGGTCTGATGGAAGAGTCCATCTGTAAGGGGTGATAGGGACAACAGACTGACACTAGACCCACCAGCACTCTCTCCTCCGATCGTTACCCTCCTGGGATCTCCACCAAAAGCTGTATAATAATACAAAATGTTTAAAAGCGAGGAAAGTTATCAAAGATGTAACACACTGTACGTGTACGGAACACAGGCTAAATTAATTAGTATCCATTTCATAATTACTTGGGAAAATGAAACGATTCCCTGCTCATCTTAACTAGGTTTGACAGATGCAGTTTGAGATGAAGAGAAAGTTAAACAACAACTTTTTCCACGGACTCCTTAATTACGCTTTCATTGAGAAAACGGTGTTAGAAAAAGCAACAACGGTTGGGCTATTATATAGAAAGTCTTTATTGACTGAATTAACGTATATACCAGAAGACATGGTAGAGGTATATGGCGGTTGTCATAGATTTCGATTTAACGAAGAAGTATCTAGATCAGCGTTTTTCCCCCAAAAAAGTCAGTCATGGCACCCTTTTCAGAAATAAAAAGTTTCGTCACCCCAATCCCAAATCATCACAGAATTTAAATTGAGTGTCATGTACACCCCTGTACTGTGTTCTTAATTTTTTAAAAGACACCTTTAATATGTTAATAAAATATGTTGTAATCAACGCACTAAATAAGATATAAACTAAAGTGTATGCAGACACCCGGCCAAAAAATATACATAAATACGAGAATATTATTTTGGGCAACTCGTTTTCCGGAATTATCCCGTTTCTTAATGTTGCGAGCGAGTGAAGCGAACACCGCGCAAGTGGTAAAAATGTAATTTCGATATAAAACATCGGGCATAAACCAGCGGTTCCTAATATCTGTTGTTCAAGTTCACGAATTCGACGTTAATTGTTCCAAAAACTATGCATAGTGACGTTCGCATCCTACAGAGTACGCATTTAACACATGGGTAGAGAGGAACAATGTAAATAAAATGCCTTGCTCAAGGAAAGTGCCGTGCAGGGGCTCGAACCTCCTGACCCTTGCCTTAATTGTCATTCATGTGGTAAACCACTAAATCACAGCACATCTACAACGAATGCATGGAAATATGCCTACCCTCAATGTTGTCTTGCACCCACTGAAGAGCCATAACCTGGTCCAACATCCCATAGTTACCTCTAGCCACATCATCACCTGTTGGTTAAAAAATAGTTCTACTTTAATCTTTATAACAAAGTACTATGTAACAATCACGATATGAAGTAAAATATGTCTAACATATTGAACAAGAAATGAAACACCTAGTGAAATATTTTCAATTCAAATGTAAAATAGAATGCTTGAAATAGCCACTTAGAACTTCAAAATTTACTGACTGCAATTCAGGAAAGATAACACAGAAAAAGTATTTTTTTCAAAACTGTTGACAGGTATTTATTTGTTCTTTTTTTTTTTATTGTTATTTTTAGAAGATGTTTCTGCATTTATTGATAAATCAAATATAAAACATTCAAATAACAATAACAGTATATAATATAATTGATTTACATAAAGAGTGACAACTTAAATACACACACATAAAAATGCATATATACATATATAATTATAATTGAAAGCTTGAAAGTATGGAGGTAAGTAAAAATAAAACAAGATAAATGCAAAGGCCAACTATCATAAGCAAGGATGCTTGAGTCGATAGCAGCCGGTTTTCATTAAAGTCATTCATTTTCTTTCTGTCAAGTCAGCGTTCCGATGAAATAAACTTTTAGTTTGTTGTCAAAATACCTTTGAACTTTGAAACTATTATCTAGTTTGGTCCGATAATCTGCATGCATAATTTGTTAACGGTGTCCTCGTTGATAGTTATCGAAACGACTGTTTGTGATAAAAACACAAATACTACACCCCCGCCCCTCCCCCATATAAATGTAAAGGAGGCATACAATAAGATGGATTTTTTTCTTCAATAGCGAAATGGAGCATTAAACAGGTTGATTCTTATTAACTTCATAAACTTGATTATTACCTTGCAGTATCAAAGAATATTTGGAATAAGCAAACTATTCTGAATTTATAAAAAGTTTTTTCCCTTTTCAAAATGATAGTTTATGGTATCTTTAAACAGTAACATAGCCTTAAATGAGTTTTGTACCTTTAATATTAATGAATTTAATTCAGCTAAATTTAGAAGGAGCATAAAGTGAAAGAAAAAAAGATGAAAATATAGTGCAGTAATCCTATAATAAGGATACGATCAATTTGTGACTTGTAATGTTCCTTACCTGTTGTCAAATATCCGAATGCTCCAAGTCTATAATTCACATTGACAACGATAATATCAGAGAGAACGACCATCGGAAGAGGCTGATAGATCAACTCTGAACCACCACCGATTACATAGCCACCTCCGTGTATCCAGACAAACACGGGAACCAGAGATGTCGGCTTTACAAGATGTTTGAAAATGAATACATGTTATATTGTATTTGCAGCAATGAGACGTAGGGCCAACAGAAGGATGAGACCAACAGATGTCTATATTTCTTTGATTTATAGTAAAATGAAAATACAGATCATTTTGAATAAAAAAAGATAAACAAGAAGAACATCATATCATAAACGAGGGCGAAAGGTAAGGATAACATTATACAGAAAATTATACTTGTTATGAAATTTTAACAAAAGTCACCGAAGCCTATCTAAAAGATGTTATCGAATCGGGGGCGTTGCATCCAATAATTTCGGATTTACTTGTGTATCTCATGAAGTAACTTTTTTAATTTTATTTATGCGTTTACCTCCCCTTTCTAGTCCCAAAACGGACTTTTATCAAACTATTGTTTGCGAGGGGCATGTAATATCTATTGTACGTTCACTCGATCTGCCCACCTCCCCCCCCCCCCCCCCCCAAAAAAAAAAAAAAGAGAGAGAGAGAGAGAGAGAGAGAGAGAGAGAGAGTAATTCATCACATCTACCTTCGGTGATGGCGTATAAATGCTCAAATAGAGGCAATCTTCGTTGACTTCACGACCAATCTCAATCCCTGGTAGATCAGTAACGGGTGTAAATTGAGGACACTCCGCCCTGCTGTAAGTAGCATTGTAGTTTCCTTGGATGTTGGTAGCTTTGGGATAGGCGAACCGGAGATCTCCGACGGGAGGCTGGGCGAACGGCACTCCGAGGAAAGCATCCACAGATTTACTCAGGTTTAAGAACTGCGATTCGCTGTATGGAATGGTGACACCCGTGATCATACCCCCTCCAGCAAGGGTAATGACAGGGTTATCATCACTCTGGGCAGAGACGCTAGAGAGGAAAACTGAAACAAAAAATACCATAAACCATGAAACTGACGCCATCTTCACAGGCACACAAAACAACTATACGATAATATCGACAAAATCACCGTTTACAGATTTCAAAATAAATGGCATGGAAATCAGATTAGGGCCTATAGTGGATTGAATTGTTGATACAATGTAATAAGCTTTAGTGTAAACGTATCTGTAATGGTGATAAAGCTATAGGCTTATACCATTTATCAAAACTTCGTGACTGTAGTTTTATCATAACCGGACCCCGTCTTATAAACAGTTGCGATTAAGCGCAACTTATTGGCACTTGGATGATATCAATCGAAATTTCGTTTCATCTCGGTTCTTTTTCATCTTCAATATTAGATTTCTCTCTCTGCCCCTCCCTTCCTTCCTTGCCACTCAAGGAAAGGGGGAGGGGCGGGGCGGGGGGGGGGGTTGCCACATACCGGCATAATAACATACCCTGTAACTCTAACAACAGTCAATAAGATACACTAAAGCATAGCGCCGTCATCATGGATATATTATATATCAAATTTATACAAGTAATTCCTTTCTTCTCTGAAAAAACCTATTTTCGTAGTAAATTGCGTTTGTCAGAATTTACTAAAAACGATGACATTGGAGATTTGCTGGTAACAGTCAGTCAATGAATTATCCTCAAGCATATAGCGCCGTCTACGTTTCAGCTGATGTCATCTATGGGTGAGACATCCATCTACTTCAGGGAAGTAGTATCGGGTCGCGATCCCTTTTTTGTGATCATGGAAATAAAATATGTAATTTATACAAGTGTTTCCTTTCTTCTCTGAAATAATAGATATTTCCGTAGTTAACTGAGTTAGTCACAATCAATTAAAAAACGATTGTGTTGGAGATGCGCTGGTAGATCAAAGTAATTAAGACAGACTCGATTAACATTACCACCCACGTGTTCAAAGATGGGAGTGGGCGTGGCGGCCTGTTGTTTGTTCAGGACGTAAATAATATTAAGGTATATAACCTTGTGTTCTGTGAATTGTCAATAAGGATTACGGAAATGGAAGGGGAATATCAACAAAGTTCCGGGTGGAAAGGAGGATAAGATTGTCATTTTAATTAAGCAATAATAAGGATGCGTAGGAATCAGTCGGAGATGGAAAAATAGAATCGGTTGTAGGGCCAGAACCCTGTAGGGGCATTTTGGAATGGTTTAAATATAAATGGGGAAAATTCTAAATGTAATTGACCAAGGGAATGGAACTATTCAAGATATAAGCCACAAAGAGGATAGCTTAATAATTATACATCGAAACTTACATCTAAGAAGAAACTAATCCCTTTTTTGAGAAGGGAATCTCTTTGAATTAGTGTTGCCCAATTAATTACTTTAGACCTTTCGTCTGTCGTAAGGCGCTATTGGGATATCGAGCGCCGCATTATGTCTTACTTGCAAAAACTGAGGGGTTTCTTCTACACATAACAAGCCAAGGTTGGAATTTACGATTACCAATTTATGTAACTAAACTTAAATGCTTATTATTCCCGAAATGATTGTCATTTATATTCATACCTGAATTTATTCACTGGATGTGATTCAGAATTCCATTTAAAATTCTTGCATGTATAAAATAATTCTTGTTACATTATGTGCTGAGGGCTGGAGGACCTTACCTACTCATGGACTTTTTTTTTTATAGAGTCTTGACGCCCTTCTAGCTTTCAGCACACGACACCATGTTTTTGTCTTATGTTTCACATATTACATACACCAAGGGAAAATAAATTTCTGTATTATATATGGACAATGAAATCTTGAATCTTGAAATATATATATATATATCTCTTGATATAATAATTCAAAACTAAATTCTGTATCTTACAGTTTAAGTCATGCCTTTCACTTTCTCCAAGAAATGATAGCTAAAGAGACAAAACTATTTGTCATGACAGTGTAACTTATTTTTGGATCACTTTCAGTTATGAGATTTATTTTCTTTGAGTGATATAGCTTGTTATTATTTGTTAGTTTTTGCTACTGTCATTAGTAATTAGTATTGGCATTTGGTATTTATAATGTTTAGTATGCTTGTTGTGTACCACTTGAAGAATGGTAGGCATGGTAATGTCTCAAACCTTTGGCTTGTATTGCCAAAAAGTATTACTGTAAACGAATTATGGTTGTAATTGCCTTTTTTTTAAATTAAACTATCATACCCTGTAACTTGGTGAACCATGCAGAAATAAATAAATGAATATCAAAGCAGATAAATCTCTGATCATGACTTTGTGTGAAATTGATTTTGCATCAATTTTTGTTTCTGTAAAGAAAGCCTTATTCTCCCCAAATGATAGCCAAATCATAGACGTGCGAGGCATGGGGAGGATGCTAGGGGCTGCCGATTGTCAGAGTTTCGAAAATTCGGGTAATCCAAGGTTCATATTCGGGCAACGCAGAGCAAGAAATATCATGGAGGGAGGGGGTGGCAGCGGGGCGCCCGTCTTTGCATATTCGGATAGTGATATGCCCGAATAGTCTCAGGAGTTGACGAATATTCAATTTCTGCAGCTTTAACTACAAAAGTTGTGGGAAAAAAATCAGAGCGCACGGAAAATTTTAGAATCTGAGTGATATTATTCGGGCAAATGGCGTCAGCCCTCTCGCGAAAATATGCCTATATACGCCTGTCAGCTAAATAAGTATACTTTTATATCATCATGTACATCTCAATGATATTACATCACTTTCATGTTTTAAGTTTATTTTCCTCTCCATAATGAAAGCCAAATAGTAAATAGAATTATCTCCCATCAAGTTGTTTAAGAAGTTGTTTTTGCATCACTTTCAGTCATGAGGAAATTTCACAAAGATAGCTGCATATATCCACATGTCAACATATAAAAAGAAACGGTACTTGGATGGAGAGAGAGAGAGAGAGAGAGAAAGAGAGAGGTGCGGGGGAGTGCATAACAGAACCGAAATCGAAAATTTGTAATTTTTTAATTGAACCACTTTTAGAACGAGAGGCTTTAGGGTTTAAAAAACATAGATGGTTGCAAGTAATAGAATTAGATGCAGTCATAAACTTCACCATGCAATTAGAAGTTTAACACACTCATGTTTGTTTCCCGTTTTTTAATAATAAACTTGTAATTTTAACTGATTCGAATGTTAAAAATCGATGCGAACCGGATGTTAATCTACCGAATCTTGCATGTCTTCAAAAAATAATATCGTAAATGTACGGCTTACCAAGATGATCAAGCGTCTTGTAGCCCCTTCTAAAGTTCTAATGGATTCGAGAGTTCCGACCCCTGATCTTCGGTCGGTTGCGCCCTTGTAGTCAAGGCACTTAATTTTCATCTCAGGCCTAAAAAAAAAAAGATTTTTGTATTGCCCTTTAGGTGCCAAAACCTGGGTTGGTCGGTCGGAAATTCTTCTTTAAATATATATATATATATTTTAAACTCCCTCTTTGGGTAGATATTTCTCCGTTTTGAATGCTTGAATACATTCTTCAAAAAAAAAGTAACACATTTTTTTTATTTTTTAAAGCCGACCGTAGATTTCAAGATTTTTGGGTCGGTCGCAAAGGTCAATAGGCCTACAACATCTCTTTTTAATGCCTCATTTGAAGCTCTCGTCCCATGACAGAAAACATTTTACAAAAACGTTTCAAACGGTTTTCTCTCAGACTCACGCCTAATCGTTACCCTTTTGCTTACCTGAACCCTCCAAATTTACGAAACTATAGTTTCGTATACGCAACTATTTTAATATGTTCATCTCCACCACTGACGATTACCCCCCCCCCCCCCCCCCCCCCCCACACTCAGTGTTATTTAGGGTACGCGTCAGCATGTTCCCTTCTTTTGAAGACACCCCCGAAGTCCGGTGTGTAAAGTCAATACGGGCCAATTTTTTGTGTATAACGAGCCGGACTTTGCTGCGTGAAAAGTACCCCTTTACCGGACATTTTTGGAACATGAATGCAGGGAAAAAATTAATATTTATTTTTCGGGGGCTACTTTTCGACCTTGCCGGCATGAAAATAACATTCTAAAATTTGTTTTACATTGAACTCTATGCAAATTTAAAGGGGCTCTTTTCTGATTTTCGGGGGCTCTTTTGGGCATTTCGGGGGCTATTTCGCCCTGAGCCCCCGTGTATTTTTTTCACTGCATGAATGCGGTCCCTCCGTTCCCGAAGTAGGGGGTGGGGGGGGGGATTAACCCTCTCCTCCCTTACCCCTTATTTTTGTGCGTTGTCCAACATTTCTCCACTGACTATTGCCCAGGGCCTTAATTCGTGTGTGGGGGGGGGGGGGGTTACAGTTAGGGTGCTAGCTGGGAAAGGTATACCGAACTATTGATGTGTTTGTTCCAATTAGTATTTCGATTACGTTAGTGTAGAGTAATCGACCGCGGAGCAAGACAAGATAATTTGTTTTAGTTGTTACAAACTCTAGTTTTCACACAACATTTTTTAAATAAAAATCTTTCACTAATTGAATTTAAAAAAATCAAGGCTTGGGAAAACGTGGATCAATGCCCGAGGAACTACAAAGCGCACGTTTTGCAAAAAAATGTCGTCGTTCAGTGGTATTTGTTCGTAGCAGGCTTCGTTCATGATTTTACAATGCTTTTTAACCCTCTTTGCCTCAAATTTCCTATGACACCCCTCCCCTCGATTGGGAGAGGGGGTGGGGGGTAAAATGGGCCATTGCACCTCGCTCTCTTAACTGCCTGGTAGTCTTTTAGACAGACTCTATCATAATTCAGTGATATAATTCAACTGAACATGAGCCAAATCTATTAGCCATGTAAAATCAAGACACGACTCATATATTTTGCTGCATTCTCCATATATCAGTACGAACGAAAAAAATAGTTTGAGATGATACGAACTACGAAGTCAATATTTCAAGATGATATTATGTAAATTGGGCCCACGGATCGCGGATGAGACTGCAATGCAATGAGCAACGTAGTTTTTTTTCACGCAGCAGCCCACTGGCATGGTTCGTCAGTGTAGAACTTGGAAGCAGAGAAGTTGCAGGTGGGGAGTTAGTTCTGTTCCGATGAGGGGGCCGGGGTAAGTTAACTTTTCAATACTACCCTGGTTTGAAAGTTTGTCATTTTGGCAATGTGACCATGCTCTTCCTTATTTTACCTATCTGCATGATTATTTAGTTACGTAAAATGCAAATCTTGATTTTGGAAAGAAATATTGGAGAAAAACTGTGCACGTGTAACTGTGCGCTGAGATCAGCTGTGCTTGAACAGTTTGTCAACAAAGAATATCTCTATGCAAGTAAAGGCCTTCGTGTACATATGCTAGCTAAACTCTGTGCACGTGGTTTTATTGCCAAGCTAGTTGGTCTATTTTATAGTGTGGTAACGTTCGTGTGTAGGTCTAGAGTTACTCGATGGAATTTACTTATTGAACATTGCATTTCTTGCTCATTTGGCCTTTGGTCTGATTAGCATTTTGTAGCAATGTTTATACTATAATATCAAGCAAGTGTATTTGTAACGATTTTGGCAAGATCAGAACTAGACCAAAGTAGAATCGATCAAGACTAGACTAGTACTGGTATTTTTTTAATTTCTATGTTTAGAAACTCCGTCTAGATTTTAATGGTTCATGAAATGTCAGGAGGTGTAATATCCAACTATTTTCATTTAAGAAATTTTTAACATGGTCACATACTTTCTGTGGTTATGTTAATCAATTATTTATGGAGCATTCAATGTCTGGGAATCATTTTTGAAATGAGCTTTTGATTTACTTTGGAAATGTATGTTTTATGTCAGTTAATCTCTATTGTTTTAAATTTTGCAGGCAAATAAACACCTGCATATTTAATGGCAGCAAATCATTGTGATGTAGAATTCTTATGTGACATTGTTAAAATGATATGTTTTAAAACATTTTTCTTCTATTTGTTCAGTCACACTCCCCCTCCCCTCCCCCCCCCCCCCATTCCCTTCCCCCTCCCCCTCACCCTTCCCCTTCCCCTTAAATTGAGCTTTACTGTGTCTGTGCAGCGCAAAACGTGGTGGCAAATGTCAATTTTGAGTACCGGTAGACCAAGTTCTGGGATTGAAACTTCTGTATAAGTATGTTGTATAGTTCTTTAACAGAATAGACTTTGCACCTGCCTTTCTCGTAGATGTGTGTATCAAACTTCAAATAGAGGTGCCGTGTAAGAAAATGAAACTATTTTGTGGAGGTCATGGGTACTCAAAGTTCACAATCACAATGACATATTGTGATCTGCAACTGTGTTCAGAATCGTAATTATGGAACCTGTGGTGTAAGCCTATTTTCGTGCTGTTGAAATGTCGGGAGTAAACAAAAATTGTTCACTGTTTACAACCAACAAATATGACATCAACTTCAAGGTACATCCAACTTGTCTGTTGCATTCGGTGACTACCATTATATTGATGTTGCATTGGAGAGAGGAGAGAGAGAAAAATGTTAAAACTTTGTGTTGTCAGTAAAGTGCTGGACAATTAACTTTATTCCAACTATGAAGTATGATAACAAAATATATATTTAGAAAATATCCTATTGGCAAGCATGGTTAGGTAAATGTGAAACAGAATTAACAAGTTGACTATTAAATTCTCCTATTACCCTTTAGCTGGTTCCAGATTTTCAGTAGGCAAAGGATTAATACAATGAAGGAATATTAAGCCAGTAAATATAAGGAGGGGCGACCAAGCCATAACACAACAAATGCTAATAGATGAAACATGTTAAACAGGATGAACGCATTAACTATCAAGCTGTACAGTGTAAAGAAAAGAAGTACATGTAACTTTCATATTTTCACAGTTTGACTAGAATACAAGTTTTTTTTTGTGGCATACCCCCATATGACCCCTGTGAAAAGTGAAGGAGAAAGGTTGAGAGAGAGGATTTCATTCCTATTATGCGATGTACAGCGGTATCGGGAATCCTTTGTAAAGCAAAGAAAAGTGAGCATTGATTGTAAGGAAATACCTTTCACTTTGCTGCCATTGTTTTGTGAGGAATGTGGGAGACTCAAAGGGCCATTCAGGGTCACATACCAAGCACTATTTACAGGGCCAGGTCCTTTCTTTTTCAACTGTGGGAACCTGCAAGACCTCATTTAAAGCGAAAGGTTCGAGTAGTAGGCCCAAGTGCTGTGCGTATACAAAAAAAAAAGAGCTCTTTAGTCTTGCAGTCTTTCCCCTGTGAACAAAGCGAAAGGCAAGACTGGAAGAGCAGCGAAATCATGAGCAAACTTGCAGGGCATGACACCCCAGAGCGCAATTGCCCATATTTTGATTTTCACCTTCACAATTGATCTGATGAATAGATAATTCTAGAGCTTACAGAACCTCGCATCTCAACGATGAATCATTTGCGATATGATATGGAGAAGAAAACAATCGTAGAAATTCAAATCCTGGTGGATAGTTAAATACAGGACTGTTTGAAAGAATACTACCCCCCTGAGAGAACAGGAAACATCAGAGACATCAAAAGAAATAGTGCTTTGTTTGGAACCTGTGAATACATACAAGTTTTTTTTCCTACAGGTGGTAGACTTTACAATGACAGATCTGAATTCTAAAAGCATTCAAGTCAGGTTTAATGATCTGTTCAGTGCCTTTGTTACCATTCAATCGAGCGTGACATGATATTCAATTCATCTGCAGAAAGAATGTAACCATCGTGGCATTTCAAGTTCGATTGATCAACTTTTATTTGATGGCTGTTTTTCGGCTTGAATATTTTGATTTTGGATAATTTGTTTATATAAAATATCAAAGAATAATTATACATTTGTAGTCCTTTGTCATGTCAAATTGTCTTGATCAGAAGTTTGAGGTTATTATGCCAAAATAAGAATGATTAAAATTGCTTTTAATTTGGAGAAAATAATTTTTTAAATGCTGAGATAGCATCATGTGAAATTTAGGAATGTCTGTCATTCATTTTCTTGTAAAGTTTTAAAATGTCATTGGGTGAGGTGTATCAAAACAAACTTCATATTCTAAAGATCACAATTTTGTGGATTTTATTTGATTTACCCATTAACTGCTGGATAGACCAGTTTATTAAGATATATTCAAATTTATGCATATTTTTAATCAAAGGTTCTTGACAATCTGAAAGCTATTTAGAGACTTAGCAACAAGTAATGTATGCAGACTGGATTCCAAGTATTGTAGTTCATGCATTCATTGATAACAGGTTAATGGAATAACTCGTCAACTAGGTCCCCAGGTGGCTATCTCATCAACTCAGCTCTCAATTAACATAACAAAAAGAGGATCATGGGGGACCAATGGTCACCGATTACAGAGATGCCAACCCTCCCGATTTCATCGGGAGGCTCCCGATAATTCACCCCAACTCCCGACCTTACGATCACCATCCTTATCCTCCCGATTTATTAAAAAAAAAAAAAAAAAAAAAAAAAAAAAAAAAAAAATCATTTTTTTTTTTTTTTTTTTTTTTTTTAATTATGTTTTTTTTTTTGGCGCTTATCAGTATAAAATATCGTCTGCTAACTTTAGCATGTAGTAATTCCACTATGTTAAAAGACATATAAAAGACAAAGAGTAGCGAAAGATTGTTTCAGCATATGGATCGCTGTAACCAATGCGTGGATATTGACACAGAATCCAAATGGCGGAAAATCAGCAAAAGAAGACCAAGAAATGGTCTCAGAAGTATAAGACCGAATACAGTATCAAGTACCCCTGTATTCGGAAGTCTGAAAGGAATTCATCATGCATTTTGTACAATTTGTATGTTATTTTAAAAAAAAGTGGGAATTATTTAACTAAATACACATGTAAAATGCTGCAAAATAAGGCTCAGATTGCACCAGAGAGCATCTAGAACCCCAGAGCTTCCAGGGCCCTAAGGCGGGCCCTGGACCCCGGCCGCATGGGTTGGGCGCTACGCGCTCGAGATGTGCGCTACGCGCACATTATTTGGTGTCGGTTACAAATCCTCCCTATTTCTGTTTTCCAAAAGTTGGCATCTCTGCGATTAGGCATTGTTTGTTATATAGAGGGCGCAAGTAGCTACAAGTAGTGCAGTGGGACTTTAAAGCTTATCTGCCATAGCTTACAGGAGGGATTAGACCGCCCTACAAGGTCACTAAACAGGTGGTTATCTCATCAACTCAGCTCTCAGTTAACATAAGAAAAAGAGGATCATGGGGGACTAATGGTCACCGATTAGGCATTGTTTGTTATATAGAGGGCGCAAGTAGCTACAAGTAGTGCAGTGTGCCTTTAAGGCTGGTCAGCCACCTGTTTCCCATATGCAGTATGATAAGATGCCGCTTTGAATATAAACACTTGAATGGTTTTATAAATGGAACGTGAGAAATATGTGAATTTTGTGAATTTCAGAAACATCAACAATTCAATCAATTTCATTCAATACGTGATACTGTTTGTTTATCCACTCAGCGTGAAATTTATTTCATTTAGAAAGAGAAATGAACCCAAACATATAATGAACAATATTTAGACTGTTATTTGTTTATCTTCCACACGAAAGGGTTATGGTAAAGGAGCAGTATACGGATCACTGTCATTTTTACTTAAAATGTTTGAGGAAAATCGTAAAAGTAAGAAGAAAGATAGCATTAATTTAAAATTATTTTTGATGATGTGAAGATCCTTGTGGTGGCCTCACTATTTGTATATCTTTAATGTCCATCTATGCCCCCCCCCCCCAACAGGTGACATACAAATTCAGCTATCAAACAAAAAGGATAACAAGTTATGGCATTTAGGCCTATAGGTGCACTTGAAGAAGAAAAAATGAAATAAATTTATGAATTAAAATATTAACGAAAAGAGAAATGAATAAGTTAATTAATGAGAAAATAACTTTTTATTTATTTCAGAAACATTAAGAAATGGTATTTTTGAATATTTGGGAAAATTTCCCCTGTACCGGTACTTCCCTTGTTTCTCTTACATACATCTACATGCGAGTAACAATCTTTAGTTTGAAGTGGGCAACAAAATTACCAGCTAATGATCAGGGTGGGCTTCCCCTTTAAAATAAAGATTATTATGGCTCGCGTGTATCCAGAACTTGCCCTATACCTGACTGCAAAAACTACTTACACACACATTACGTAATACATTCTAAGAGGAGTGATATTAAAAATAGACATGCTGAAATGATACAGGTTTCAGTGGATTAAAATAAAAATATCTATATAAACATGGTTTAATTTCTGATCCAAATATAGTTTTCTCTCTTCTCCGAAGGTGTGTACTTTTCCATTTTGGAGGATGTAAAGAGGACGCAGGAATTCCAAGAAAAAACAACAAAACACCTTGCTTTTGATAATTGAGAATTGCAGTTTCATACATTTCACTTTATTTCTGTATTTGTATGTTGAATTAAATCGTTGTTATGCAATATCAAAATTACAGGATGTGGAAATATACATGTTCTGTTTTTTCATATGTACATGTATTTAATTTACAGAATAAAAGCAATAGTGCTTGTCATAATCTATTTCACTATTTTATGAGCAAAATTGAATTCTATTTCTCTTTTAAAGGCTCAAGGGAGAGGATGCTATTGACAAGATGTGGATAGGGTATTCTTTAAACTACAAATAGAATTTGCCTCAAGAAAATTCCCCCCTCCCAAAAGATCCTGGTAAACTTAGTTTAAAGTCACATGAGCATCGAGATCTTGGAAGTTAATTATCCAATTAAAATGCAGGAAGATGTACCAGCAAACTGGGTATTTTTAAAAAACTCAGCAGTGGAAACGCCATACTTAAAGATATGATTAATTGATAAATCACTCACTTATGTCTCATCTGATTTTCTGTTTGCATCAGCTCTCATTTTTATGAACCTTGTAGAAGTTTGGTACTGGTATATTTACAGGGAAACACGATTTATTATTTATCATCACCTGTTCCTGAAGAATATAAAGGTTATTTTACATTTTCATTTTCTTTGTAGACTTTCAAAGTACACGTGAACTCTGGTGAGACAAACCAGTGGACTTATCATCCAGATCATTGCCATGTCTGTGGAAGAAAGATGATGACTAGAAAGGCGATGATGATGATGATGTCAAGGTGATACTTGCCTAGAACCTTTGACACGAGGACCTGAAGAGGATGGCATCCTCTGTGCCTTCCCGGTCGACGCCCGAGCGTTACGTTCAGGCCGCGGAGATTGGAAGTGGAGCTTATGGCATTGTGTACAAGGCCAGGGACACGGAAACGGGCCACTTTGTGGCCTTGAAGAGCGTAAGGATACCTATTGGTGAGGAGGGCATGCCGGTATCCACCATTAGAGAGATATCCTTGCTCAGACATCTCTGCCAGCTAGACCATCCTAATATTGTCAAGTGAGTATCAGCCATTGTGGACATTAGTGGATCTTCAGATAGTTCTACAAATTAAACGCTTTGCATCCTTTGCAGGCCGTAGTCAAAAGTTAAACCTTCTGTGATCTCTTTTAGTTTAATTACCATGTACTGTACAAAATGATAGGTAAATCTTAGTTCTGCTTTAGTCTTTAAACAACTCCCTTGAAAGGTCACCAGAGAATAAGATCGAAGACCCCATCAACAGTATTCCCATGTGGAAGCATTTTTTGTGTCAACCAAAAAGTATAGTTTTGTGTGCAATATTTGATAACTCCGTTGGAAATCTGGCAAAACTAATTCTGAATTTGGTTGGAAGTGTGAAAACAACTATTTGTTAACTGTTTTGTGGATAGGGGAGTACAAATCTTCTTACTTTTTATGAGATCAGCCTAGGTAGAATTGTTATCAACTTTGTTTCATTTTTTAAAGATTATCAGATAGGCCAAAGATTCTTTGTTCTTTGTTTATAGAGAGGCCAAAGATGATTTAATAAAATTTCCTTTTTTTTATTTTGGATCTGTTTGTCATTGCCAATCCAATAAAGACTTTTCATATGATTGTTATTATTGGTACTCTTTGTGTTAATTAGCAAAAGTTGACCATAGCGCTCGGTTGCCTGTTCCATAAGATAATTATAAGAGCAGGTAAATTCTTTCTTTTCAGATCATATCTCAATAACATTCATATTTTCAGCAATTAGGAGTGATAGCAGCAAAATGACCAAATACTTGTAGTGTAAAGTCCTTCTATATTTTTGTAACCTGCACATTTTGAAAAAGTTGAAAACCCATTTTCCAGCAGCATATTACTTAATTCCTTTGGTTTTGGTAAGGCATGTTTATTAACTCTTTATATGCCACACTAGCAATTTCTCTGTGCCACATGGTATTTGTCATGAAATAGATGAAAGGCTAAAAGATTATTTAACTGTTCCCAGTGCAAGATTAATCTATTAATGTTAGAATGGTTGTCCTGGAGTTGATCAAGACTGAAAATGAGGATTTGCAAAGCCATGGTATTGCACAAAGCAAATCCTTCTGTCAGTCGATGCCTACTGTTTTGTGCAAACTGGCATGTGTGGCAAACCGCAAACGTACAACCACGTAGATAGGTGAGAAGGCAATCAAAGTGTTGGTGTAGGCTGGTGTAGATTTTTTTAAAGCCCATCTGTACTAGTTTGGCCAGGGGGATTATACCACCCTGCAAGGTTACTGACAGGTCGTTATCTCATCAAATTAGCTCTCAATAAACATAACAGAAAAGTGATCATGGAGGTCCAACAGTCACCAATTATGCATTGTTTGCTTTACAGAGGGAGCAAGTAGCTATAAGTGGGCTTTAAGTTAGAAATGTGTATCGTCTCTTAATTCTGCTTGTGGTTGTTGACCTAAAGAAAAGCTGGAGAGAGAAAGAGATGACCTTGCTGTTCGTTGATTAGCTGAGAGATACCAAGAGCTTTGTCAAATGAACTGACTAAACCATTGAAAAATATTGTCTCTTTTGTTCATGTGTATTACAGTGTACTTGATATTTTGAAAAGAAACATTTAGGAACTCTAAAATCAAGAGCCACATCAAAAGGTTTAAAGGTGTACAGTAAGTGAATAAAAATGGTAATAAATTCAACAACCATTGGATGTTTCTTTCTTTCCAGTAACTTACATGTGATTAATGTATGTACACTTTAATCCTTACACAATTCTAGCAGTGTTACCTTGACCTAAGTTCACGATTGTTGTTTGGCAACATTGTATTTGGTGTTAAAGCAAGAGAAAATGGCTACATTGATCATTATAGTGATATTATTTTTGATGTTTGGGTGTTGTTACGAATAGTTACAAGTTAGTTACGAGTTATATAGATTCTTTCAACATTTTGAACCTCAAATAAATTGGTCTTTTGAATTTTGACAATGATAACATAAATTTGTCATGATAGTTATCTTAAATTTGAAGAAATCCTTCCATCCTTTTTTCTTGATCTTGTTCTTGTTTCCTTCCAAGTTAAAATATTCACCCATTTTTTTGTTTTTATTTTTTCTGTCTTCCTTCAAAGCAATCTACTATCTACATGTATAGGTAGTCCCTTTGACCTAGATTTGAAGTATTTCTTAGGATTGTAGGTAAAGTTTTCTGGGTTACACAATGTAATTCTTTCAGAGGAATAAAATCTCTGAAAGTGGAAGGGGCTGGTGTGCTCCCTCCGCTAAGATCTCTTGATTCTCATCATCAATCCTATGATCGTTGTCAGGAGAAAGAAAATACTCTCCTGAAGATGATCAGAGCATACTGATCAAAATGTCAAAAGTTATCAGGGTTACACCATGTAACTCTTTCAAAGGAATAAAATCCCTGGAAGTGAAAGGGGCTAGTGTGCTCCGTCCGCTAAGATACTCTTGGTTCTTGTCATCAGAGCATACTGATCAAAATGTCAGGAACCAAAAGCTCTTAGTGGAGCCCACTTTTACAGGTCAATTCAATAATGGTTTACTATGCAATTTCAAAAATACTTGCATTGTAATTGTCATTTTACATGAAAAGCAGCAAGGCTGGATTGTTCATGTTTACATATATATTGGCATGATAAAGTGATAAATCACATTTTTAATATCGGGGCTCTCATTTCTTTGCAAGAAGTGTGGAGTACGGTAACCCTAAAAAACTTAACCTACAATATTTCTTAGAAGTCATTGATCAATGAAATATGTGGGTATACAATAAAATATGTATTATGTAAGTGGGACACAAGTGAAGGAGAAAGAAAGATAGGGGGGGGGGGGCTGTGGGAGAGAGAATGACTGTAAATGCTAGAGAGAAGGAGAGAGGGAAAGATAGAAAGGGATGGGTTGAAGGTGAAGTGGGAACTGAAAAGACATTATTATTTGATCATGGGCACATGACTTTTAAAATGAGTGAATTTTGTATTAAATTGATAATCACTGAAGCATTTCCAAATTAACAGGATTGGTTTAAGGGCAAGTCCACCCCGATGAAATTGATAGAGATGTATTAGAGATACAGATCAATGAAAGTTTAAGCAAAATCCGTTAAAATCAAAGTAAATTAGAAAATGTTAAAGTTTAATTGATCAACCACAAGTTGGCAACTCTGTGATGTGTCTTTTAAAGGTACTATGTCTCTTTTGCAGCCAACCTCAAATGCTGTAGAACTTTGCAGGAATTATGAATATGTCATGTATGTCCTATCTGTGAAATTTAAACGTTAGCAGTGTCCTCATATTCAAATTATGCAAGGAAACCCGTTTACTTGCTAGACTTCACTGTCAGACACTATTGAGTGACTGACTGGCTTTTTTCTTCTTTGGTAATAACATACATGAAAAGAGTTGTAAAGGGTACATGAGCATTTGTCTACATCAATAACCCACTTCTTGTGATGGCCAAGATTAAACTGATTGATTCTTTGCGCAGCATAAAACGTATGACCATTCGGTACAATTGTCTGAAAATCAAGACTATTACTTTTGGGCTCTATAGCCCTAAAGTCTATTTGACAACTAATAGTCGTTATTTTCCCACTTGAAGACATTTTCAAGCCCCACCTTTTTTAGGGAAGTTCTAAATTAGTATTATCTTTCAAATGCAGTTGGAATTTAACTTTTTTCATTTTTTTGGCCTGCAAATGGGACATAGTACCTTTAAGCTCTTCTCCCATTTTCTCTGTACTTAAAAAAATACGCTTTGATATCAAGAAAATGATACAACCCCCCCCCACCCCCCCCCCCCCCCCCCCCCCGATGTTATAATTATTGTTTCTCTACACAACTCCTGTGTGAAAAAAAGAAAGCAAATCCTTCATGAGCTACTAAGAAAATGAAAAGTACTGAAACTTTCTGTACAAAGAAAATGGGAGAGGACCTCAAAGCGTAGTACACAGGTTTGCCAATTTGTGTTTAATTAGTTGAGATGGTGACCTAAGGGATATAAATACAGCCACTTGTGTTGAACTGGATACTAGCTACTGTTCTGTTTATTTTTCCTTCATAGTTTATACCAAATTTCAGGGTAGACTTTAAAGTAGGGGAAAATAACCTACAATTGTATGATTTTTTAAAATCTATTTGTCAGACGTACATATATATTAATGCCTTAATGGTATGCCATTGCATTGCATTTAGTGGTTCTGTTAAATTTCAAACAGTAAAATACTGTAAAAAGCCCTTTTACATGTTGATAAAGTTATGTTCCTCTTGAATTATCTTCTCTCATGTGAAAGTCAGTGGGCTAGCCCCTTCACCCCCCTTCCCCTCCCCCACCCAGTTCCCTTTTCATTATGAGTTAACAGTACACACTTTCTTTATTTCACATCGTATGGAAACGATTCTCCCTAGTGCAATATAAAAGTATAGCTGAAAACAAGCAAACGTAAGTGGCGCTATATTTTTACTAGCTAATTTGCCAAGATTTTGCAGTCCCATGGATTTCTGGTCAAAACGGGCCACACAGTATTGGACTCATACTTCACTGTCAATAGCACTAAGAATGAGAAAATGTAGTTTTACCTAAATCTTTAATGATGTAAATTTAGAAAAAATGTAGACATGAGGTATCTTCAAATATGTGACCCTGTACACATTTTGAAAAATTCTTTTAAAATTAATGACATTAGCACACAATAATAAAAGAAGCCACTTGTGTTGCAGTGTGCCAAATGTTTTGAAGAGAATTTCTCAGAGCGCTGGTGTTTGCCATTAAGGCTGGTACATATATGCTTTAATACTGCTTGTGTATTTTTCAAAATTTTTAAATATCGCGCAAGATTAAGAATTGCAAATAATGGATTATTAGCATATATTGTAGTGTAGCAGAATACATGTTTTAGAATCACAGGAAGTAAGTGTGTCTGCAACATCGCTGAGGTATCAGAGGCGCAATCAATTATGGAAATGTATATATGCGGTAGTGAGAATTGTTGTCTTGTCATTCATGCAACAAAATGTGTGTGAAACATGTGCATAACT